TTAAAAATAGTTAATAAGTTATTTTACCTTTTATTAAAAAGGTTTAGTTTTATATTTAAAAGATATTAATATTTTTTTTAACTTTATTATTAAATTATTTTTACTTTAATAATAATTTTTATAGGGTAATTATTATATTATACTTTATATTAGGGTTTTTATTATAATTATTTTAATTATTATATAAGTTAAGCTATTTATTTTTATTTTAATTATTTAAAAAGGTTTTTTTTAATAATTAGTTTAATATTATAAATACCTTTTTAAATAAATTAAGCAATTTAATTAATATTTATATTAAAATTATAATAATAATTAAAATAATATTTTATATTTATAGTTAAAAATGGAATATATTTTATTATTAATAAAATAAAACTAAGTTTTTAACTTTTTAAATTTAATAGAAGTTATTTTTTAAAGCCTTTTTTTAAACATTTTTCCATTTTTATTAATAAATAAATTCTTTAAACGTTACCTTTTAATATTTAATTATTTAATTATAAAGGTAATTAATAATGTTAAATTTAATTTAATATATAATAATATAAACTTTAAAATAATTATTTAATTTATTATAAACTTTTAAAACTTATTAATTTTTAAATAAAAAGTTAGCTTTATTATATTATTTAACCTTTTTATTAATATAATTATTTATAAAAAATTTATTTTTATTTTTAAAGATATATTTAAAGCTATTTTTTTTATATTATAATATTTTTATTTTTATTAAAATATTTTTTTATTAATTTTTTAAAGTCTTTATAATTTATAAAAATTTAAATCTTTTTATTAAATTTAAAAGTTATAAATTATTTTACCTTTATAGATTTATTATTTAATAGGATATTAATAATTAAATACTTTAAAACTTAAGATTTATTTATTTATTAAATTATATAATTTAACTTTAATAAATATAATAAAATAAGTTTAATATTATAATATATAAAAATTTAATATTTAATTTTTATTTAAAAGTTATATTTAACTTAATTAATAGGGTTTTATAAAGCTTAAAGTTTTAATTTAAGGTTTTTTTAATTTATGTATTTTTATTATAAAATAGGTTAATTATTTAATTTTAAAGATTATATATTAAATTTTTAACCTATTTATTAAAGTACTTTTTTTAAAACCTATTTATATTTTTATTTTATTTATTATTATTTTAATAATATTTATAATAAGCTTTTAATATATTTATAATTAAATTAATAAGTATTATTATTTTAAAATAATAATTAATATATAAATTTAATTAAAAAATAAATTATAAAGTTTTTAAATCTTTTAATAAATTTTATAACTTTATTAATATAAGAAATAGTTTAAATATATTTCTCCTCTTTTTAAAATTTTATAAATTATATAAATAATATTATAATATAAATAATATATTTATTAAAAAGAAGGGAAATTAAGTTTTAATATTTATTTATATATATTTTATTAATTATTTTTAAAATTAAAGTATTATTTTAAAACTAATTTATTATAATATATATAGGTATAAAATATAAAAAGTATATAAATAATTTATTTAAAGGGTTTATAAATAATATTTATAATAAAAAATCCTTAAGGAATAATAAACGTTTAAAATATAATTTAAATTAATATTATAAAGGGGTTATATAAATATTTTTATTAAAAAATTTAATAAAATTTTATTTAAATATTTATATATAAATACTTTAAAAGCTTAATTTATTTAATTAATTTATAATATTTAATTAAATAAATAATAATATAATTAATTTTTAAATATATTAATTAATAATAGTTAATAAATTTAAATTAATAAAAGGTATAAATATAATAATTAAAATAGTTAAATAAGGAATATAATAATTAATAAATTATAATTTTAATAAAAAGGGCTTTATTATTATTATTAATTAAATAAGGTTTTCCTTTATTTTTTTTAAAAGAATTTAAAAAATGTTTAAAAAGGAATATTAATTATAAAATATAATTAAAGTATAAATTTTAAATATATATATATTTAATAAAATTATTATTTTATTTAATAACGCATCTCCCACTTGACCTGGCCACCCAATTGACCTGGCCACCCCAATAACCTATATAAAACCCCATTATTTCAATCTTTAATAACTTTACTAATACTAAACGTACGATTTAATATTTAGCACCGTTGAATCCGTAAGTTAAAGGGGAATCCAGAGGTATTTTTTACTATTTTTTATAAAATTTATTAAGCAAGATATTAAGCAATACGTTAAAGGGGCGCTAAGCAAGGATTAATTTAGCGCTTACTTTAGTGTATTGCTTAATAACTCCGCGAATATAAATCGTAAAAGTTAGTAAAGGGTACCGCTAAATAGCTCTTTTTATTACAAATCTAATGGTATATTTTATTATTTTATACGATTAGTATTTATAGAGTTATTAAATTATCACATGATTAGCGCACCGATGTTTTTTATATGGGCTAAGGGGGTGGCCAGCTCAATTGGGTGGCCAGGTCAAGTGGGAAATGCGTTAAATCTATTTATAATAATTAAATATATTATTTTATACTTTATAAAGTTACTTTAAATATTATTATTTCTTTTTTTAAATAAATATTATTTTAATATATAATTTATAATTAATTAAATAAATAGGTATTTTATTAAAGGGAAAAGTAACTTTTTAATTAATTTATTAAATATTAAATGGTTTAAAATAAATAAAATTAAATATTTAAAATTATTAAATATAAAAATTATTATATAAGGTATAAATATAAATAATTAATTAAATAAATTAAATAAAAAATAATTAAAAAATAATAATATAAAGAAGTTTTATATAATATTTTTAAATAAAAATTATTCTTTTAAATCTTTTAATTAATTAAGTTTATATTTTTCTATATATAAAATATAAAATAATATAAATTAATAATTAATAATAAATTTAATAATTATTATTAAAGGTTTTTTAATAAATTCATTTTTAAATTTTTAATTTTTAATAAATTAATATTATAACCTACTTTTATAATTAAAAAATTTTATAAATAAAATATAATATATTTCATTAAAGTAATAATTTTACCTAAAATAGTTAATATTAAAGGGTTATTAAATAGCATTATTAGTTATTATAAATTAATAGTAAAAAAGCGTTAAAGGTATAAGTAATATTAATCGGGAGCTATTCTTATATAAAAACAATAAAAAAAATATCGTTAATTATTATATAATAACATTTAAAATAACCTAATACGTTGTAATAAAGCAAAATGTTAAATTCTATATATAATACGTAAAGACCTGGATTGACTATCTGAATAAGTGAAGGTTGTTCTATCTAGAAGGTTACTCTAAGGTGAGTGCTGGCTGGCGTGGAAGTAGGGTGCCAGAGTCGTCACGTGACTGCTAGCGTCATCCCACTGACCCAACAACCTGTACGCCCTAAAAATAAGGAGATAGGTACGATTCGGCGACATTCTTCTTACGGCTTCGGAATTATGCAAAACCCGCCACAACCCTAAGCTATGCGCAGTATTGTAGACCTTGGGACCGGGTTTCTCTATGCTTGTCGAGAATGTTCCCATTACTGACTGCGCGAGTTGCCTTGACACTTGATCTTGGTGCAACTTCTTACTCACATGGATGACATAGACAATCCCCAGCACTGGGGATTCGGAAGGCCTAGGATTGAGTGCAGCTCGAAGTTTTGCTGAGAAAGGTGTCAGCGTGATTATTATTGTCACGCGCGATGTTGACAATGTGAAAAATGGGAATGCTCATGTGTCAATTCGTGTCTTGTCACCCATAACTGGACCGAAAAATCGATCTATTAGGCCCAGCGTTTCCATTATATAAACGTCGATGTAACAATCACGACTGAGTGTACTCTGAAGCCCTGCGTAGGGTAATGGCTCAACTCCTGATATTATCTATTGGTGCGCTAATTATCGGCACGCCGCTCAATCAGTTCCTGGTCATGATGGATAGCAATCACTTCTCATCCGTGTATATAGCCCAAATTATTCTCAATGCTTAGTTAGCAACTATTAAGTATTATGATGCTTCTAACAGCGCGGTACAACAACCAGGGTGGCCGTCAAGTGGGAACCCATTAGCTAAAAGGAGGTGATGACTGTGACTATAGAAATGCTCCGATGAATGACTAACTGCGCTGAGCTGCTGAAGTCGCTATCAACGCAAATTATTACAACTGAGTATTGAAGCTTTCGATTTATAACTCTGATGATAACAGTACCCAGATTCATTAAAAGGGGGGAGAGTGGTTGAGAGACACTTGGTACCAGGATAGTGGAGTCACGAAAACTATACCCTATCTAACCAGCCGGCCAGCCAGGTTAGAAATGCCGCGATATCTATCTTGGGAGATGGGAGACGATATAGAATACCTCAGTATAGCGTGTCGTATCGTGGAGCCAAAAAATAAAATAAAATAAACATCAAGTTGGGGTCATCGCACAGAGTCCTTGCGGTGCGGAGAAGAAGGAGGAGGAGGCCTCACCCGAAAACTTTAAATCTTTAAATGGCTAGCCGCCTCCGAGCAATATAGTGGGCCATTTTAGTATTGCCTTAACAGCTTCCAAGTATCCCAACCGCCGCCCTCTCGCACTTTTGAACCGCGCCTTTGTTTAGCCACCACATTGGCGCCGCAATCGACAATGGAGACAGCTGTTTTATTCTCCCTTTGAACATGGGCATGCCACTAACACTGCTCTTACTAGAACTGGTGCGGGATTTACCCATCACTGGAGGAAGCAAGTCTAAGCCCTGCTTGATTAAACCAATGATGAGATGCTCGTGACTTCACGAAAGCGGTCACGCAAGCCTGACGTATGGATTCGCCAGCAACACTGTCCATTTGGCCTTCAAGCTGCGACAAGCAACAGTGCGGCGTCCTCTTTGTCTCACTTGTTTTCTGACAACCCTATTTCATGGTTTACTTCTCAGAGCGAGGGGAAGGTTGGATTCAATTACAGCCAACTAGTATAACAATATAAAAGTTTCACTCAACCCGCATAATACCACCTACACTGTTCTATCCTTGTGTCTTGCACCGGTTCTCTCCCCCTATTCGCCCCTTGTCTTTGGTGATACCATCCATCTCGTTATAGAAGGACAATCCTCCCGTAGCCAATTATTCCAAGTAATGGACGACGACGACCTCGAAATCAAGCCAGCCCTCCGCTGGGAGGACGTAGAAGCCGCCTCTCGTGGTGGCCGTGGCCTTACTCGTCGTGACTCAAATGGATCTATGTCCATCCATAGTGTGCGGACACGCCGTGAAGTTGACCCAGCTATTGCCCTACCTATCCAATACCGTACACTGTGAGTCTTGAAAGTCTTTCCATTTCCCCTACTAATAACAATCATTTTGCTAATGATAGCATGAAAGATCGTACCAGATATCCGAGTCGAAACAAGTCCACGACCTTAAGGAACGTGTAAATGCTAAAGATGCAGCTACGAAAGGTTCTTGAGAACAACTCTAGTAATGAACTGCACAGCACCTCGCTAAACTTACTAATGTAGAATTTTCTGCACTGGAATGGCACGCCATATCAACCGATGAAGCCCTTCGCCGCCTCAGTACATCAGTCACCGAGGGTCTGTCCGATGACCAAACACTTCGCAGAACCAAGGAATATGGTAAAAATGCTCCCTCCCCGCCAAAGTCCCATACGCTCCGGACCTGGTTCGGATACTTTTTCAAAGGCTTTGGTTCCGTCCTCCTTGTAGGCGCTGTTCTAGTGTTCGTCTCTTGGAAACCCCTCGGACAGCCCCCTTCTCTCGCAAATTTGGTAAAATCTCACCCGAATTCAGGTTGCGTTCAAGAATACCGGCTAATATGTTCCACTAGGCTCTTGCCGTTGTTCTTCTTGCTGTATTCCTTCTCCAGGCTGCTTTTAATGCATTCCAAGACTGGAGTTCCTCCCGTGTAATGAGCTCGATCAAGAATATGTTGCCCGAAGACTGTCTTGTTACTCGAAATAGCATGCAAGTATCTCTACCAGCAACAGATCTTGTTCCGGGAGATATTGTACTCGTTAAAGCAGGCAATAAACTACCGGCGGATTTGCGGTTCCTACAGGTCTCGAGCGATGCGAAACTGGATAGATCGATTCTTACTGGAGAGTCGGTTCCCTTGGCCGCCAGTGTCGACTCAACCGATGATAACTACCTTGAGACTCGTTGTATTGGAATGCAAGGAACACATTGTGTGTCTGGCTCTTGCATTGGTCTAGTTGTGGTATGTCAATTAATACACACCGATATTTGACTCTTCTAGTGCTAACACATAGTTCTCTACAGGCAACTGGTGACCGTACAGTCTTTGGCCGCATTGCAGCCTTAACACAGGAGCCCAAGACCGGGCTAACAACGCTCGAAAAGGAGATCCTATACTTCGTAATCATTATTTGCTCAATTATGCTGACCATGATAATTATTGTTCTTTTTGCCTGGTAAGATTGATATTTGTTATATAAGGGGGTTTTCACTAAGATCAATGTGATAGGGGTTTCTGGTTGAGACGCGATCATCCCGACTACATCAGTATACCGACCCTAATTGTCGACATCGTCAGTGTCGCAATTGCATTTATCCCTGAGGGCCTACCTATAGCATTGACGGCTGGATTGACAATTACTGCAAACCTGATGCGAAAGAATAGTGTCTTGTGCAAGTCATTAAAAACGGTTGAAACACTCGGTTCCGTGTCTGTAATCTGTTCCGACAAAACTGGAACGTTGACTCAGGTAAGTAGTCCTAGTTGAAGTTTTATTGTTGGTCAAAAGATTTTGTCGAAATGATATTAACGTCTTTCAGAATCGTATGACGGTGACTGAATGCACAATCGGCACTCGTAAGTAGTTCTGGGGTTGGCGAGGTGTCTTATTCAGTGTGCCCGATATGAGAGACTACCGCTTAGCACACCCTCACATTTGCTCTCTATTCTCACAACACATGGAGACTAGACTCCAAGGTTAGCAATTCTAGACTGCTAACGTTCGCAGATACTATCACAGCAGATGAAGCTGAGGACGAGCTCCTTACAAGCACTGCACCAGACATCGCTGGGATTGTGACCACAGGTGTTGATCAAGTCAGAGCCATCTGTGCACTCTGCAACGCTGCAGAGTTTGATGCTGCTACTTCTGATTTGCCACTTGAGGTGAGAAGATCTTCAAGCTCAAATTCTACATGTCTATTACTGATCATACTCTCGATCCAGAATCGACGGGTCTTTGGTGATGCTACGGATCAAGCCGTTCTAAGGTTCTCGGAGAAACTCGGATCGGTCAATCATATGCGTCAATGCTGGAATAAGACGTATGAGCTTGCGTTCAACAGTAAGAACAAGTTCATGATGAGGACTTTTATTATGTCTAGAAAAGATTGCTTGGCAGCAACGCTGCCCGAGCAAGAGGCAGATGGTTTCAAATCAGGAGATACGTGAGCTGATCAAAGATACCAGATTTCGTTCCTGTGCAATATATGCTAACAGGGCAAACAGCTTATTGACAATCAAGGGTGCGCCTGATATCCTCATTGGGAGATGTTCGTCTTACACTACAAATGCGGGAGACACCCGCCCGTTAGACGATGATGTGAAAGCAACGTTTGAAAATCTGAAAAACGAATATAGTAGCCAAGGCAAACGCTGCATCCTTCTCGCTCGTAAAGTTATTCGCCAGTCAGATCTTCCCTTCGACCGCAACACAAGTCAATTCGAGGAGACGGTTCTACTGGAAGCCAAAGCAGATTTGACTTTAGTAGGACTCCTAGCCATCGTCGACCCATTGCGTCCCGAAATCCGCGACGTGGTCCAGACGTTACGCGGCGCCGGAATTCGCATATTTATGGTGAGAAGCTTGAGTACTCCCTTCACCTGTTTCTTCTCTAAAGAGGTTCATAGGTTACTGGAGACTATGCATTGACAGCCCTTGCTATCGCTTTGGATGCCGGCATTGTCAGTGATCCATCATCGCTTGTCCATACTATCTCTGCACTCCCGCGGGAAGAGGGACCCGTCGGCGAGCTGCCCAAGACTTCTCGTTCTTCCATCGTCATCAGCGGCCCGGAGCTACTTCAACTCAACGAGTACCAGTGGAAACTCCTTACTCAATACCAAGAAATCGTTTTTGCACGGACCACTCCAGAGCAGAAGCTCCGCATCGTGAAGGAATTTCAACAAGGCAATGTTGTAGCGATGACGGGCGATGGAGTCAACGATGCGCCGTCCCTCAAAGCTGCGGATGTTGGTATCGCACTCGGCTCCGGTTCAGATATTGCGATTGAGTAGGTATTCCTTTCTCAAGCCATCCCCTTTTCAAATTCCTGGCCCGCTATCCCTCACAACAGGCATCAGCCGTATCTCGTTTCGCACTTATGCTGACTCTGGCATAGAGCGGCTGATATGGTCCTTCTTGAGTCCTTTTCTTCTGTGGTCGAAGCTGTTGAATATGGTCGTGTAGTCTTCGACAATTTGAAGAAGGTCATCTGCTACCTCCTACCAGCTGGCAGCTTCTCTGAGTTCTGGCCAATTATGGCTAGTATCCTGCTTGGCATTCCCCAAATCCTTTCCTCGTTCCTCATGATCATCATCTGGTAAGATAGAGCGCACCATCCAGCGCTACCTGACCAATACTAACTTAGGCCTGATATAGCTGCCTCACTGATTGTGCTGCTGCAACTGTACTGTCCTACGAAAAACCCGAAGCTGATGTTCTTCTGCGCAAACCGCGAGACGTGAAGAAAGACCGTCTTGTTGACTGGCGACTGCTACTTCATGCCTACGGAGTAATAGGCGTGTTCCAGACGGTTACGTCCTTTTTTGTATCGTTTTGGTACCTTCAGCGCAACGGGATTCCCTTTAATCAGCTATGGTTTGCCTTTGGCAAGATTCCAGATGGAGTTGACCGGGACTATTATACAGAAAAGTTGAATGTTGCTTCATCCATTTACTTTGTTAACCTAGTCGTCATGTAAGTTGAAAGACTCCTTACAACTACCCAGTTGCTGACCCTTCCACTAGGCAATGGTTCAACTTACTCGCAGTCCGAACGCGACGTTGGAGTATCTTCCAACACCCACCTGCCTTCAATAAGAGAACTCAAAACCTTTATATTTTCCCTGCCATCCTTTTTGCCTTATCGATGGCGCTTCTTTGGCTCTATATTCCCCAGTTGCATCATATTCTTGGCACATTACCCGTACCTGTTGAGCATTGGTTCTTGCCGTTTGCCTTTGGATCTTTCATCTTATTGTTCGATGAGACCCGGAAGTTCTTTGTTCGGAAATACCCCAAAGGTCCGATTGGCAAGTTGGCTTGGTAAATAGGGAGCATGAACGTACATGATGCAGGATAGGCTATCTAAATACTGATTCGGACTTCCGGGTCGTAGATAACTTAAATACCAATTAGCCTACGAGTCTATATTGTTATGTATATATAAGTCTTGGAAAGATAAAGTCTTTGTTGTATTTTTAGACAAGTGCTGACATCCATCTCATCATGGTGTTCAGGGTTCCTTGCGTCGTTTTATTTTAGAATTGTTGGGCCTTATGCGCTCGCCATAATCTCCATGGGAGTTTCCAGCTGCTTTTTACCGTAAATGGATTGAAGTCCGCAGCTTCAAGACGGGTAAGGTAGTCATTCGCCGGTATGGCCTCGAGTAGCACTCCAAATCCCCGTTGGAGTAAGGGATCAAAACCTTCTTGACCTGGGTCTGAATCGGGATACTCATGCTGTTCTTCGCCCTGGTGTTCGTATTCATGCCCTGGATGCTCTCCTGCTCGGATGTTTTTTAACATCTCTCTAGCTGTGATAAGGTGGTCATTAGCACGAGTTGCTACTTTGAAAACAGCATCCTGAAAGCCCTCAGCTTCGGGACCATGACGATAAACGTCTTCTTCTCTCAAGCCGGTCTCAGCCATGATATCCAACGGCAGAAGCAAGACTGGATTTCTGCTCGCGGCTACGTTTGCACCATCGGGCGACTTGACGGATGGGGCAGGCGAGGCCAGAACGGGGATGCCTCTGCATACTGCAGCAATGCCGCATGCCTTCCCAATGTGACTGGCTAGATGATCCATGTGCGTAGACTGAATGGATAGGGTAGCCAGTGTAGAGTACATCAGAGTGGAATATGTATTTTCGGCATAGTCCTCAAGCGCAGAAAGACTCGGGAAAGGTCGGTTATCCATATGCTTCTCACGAGTGCTGATCATCCGCAGCAACCAGAATTTGATAGAGCTGGGGTTACTTTGGGAGGAGGTCTCTGCGAGGCGTAATAGGACATCGTGGAGGAGGAGCATAATGGGTTCCTTAGGCGGGCGGCCAGCAAAAGTGTTGTTGATGGCATCGCGCCAGAACTGAACACGCAGCTGACCGATGGCGGGGTTAGACACAAGCTCTGGAAGGCGCACAAGCTCAAGATTCAGAGCGCGAAAGGCATCATAGGCATCTCGTCTCGATTGAGGGATGAAGTTTCGGATTAGGAAGGAATCATAGTCGGACTGTCTAGTACCGTCAGTTTCTTGAGCTTGATTTCGGCGTGGTTTTGAGATCAATCGTTGAGTCAAGCGGGGAAGAGAGAGAGAGAGAGAAAGAAAGAAACTACCTCAATTGGGCGATGCAATATTGCCTCGCCTTGTGAACATCAGCATCTGTAACCAAACTTCTTCGCAAGATCTGCGCAGCTGGTCTAGATCTTTGCCATCGCAATCTAGGACGCAACCGAGTTGCGCGATACATTGAGAATATAGAATCAAATCACTAGACACTATATTATGCAATCCATATGAGACATAAACAGAAGCAAGTAATTCCCTGGTTTAGGTAGATCATTTGTATGTGAAGCGCTAAAAGTAAAAGTCAATATGACATCAACGGCGTCTTAGTAATTGGGAAAATACGATAGGTAAGTACCTAGGTAACAGTGCTGCTACAGTAAAAGCTACTATATACACTGTTTAGCCGAGTGTGTTAATATGCAGACTGGTCGGAGTTCTGGCTAGTCTTCACAGTTTACACACTGTATTCAACCCATTAACGCGGTCACCTGATGACCCGTCAAACCAAGTCGCGTCACCCCCTCCAAAGCTCCTAGGCAAAGAGCTTGAAGCGCGTCAACTTTGCAGTTCACTGCTATGTAAGCCTCGCAAAAATTCGGCTTCTCGGACACACCGTTTCAAATCGCCGCCGATGGAAATGCTAGATACTGTTGTATATTGTCCTTGCGAACTGTGGTGCTTAATATGAATTTCGCCGACTCCGCTGAGCCGCCGGCCAAAAAACGAAGATTCTTTGCTGATCCCGACACTTGTGTATCTCATGAGCCCACGGCGAATAATGATCAAAGCGAACCTCCCCATGCAAAGCATTTAGAACCATCGCGACATTCCGAAGTTCCTAGCCCCAATTCTGCTCCTTCTGTCGTCAGCGCCAATAATCCCCGTGCGTCTCCGCCGCCACCCTCCACCAGTTCAGACGCTGCCGTCACGTTCGATCAGGATGCCTTTCAGAGTCTGGTGGGCGACACCGTTAGTCCCGAAGTCTTGGCAATAATACGTGCAAAATGTGGCGATAGTCTAGAGCGGGCTCTTAATATGTACTTCGATGGCACTTGGAAAACTTTCCAAGTGCGCTCCCACCCCTTAATGAGAACGACGACAGTTCATCCATCCACTCCCCTTTCCACAACAGGACTACCTGCCCAGAACGATCAGCCTACCCGTACCAATACTTCACACAATAATCTTGATATCCGCTATATCGGGGCCTTCGGCGCTGAGGGCTGGGCTACGAGGAGTGGGACCAATCTTGTTAAACATGGCGATGTCGTTAAAATCGAACGACAAAAAGCTCAGCAGACTCCTCAACGACTGCGTCTCGCCGCCTCTGGGAAGTCCGATGTTATTGTGCGCTTTACTGATAGTAAAGGAACGGAGATTGGGAGACTGGCTAAAGATGCTGCTAATTGGATCTCATCCCTCATCGACCAGAATGTCTGCAGGTTCGAGGGTACCTGTGTATATGCTCCTGAACGCTTGAGAACAAACGACACTGTTTTCCTACAGCTACGATGCTACCTCAAGATGAGCGTCTTTCATGCTACGGGGTTTGACCTATCGGACAATCGATCGACAGGGTTTTACGAAGAAAAGGAATCGACTGAAGAAAGGAATCTACGGTTACGGCAAGTGGGCATTGTGAGACTGTTCCAAGAGATCAATCTTGCGCCTACAAAGAGTAATACGGCTTCTCACCAAAATGCTCGTCAGGGCCTCTTGGACGCAGCTGAACTTGCCGAGAAGAAAAACAAACAGCACCAGTCAAATAGCCGGTGCGTTTTCCCATTGTCCTTCACAACTGACTTTATCCTAATATGTATTCAAGAGACACCCCGGGCTCACAATCCGATGACGCCGAGGAAGGGGAAGAGCTAGAACAAGATCAGCTCGATACCTTATACCGCAAGGCGCAGTCATTCGATTTCAACACCCCAGAAGCAGAGCCTGCACCTACTTTTGCTATGAGTCTGAGACCATATCAAAAGCAATCGTTACACTGGATGCTGGCGAAGGAAAAGGACGAGAAAAATGAGGCAAGGGAAACTTCTATGCACCCATTGTGGGAGGAATATACGTGGCCGCTGAAGGATGTTGACGATAAGGAGCTGCCCCAGGTAGAAGGGCAACCCAATTTCTATGTCAATCCCTACTCAGGTGAAATGTCCCTGGATTTCCCTTACCAAGAACAACACTGCCTCGGTGGTATTTTGGCCGACGAGATGGGTCTAGGCAAGACTATTCAGATGCTCAGCCTTATTCATTCTCATAAATCCGAAGTTGTCGCGCATCAGTCAAACCAGCCTGTCAATCGTCTACCCAGGACGCTGCAGCGATTATCTAGCTCCCACCATACTGCCTCTGCCCCTAAAACAACACTGGTCATTGCCCCCATGTCATTATTAGCTCAGTGGCAAAGTGAAGCAGAAAATGCCTCGAAGGAGGGAACTCTTAAATCCATTGTTTACTACGGAAATGATAAGATCGACAATCTACAGGCGTTATGCCGTGAGTCTAATCTAACATCAGCCCCTGATGTAATCATTACAAGCTACGGCGTAGTTCTTTCTGAGTATTCACATATCCATTCACGCCTTGGGGGTAGGGAATCACATAGGGGCCTCTTTTCTCTCAACTTCTTTCGCATCATACTCGATGAAGCGCACACTATTAAGAACAGGCAGTCTAAGACCGCTAAAGCTTGTTACGAACTTTCGGCAGAGCATCGCTGGGTCCTGACCGGCACACCCATCGTAAACCGTCTCGAGGATCTCTTCAGTTTAGTGAGGTTTCTGAGAGTTGAGCCCTGGAATAATTTTTCGTTTTGGCGCACATTCATTACATCCCCGTTCGAATCGAAGGATTTCATGCGCGCTCTCGACGTCGTACAAACCGTTCTAGAACCGTTGGTCATGAGAAGAACGAAAGACATGAAAACCCCTAATGGAGAACCGTGAGCATCTCCCGGAGATTCTCGAGAAAACCATTTGCTAATGTTCTGCTTCAGCCTAGTAATGTTACCGCCAAAGTCCATTGAAATCGTCGACGTAGAGCTCTCCCAGGCCGAGCGAGCTGTGTATGACTATGTATTTGCGAAAGCAAAGCGCACGTTCTCTGCAAATATTGAAAAAGGCACCGTAATGAAAGCATATACCACTATATTCGCTCAGATCCTGCGTCTACGCCAAACTTGCTGTCATCCCACGCTTGTCCGTAATCAGGACATTGTTACTGAAGAGGAGCTTGCCGGTGCAGAGTCTGATGCTGCTGCTGGATTGAGTGATGATATGGATCTTCAATCTCTAATCGAACAATTTACTGCCGCAACCGGTGATGAAAAGGATGCCAACGCTTTTGGAGCTCATGTTCTTGAGCAAATACGCGATGAGGCAGTTAACGAATGTCCGATTTGTTCCGAAGAACCTATGATCGAGCAGACAGTTACGGGGTGTTGGCATTCAGCCTGTAAAAAGTGTCTCCAAGGCTACATGAAGCATCATACAGACCGACACGAAACTCCTCGGTGCTTCAACTGCCGCAAGCCACTCAACTCTCGCGACATATTCCAAGTAGTTCGACATGATGACGACACCAGCACTTTCCAGAGCTCTCCTAAGATTAGCCTGCAGCGTTTAGGTGTTAACGAATCATCGTCGAAGGTAGTATCACTTATGGCGCACTTGCGGGCTCTAAGGCGAGAGCATCCGCGGATAAAGTCCGTTGTCTTCAGTCAATTCACCTCTTTCATGTCACTGATCGAGCCCGCGCTGACCAAAGCCAATATGAAATTTCTTCGGCTCGATGGAACAATCAACCAAAAGGCCCGAGCGGCTATCCTGAAAGAATTTGCTGAGGGTGATAAATTTACCATACTGCTGCTTAGTTTGCGAGCCGGCGGTGTTGGCCTTAACCTCACCCAAGCAAAACGTGTTTATGTGATGGATCCCTGGTGGAGCTTTGCTGTCGAAGCACAAGCTATTGATCGAGTTCACCGAATGGGCCAGGACGCGGAAGTTAAAGTATACCGGTTCATTTGTAAGGATAGCGTGGAAGAGCGCATGCTCAAAGTACAAGATCGCAAGAAGTTCATGTGAGTCGGCATAATTCCAGGATTCTAGCCTAAGCAGACCTTTACTGACTCCAACAGCGCGACATCTTTGGGCATGATGACAGATGAGGAAAAGAGGCTCCAGAGGATTGAGGACATTAAAGATTTATTGAGCTAAGTGTAGCTCATAATAACTATAGCTCACACTCGCCTCCGTGGAGATGCTGCCTGGCCCTTACCCCTCCTCCACTGGCTATGTAAACTTATTTATTAGGAATGATAGGATGGTGACAAATCCTGTCCATGAGTAAACAAAGAATATACTTGATTACTTCCATGTCAATAATAATGGTAAGAAATCTCTTGTCTCCATTTCCCCTTAATCAATGGCCTTGCTGCAATTTGCACTAGAGAGGAGTGGCGGCTCTCCGTTCGGGCAAGCGCGGTCCGCGGGCTCCGTGCCGGGGGCGCCGCGGTAACCCGGTGAGACCGGCCCGAGTCAACATTCACTAAAGAGAACATCCTTGCGCAACCCGGGAGTTCAGCGGAGACGGCCACTGTGACAGTCACTAAATTCGAATTAGGTCTCACAGCCTTAGGAGGCTATAAGACCATAAGGTATCTCTGTATATATATTAGCTTACTGGGGGTACAATAGATGACACCCACTGTGACTGTCCTTAAAGTTCGCCGACTATTGCCCCTTGGTGTGACGGTCTCCGGCATGGCCTCCGATCACTGAAAATCACAGTGACCGTCTCCTACACACTTCGTTTACTTCTTTGTACTTTCCATGTACTATTGATTGTACTTTCTATTCTGTATCTTTGAGCTGCTGCCTTCATGGTTCTTGCCTAATGTTTCAACACCGAATCTAAACAGCCCGGGCAAAGCCTTTACTCACATCTGAGGATTTCAACCCATATTCACACAGTTCATTGCGTTTTCTCTATATGTGGAAACTGATCAAGACTCATCAGACCATTGTTAGGGACATAGTATAAGGTAAGCTTAAGACTATCCTTGCTCTTGTTGTACAAGAGTTCCTCTTTCGAACAAAGCTGAACATACATACAGAGAAGGGCTTCCTTATTGCCTTACAGCCTCGTGGCAATCATCGACCATCCAATGAATGAGCTGCACTCAGCCATGGATAGTCAAAGCCTACGTTTACGCGGTCCCGAGGGATCACGAGACGGAAATGAGATGTCTCGAAACACTACGAAGAATACGCACTTGGGTCGTTTGACTCGGAAGCAAAAGGCACGAAAGCAGGCTCAAGCGAAGGAGGCTCTGAGATGGCAAATCCCTCTTTTCCTGACTACTGCACTATCATTCCTCTACCTCCTCAGCCCTACCGAGACCAACATTGCATACCCTTTGATATTTCTCTCTTACAAGACTCTAAACACTACTGATGCCTTCGCGGCGCCAGAGTATGGCAAAGGACCTCGCGACATTGCCTTCGTAGGGTTCTACGCCCTTGTCCTGTTCTTCGCGCGAGAATTTATCACGCAGAAGATTCTGCGCTCTCTAGCAGTTTACCTTGGCATCACATCCCGCAGCAAGATAGCACGCTTCAACGAGCAAGCATTTGTCGCGCTGTACACTGGAATCGTTGGTCCTCTCGGCCTTTATGTGATGTATCACTCGCCAACGTGGTATTTCTCGACGGCCGGCATGTACGCTGCCTACCCACACAAGACACACCTTGCAGTAACGAAGTTTTACTATCTCTTCCAAGCTGCGTTCTGGGTCCAGCAGGCGATGGTCATGATTCTTGGGCTCGAGACGAGACGCAGGGACTTCAGAGAGCTTGTGGTTCATCACATTGTCACTGTGTCGCTGATCGCGCTCAGCTACCGTTTTCACTTCACTATGATGGGTGTGTTGGTCTACGTGACACACGATATTAGTGACTTCTTCTTGGCTGTGAGACTTGCTCTTCCCATCCTATCTCGGCGCTCATGGCGGATCGGGGAGCCTCGTTTAGCTAACCTGATCTCTAACTAGACTTCCAAAGCTCTCAACTATATCGACAGCCCATTGCAAGGTCCTTATTTTACCCTCTGCATCATTTTCTGGATCTACTTACGCCATTACATCAACCTGAAGATCCTGTACTCAATCCTTACCGAGTTCCGCACCATCGGCCCATATGTTCTGGATTGGGAAGCGGAGCAGTATAAATCTGGCATATCAAACGTCATCACGTTTGCGCTGTTGGCGTCACTACAGGCCTTGAATCTGTACTGGTTATACTGTCTCTTTCGAAATGCCTACCGATTCGTCGTTTTGGGCGTTGCAAAAGACGACCGTGAAGACGATGTTGACAACGAGAAATAACTAAAAAGATTGATGCGAGAGAGTTATCCTAAGTATCGTAGCCACGGTCTTCTGAGATCATGCCGCCGGCAAGTGGCATGCGATGACAGGATACGATGCGGCCCATGCGTGGGTATAAGATGGCCATGGCGCAGATGACGCAATGCTCCCGTGTGAGTTAAAATTTGGTGCTGGGAAAAACGTACAGTGAGCTTTTCATGCTCCCTAATTGCCTAAGTTTAATGCTAGCAAAAGAGCACCTAATACGACAAAGAAGCAGAGTGATGAAAAGGGAATTATGCTCAAGGAGATAATTCATGATAGTAATTGATGAAAATACATCTAATAACCCTTATGGAAGCTAATGGAGATGGCAGAGACGTGATTATTACTGACGCATCTCATCCAGATTTCACTTCCTATATCCAACTTAAATTCACGCTTTTCAAGGTGAGAGATACTAACCTTAAGACAGGCAATAGAGTTTGTTCCATATCTCATAGAGATGGGCTAGACGCACTGGGATAAAGTAGAATGACAGGTCATGAGCAATGAATCTATATCCAGATCTTATTCTAGTATATCAGGTATATGACTCATATCAAGGGCCGCGAGCCTACTACCTAGGTTTTACCCAAAAGTTATTTTTATATCATTAGTCGTTAGGCGCGTGGGCGGCACCTTGCTAGGCTAAAGCCAAACACGACGCCGTCATGGGAGTTGTGGGCCGCTGTTGGTAACCCTCTTTAGTACGTTTCCGGACTATTAGTAACAGAGTCGACAGAGGATGATGTCTGCCCCAACTTTATGTTTCCTTCTAAGCCATTGACTGATATTACCTGCCGTCGACTTTCAGATTTATGAAAAGCCCGTATAGACCAAAGTCATACGCCAAACGGCAAACACCAGCAGCAACAAAAGCGACCCAGAAGTGCTCATTTGAAGCCAGAACCCCAGTGATCGACGGACCAGCCATTGCGGCCAATGTTCGTATTGTGCTGGTTATCCCCATAACTGCCGTCCGCTCTTCGGGCTTCACTACTGCAGCGATCAGCGCGGTGCGCGGCGCCTGATCCATACTATTTAGTGCTGCTCTGATAAGCAGGAGGGCAGCGGCCATCCAGAAATAGGGCGGGAACGGGAAGACAAGAACGGCAACTGAAGAAGGAATGTGGGTGAAGACCATCGTGTTTACAAGGCCGATGTTCTTGGCCAAGGGTCCGGCGAGTGTCGCGCCGAGCGCGCCGAGGAAATAACTAGCCGACGTCACGTCGCCGAGCGTAGACTTGAGTGGGTGAAACTTGGTGTCCAAAAAGTAGTTCGTCAGTGAGTATGGCACCATACCGTCGGCAAGTGAGTCGACGGCGAGAAGAAACCATAATTTATACATGGTCGATCTCGTTGGGCGCGAGATCTGTCCCAGCTGCGTAGAAAACCAATTCCAGGCCTTGGTGATTCGGTTCGACTTCTCGGTCGGAACATCGATCGGTTCCAGGGACGGAGCATCCGAACTGCCATGTGGCTCTTGAATCTCAAACTCGCCCTGCGGAATTTGAGTGTAATCGCTGCCTGCCTGCTGTAGCTCGCATGCCTCAGTTAGTAGGGAAACGAGGGCGAGGTTGACGAAGCCCATCCCTGCGTAGATCCAGAAGAGAGCATGATACGAGTCGACATCCGACCACCCATCCTTGCCCTGAAGCCAGTGGAGGATGCGCCCCGAGACCTCACTGCCAAGTGACGATCCTATCAACGGCGTTGAGACGTGCCATGCAAGCACGTCAGACCTCGTCGACGAGGTTGTAAGTTGCGATATGATGGACCTAGTAGTCTATTAGAGTTTTGTTTAGACTTCCCTAATAATTCGGCGATACGTACTCTTCTATGCTTCGGAATGGTCCGAAATCTCCACCTGTGATGCTGATAACGCCGACGATCGCACCAAGGAGTAAAATCCAGAAGTTCTCGAAGACGGCGAATACCACGCCGCTCGTGATCATGAGGACCGACCCGCCCAGCAGTACTCGTCGTCTCCCAATGCGATCAGCCACAAGTGACAGCAATGTTCCGAGGAAGACATCTCCGACGAGGGTCAGGGTCATGAAAAGACCGATCTGGTTGTCGGAAACGCCAAGGGCAGAAAAGAAGATGGCTACAAGTGATGCATTAACATTGATATCTTTACACTAAGTAGGAATGACTTGGCTGAAGGCTTGGCTTTCATACCTAGTATTAAAGAGTTGGTGCCATAGGCAAACATGCGACAGGTCCTTGCTAAGATGATGAAGTAAGCATTTCTACCGGTCGCGTGGACCGAGGCAAGACCAAATTCCTGATAGAACCAACGGGCGGAATTCATCACCGTGGACATGGTGAATAATATCTATCGAGGTTTACAGAACATGAAAATGACAACGACGGTCGTGAGAGAAAGAAGGTGAAGGACTATCGCACTGTCGCCATCGTCATCGCGGCTAAGGAAGAATTATGGATCGGCGCGAAGTGTATTTTCGCCCGGCACAGAGCCCGAGGGGTCCGCCGGTGTCGGTACTAAGTAAGACTGTCGCCATTGACTCTTCAAACTACGAGATACGGACCGGCTTAACCGAGGCGACGAGCTGCCTCCTTGGGCCATAAATCGAGTCTTTATGAATTCACTATTTGCACATCACAAAGGCGTAATACTAGGGCCTAAGTATGACTATTTCCCTTGGCGAGTAACAACTTCGGACATAGCCGCCGTTAAGTTCGGAGGACCGTCGGAATTGTATGCATTGGGGATACACACGATTATGTTTATGTAATCATGCAGGCAGGCCTACACAAAGTTACGGGATAAGGAGCCTTCCGGGGCGGAACTCTACTCGAAAGGTATGTTAAAAGCATCCCTTAATCATTCTATGTAACATATGTTTTTAGTCTAGGACCGTTCTACGATGATAAAGGTGTTGCGCTTGCTCGGGGTTTTAGTAGGATTTGTTTGTACTGGAGCCACACTGGCCATTGGTGTGGAGGGTGATTATTGACGATAGTCAGTCAGGTTGACTGCCCTCGATATATGACCTTCGATCTGACGTGGATGCCAATCCTGAGAAAGAAATGGCTCTGAGCAGACTAAATGAGTATCCCATGAGCACCAATAATTGGTTATATGTGCTTGCTTATTACATCGACCTCAGTATTAGTTTGTACAGTGACTTGCCCCTGCCCCTTTCCCCGCGATATCTCCCCATCATTCGCAAACTTTTTCATCTCTTAATAGTGAACATTAGTAGTCACCATCCTAAGCACCTTTATATTATGAACATAACGATCTTGATATAGATGACAGCGCATGCTCTAACTGCCCTTGTCACATGCGAGCGGGCAGTGGCGAGAAATGAATTGACATAAAGTACCTAGGTATCTTTCCCAAACACCTTGACTTTCCCTGCCTACCGGAGAGGTTATTACTGCATGATAATTGGGTTATCAGTGTGGCAAAAAGAACCTCAGCGTTGCGAGATACTGCATTGTACGCTTGACAATAGAGGATTAACTTCATCTTAGGGTGTGCACTGGGCTGTGTGAAGTATGTTTCATGTCGAATAACTTTATATAAACTTGTCGAAATATGTTACGCGTTAAAGGCGGGAACATAAAGGTAGGCACGCCCATACGATCGTCGGGGCCGGTGGACTGTAAACGGATCTCGTGGTTGCATCAAACGTATCTGTTTGTCACTTGCGATACTGTGATGGTACGTGAAATGAGTACTGAATAGTGCACAGCCCCTCCTCGAAATCATCAATACTCCAGCAAACGACGAACGAGCATGAATAACCCACGTAATGTATAGGCTCCGTTCTACACAAAACTGTACACGAATATTCGACTTTTCATTATACTTATCAAGTTTCCCCCTGCTAATCCCGGCGGTCGCTTACACGGAGTATCTTACTTAACATCATAGTCACCTCTCAGAACACCATGGCGAGAATTACAAGATCCTCTTCATCAAAGAATCCGGAGAGACATCACGTAGCTAGTGACACTGAGCATGCCGTGAAAGAGCAAGAACCACGGCCGGGCAAGAGACCAGCTCCCGACGATGGCGGAGATGGAGATGGGCCTCCTGCCAAAAAACGAACCCCCCTTCCAACCTTAGAGACCAGACGCCCCTATCCTGGCCAGGACGTCGAAAGGGACAGACTGAAGCTCCTTCACATCAAGAAAATGGAAGATGCTAGACTGAGAAAACTCCGGTCTAAGAAGAACGAATATGACCCTGATAAGGACACTGAGGCGCAAGGAACAGATGGCATCAAATGTAAGCATCTCGGGTGCCTTCCTTCTCATCATCCAACCACCATTACACATATAAGCCCTATTTGAGCAGCGCGGTTAACCCAAGTCGTACAGCGAAGAAGACACCAGCCGCCTCCTCCGAATCGAAGCCGCGTCGCAAGCCCCCAGTCGAGGTTTTCGCACCGCCAAAGCCGAGAACGCGTGATCCTACACGACGCAGCGAGAGACTTCACGCCAGTACCGAGCAGTCGAAGAAGGACTCAGGCCAGGTCCATTTTGAAGAGTTGGAAGGACGGCCCTCCCCACCCCTGTACGACAAAATGAATGGCAAGGACCAGACGGGTATCGCCCAAGAAGATTAGGTGCGTGAATGGGTGATGGGACGGTGGTTGACATGAGGGTGGGCGATACGGGAATGCACTTCGGGTTATGTACGTCTAGGCGCTCAGTCGATATAGCGATGGCGATGGTGGATAGAGGGAGGATCATGTGCCTCACTGGTACTGACACTTTCTCGTTCGAGTGCGCGAATCCTCTCACTATTACTTATATAGGGTGACCCCAGACAAAACATGCGATGTTTTCACCACTCTAGCAAATTTAACCTAACCTCATAGCTGTTGTTTGTTGCACATGGTGATTCACACTTTATTAACCTTTCGTAAGCTGAATGAAGACTAATTAGTAATTATGATTATGACTTGCCCAGAGACTCTCCAAGCTCTTTAGCTCGATCCGTCGACGCCCTGACCGCCTTGTCTACAACATCCTTGAATCCGGATGCCTCGAAGCTTTCGAGGGCGGCTGCGGTGGTGCCATTGGGGCTTGTCACGTTCTTTCGCAGCTGAGACGGCTCGTCGGTCGACTCGATGAGCATTTTCCCGGCGCCCATGCATGTCTGCTTTGCTAGGCGGGTGGCTTGCTCTTTGGTGAGGCCCAGCTTCGTTCCGCTCTCTATCAGGTGCTCAACCATAGCGAAGAAGTATGCAGGACCAGATCCTAGAAGACGACTGTCAGTTCAGGTTCCAGTACAAAGAGTTGAGATTGGGTAATTTACCAGACACCCCTGTAACCACATCTATGAGCTCTTCACGGTCTACCCACTCAGCTGCTCTACTGACGCTGGAGAGAAGTGCCTCGGCTAACTCCTTCTCGGACGAAGTCACGCTGGCGTCGGCGTATAGACCCGAGGCGCCCTCTCCCACTAAAGCTGGCGTGTTCGGCATGACACGGATGATATGCGGCACACGTCCGTCAGCGAGCTTCAACCACTCCCTCAGGCTGGCCAGTGTGATACCGGCAGCAATACAGATGACCAAGGGCGTAGTCGAGCGCTGGGCCCACGCGCCGGCAAGCTCTTTGCACACGCCCTTGGTGATCTGTGGCTTGACGGCGAGGACGAGGAGGTCTGCGTCTTGCGACGCCTCAACGTTGGACTCGGTGGTGCGCACCCCGGTGTCGGCCATCTTCTTGCGGTTGACCTCCCATGGCTCCGATACATAGATGTTCTGCTTGTCGATGCCTTTCGCCGCAAGCCCGCCGATGATGGCGCCGGCCACTGTCGAGTCCCCGGAGTTAGTGATTGCTATTCCGGGGGAAAGATGCCATGGCACAGTTGGTGAGGAGGTTGCAATTCCCGACGCAAGCTACTCACTGTTGCCGCCGCCAATGAAGGCCAATTTGCTTTTCTGAAGTTGTGAACTCATTTTCAGTGAGCCAAGATGAGATCCTGCCTCTGTGTGTATAAATTAGGTATCTTGACGTGTTGAAGTGCTCGTCAGCACCCGACGCGGGGTCGGGGTTGAATTCCCTTTAACACCTGTAGCCCGCTGACTGTAGTCCCGATCGCGGGATGGTTTAGTGGCTGATAATGGTGGCTCAAGCCTGTAAGCCGGTGCTATGCGCGTCCTAAGCCCGCCGCCTAAGAGACCCCCACAATGCAAAAGATCTCAACATTACGTCCATCTTAGCCAATATCATCCCCCAGAAATCCACCGCAAATATGCATGGCTTTATTTCCTAGACTGAATACAATGAACTATTCGTTAGCATTTATCAGGTTAAATTGTTAGTATCGACTAGATCCCCTCAGGGTTTTATTGTGTGGCTCCACCATGTACCTACCTCAGCCCACAGCTAGCTCCAATGGACGATGGATGGGAGTCTCAGACCAGCATTGATCTAATCCGATCTATAAGCGATGACCTGTGGCTGCTAGATAACCCGAAAAACGAATACATATTTACTTCTATTGAAGTTGACAGGCCAGCGAGTGTGTGGCGGTATTGAAGACTAGGTTTCTATTAGCCCGAGTCACACAGAACTAGTCTTCTCCGCGCGAGCACAAGGGATTGAATTTTTCGGGTTTGTTATTTGAAGGAATGTTATTGCTATCGGATATCCAATATATTGATACAGCATAGGTTGAACAATACCGTATGAACCATGAAATAAATACCCTTAGGAAACTGGGGTTTTCGCTGCCCCTAGACAGCAACGCATTCGTGCAGAGATGGTATGCCGTTATAATGACCCTAGTACCTGAGAATTCATATATACTCGGGGCTACTTGGCAGAAAGTCCTCCAAGAAGCCTCTCGTTCATGTACTGAAGCTAGTATCGGAGCTGTTCGATGATCTCGTCCGAGTTGATGAAAGCGCACCTCTCCCTCAATTTCTGCATCTTCATCACGTTCTTGGCATTGGGACCGTCGATAGCGGATAGCCCCTCATGTGGCCCTCCGGCTATGAAGATCTCGATCTCGTCCTCTTTAGAAAAGGCTGTCGTGAACCCTTTGAATGTATCATGACACTGCAAGCTTGGCTTTCCGGTAGTCGCGAATGTCGACCAAGACCTCGAGCCCCGACCCGCCAGAGCGTAGTCTTCGGCAGTAGGTTGGAAAGGATAATCACCATTGTCGTACACCGAGAGGTTGCCGAAAACGTACTCAAGATCCGAGGTGTGGATTACGCCATAGCCAGTTTCTCCTGTCAACCCTTCGATTATTTGATCGCTGATCGTTTGGTTCCAGTCGTATAGGTAGACGTCGTTTCCGTGTTTCGCGAGGCTTTCTGCGTAGAAGATGGGCTGGCATACCATCAGTATATCGCGGAAAGCCTGCGCTGTGCGATAGAACTGGCTCGATAGATTGGCAGTCTCGTCGGCTTCGAATTCAGCGGTAGGATACATAGAAAGTAACTTATCGACGTTGGCAGCAGTCATCGTGGGTACGTATGTCTGTATAAAGTCGTGCGCCTGCTCGTCTGTCTCGATGCTAGTATCGGTAAATGCGGTAAGGTCATTTTCGCACCATCCGATCATAGTAGTGACCTTGCCAAACCTCCCCTCTTTGATGAGTTGTGAGGGTGCTGCCGGCAAAAAATCACCATCGACGACCGGGAGCCAAATGTCACCGATATTGTGAGCGATGTCGGCAACATATGTCGCGATGGATGCGTTGAGAAGAGTCTCCATGTCGAAGTCGCGTAGGCACTCTACGGTCTCCGCTGAGTGCAAATCACTCGAATTGCAACCAACTTGATCAACCATCAGCTGCATGCCATCAATCGTGAAATTCCCCGTAATACCAGGCTCGTTATTCTGGCTTTCGCAAATCCCTTGCTGGAACGGCAGAGGTTTACTACCTCCGTATGCCATTATTTGCATACCAACAGCTAGGCCACCAGAAGATTGTCCAAATATAGTGACTTTTTCTGGGTTGCCGCCGAATTGATCGATGTGATCGCGCACCCATTCTAGAGCTAAGCGCTGATCCCTGAGGCCGGCATTCTCGGAGCCTTCGGCCTCGAGGGCAGCGGACTGTGCGAATCCGAAGAAGCCGAGGCGATAGTTAATTGCGACTACAATCACGGGTAGGCCATTTGCGACAGATTGGCTCACGATACCATCGGGCGAATTGGAGGCCTCTCTGTTCTGGCCGCTCCAAAATGAACCGCCGTGGATCCATACCATGACAGGAAGATGGCTGTCTTTGGTGGTTCCTTCGGGGCGCCCAATGATGAGGTTCAAGCAGTCTTCGGAGACCTCCGAGACATCCGTATACGAGAACGGCGGGGAGGCTGCTTCTACCGGCTGAGGACAAGCCGGGCCATACGATGTCGCATCTACGACGGTACCCGGCGCATACGTGTGAGACTTCGGGGGCTTGAAGCGGTTCTCGCCCCCCGTGTCCATTCCGAAGCGAATGCCTAGAAAAACTTCAACGCCATCCCGATCGACACCATTGTATGTAACCCCATGCTTGTCGTCAACCACGCGAGGACCTGTCGATTCGACTCCCCATGCGACAGCTATCGCTATTGTAAGAAGAGATGGGACCTTCATTGCAAGATTACGCTTGAGATCTTTGATCGACCGTGTAGAGGCGGGCCTTAGCCTTATTTATTTATAGTCAGCATTCCGCAACCGGGTGAAACAGGCATATTACACAGTGTCAAAGGCTGAGTGCGAGCCGAGAGCGCTGCATCAACCAGGGGTCATTTCCGCAAAAATAGAACAAATTGCATCATACTCCGTACGTGTACGCACATGGTGAGTGATTAGAGGAACCCGCGCTGGCGCCATCTACTCGGTTCTCATCTCCAACATCTCCCAATAGTAGACTCGGCAGGCATGCCAAAATCTCATCTCGCGCGACAAACCTCGTCATAGTGCCACGACGCAACACGCTCTCCGTCTGGTAGCTTGCCATACGAGACGAGTGTAGCGCGATTACATACGAAGGAGGTACCTAGTTCGGTACCTGGATAGGTCGGCCGCACTACCAAGGTGTGCTTGGCGTGTAAGTAAGTAAGCAGTAGGTACTAGTAAAGAACGGAAAAGGCAAAGAAAAAGAAACCAAGCTGATGACGGTTAAGTGGACTGCTTGGTACATACACTACAACCACTCTCCGAGGGAACAGAGATGTCTGCTGGACGCTCTGCCAGAACATTTGCATTTATCTGACGCTATGCGCCCCAAAAATTGAGTCTAATAGTCACAAGGAACAACAATCAATGAATATCATCTTCCATTGCTCCCGTGATGTTCTCTTATGACTGGAATCAGTAGGCCATCGCGAGAGTTGAAGTTGGCTGTTTATCCAGCACTGCGGAAGCGAGCGGAGGCTGACTTTCAGCTCACCCTGGATTGGACTTCCAAGCCTCTGTCCCAAGAACCCCGTCCCCAGTTTCAACCCAGTTTGGCGCGCTGACACGGCACACCCCGCGTTTAGTCTCATGTTGGCTGCCACGTGCTGTATGCACGCAATACGTTCGGTTACCGAGCAGCAGAAGAAACACACATTTGAGCTGAAAGGTTCATGCATCCAAATGCAAGCAGCTGCGAGACATGATTCCGAATAACTGGGTAAGCATGCCCTCCCAATGAATCGGTACGCCGCACAGGCCCTGTCAATAATCAGGCCAGTTTGGCTCAGCTACTACATGTAACTCTACTATACAGTATGCTAATCTACGACTAGTCCCCTATACGGAAACTAACTCGGGCGAAAGTGACCAAGGCGCGATTATTGGGGTTCGAGCGGAAGCTAGCACCACGCTACGAGCAACTATTTACGGACAAGCAGTGCCCGTGTCTTGGCAGTCAGAAGGGGTGACAGATCAGATGAGATTGAGTACGCGAGTAAGTACAATTCGCTGCTCTTATCTGCGTTGCTGATCTTGAACGCCAGGCGTGGCTTACAGGACTCACCCGCGTGCTCAAAGACGCAAATGCGCTGCCGGGGTGTATGTGAACGCCATTGAAAAGCCCCCCGAAAACCCCCCAGTTGCCCCCGAGGCCGAATGGGCCTGAGCGTTTATAGCGATCTCTGTGTGAATGATCGGCCTATGACTCAATCAATGACTCCGTCATGACGGACTTTTGTCATTCTTGGCAGTGTTCTGACACGTCGCAGCGGAATTCCTGAGCTGCAAATAGCCTTCAATCGCCGTGTATGGTGCGTTTGGAAGCCCGGGCTTTATCAAATCATCCCGGCTCTCTGTTCCAAGCGGATTAGAAGCTAGGGTATCTTCTCTCCCTTCGGAAACATATGGCTGCAGCCAAGTCCATTCGCCGTAGTCAGGAAGTCGGGGAACTATTAAGCCCTGCCCATTGATGTTGCCTGGGTCTTCCGTCGCTAGCTTCGGGTTCTCGTCATTGGCCGGGACATCACTGGATGGTATCAACAAAGGGCCCATATGAAGGGAAGCAGCCATCCTGCTTAGTGCATTTTGCCATGTCCATTCTGGAAGTAATAGCTCTACAGGTCGCAGAAAAGTTGAGTAGGCTCGGATGGGCATGAAAGGGTCAGCGATTGCACCGAAGACGGTCATATGCGCGTTGCGTCGGTCATCGAAGTCTTCCGCCTGGCTTGGATGATTAGGATCGTAGGGATGTCCGCTAGCTGAACCCCGAAAAGGCGTGAAGTGAGGGTACTCATCTGCATTCAAAACCTTTAGCGGGACCATATCCTGGTCTTTTGGTGCAAAGAAGGTTCTGATATAGTCGAAGTTGAGCTCGCCAAAAGTTGGAGTGGACGTATCAAAATAGCCGACAAGTCCATTATCTGAAAGGTTGCTGCTACCAATACAGACCTTTAACTGATCGGTTTGCTTTTGGTTCTCGCATGCGGGCGGACTTATTGGGTTGCCAAGGGAGTCGCTCAGTTCGGTGTTTGTGCTGTGGCTCATAGGAGGTGTCCCAAGCTCGAGAGACCATCCCATACTGACAAGAGCCAAGGGCATACCAACATTCGAACTTAAGTATTGGACAGTGGAACTAGGGGTTGCCAATGATGTCTTACATGCTGTAGCTATCATGTACCAAAAGCCTTCGAAGTAACGTGGGTCGGCAAGCTTGCGGGTAAGTGCATCGAGTTGACCACTGTCAGATGCCTCAGGGATGTCTTTGCTAGGTTTGACAGACAACCTTGCTTGTGGCTCTCGTGTACCAAATGGGCCTCCGAAACACACCTCGGCATAAAACGTGCCATCTGGGAGAAAGAGCTGGATTGCGCGGTCGACGAAGTTTGGTAGCATCCAACCCCATACTGGATTCTCCCATTCGGTAGTTCCGCGCCAAGCTGCCCGCCCGAGACCGGTCACTTGGGATGTTGATGTAATACCGTTTTTGCTCTCGGCAATGCGTTTAACAAAGGTAGCATTGAGACGCATAAACTGAAAAGTGATGTTAGGCTGCCTGAAGAAATCGGTGTCGCTGTCTGGTCTAGTCCCTTCAATGGCTAGACTGGAGTAAGAATTATTCGACTGCATGTTCACTGACTGTTATACGGAAGTCTTAGCATCCGCACAAAAGAGTTCAAGGACAGCAATAAATCTCACATCTCTCGTCGGATACTACTCCCGAGTACTCCTTATAGCTATGGCTAACCTATCTCTCATTCAGCGCTAAAAAACAAGAACCCTTTCATCGCTACCAAAGACTAGATCCGGATCAAGGGCCAAGAGGGCCCAATAAGTAGATTTCTCTCATCTAGGCATAGTGCATCAATTGGTCCGCCGATGGGCTCCCGCTAAATCTACCATAGATCTCAGTGGGAGTTTGGGGCCTCTAAATGAACTTCGGCCATTCTGACTTTCCATGAATCAATATGTACATATGAAGATTTATATGTTAGATTATGATATTAAAGAAGTTATCAGGCTCCTAAGGAATCACTGTTAGCTAATAATAAGATACTTCTCATGAATTTTATTAATTAGACTTTGCATCTCGTCTGGGTCCCGTGGCCTTAGCTCAACCAAAAGCTCGACCACAGGCTAGGCATTCAATGCATTATTCATTTATCTACGGGAGCCATTAAAACCATCATCTTGGAGTCTAGTCAAAAATACCGTGTGCAACCATTCGTTTAATATGAACAGAGGTTGGATTTTCGCCTTCCCGTACCGTTGATTGTCAGTAGAGTCCAAGCAAACTTGGTCTAAGTAGCCCGTATTTGTGGGCATTAGTCATTATGTCGATGTCACCTATCTCAATAAAAGTCTATGAAGATATATATATATAATCCTTAGCACGTACCATCTAGTTTGGATAGGGCTAGAAGCTTACTTATCTTTATTCCAACCATACCTATTAAGACAACAAGGATTGTCAAGAGTTATCAACATGAGTGATCCGAAGAATCCAACCCTCAAGTAACGGTCGACTCCGCAATGGGGATTATACCAGCGAGAGCTGTTCTGGGCCCCCAATGAGGACAAACATCCTCTATTGAACAATCGTAAGTGAATTCTCATTCAAATTTATTTCCTATATGAACTGAGTTGAGTCTATATAGATCCTGAGAAGCTCCGGGCACTAGCCAAGCAGCGCCTATCTGAAGGCGGCTAGTGAGAAGTGTCTCCAGCCTATCGTTACAACGATCTATAGAGATAATTTTCCATTTATATACTCACACAACCTACTTATGTATTACGTGTCATAAAGTGCAGGAAGCATTATATCCCCACTAAATCGTGCCGTGGATGCTAGTCGACACACAGTCCCAAGACACGGTAACTACCATCTTCGGGCATCGAGTGTCAGCACCCATTGGACTTGTTCCTGTCGGAATCAACTGAACTTATCATACAACGGATGAGTTATCCCCCGTAGGCGTTGCGGGGGAGCTCAACTTGTCGTATTGCTTGAGTTCCGCGGGGAGCTATAGTATTGAGGCCGTAGCTAAGGCAAACGATGCACTCGTCAGCTCAGGCTTATCCAACAATGCGAATGGTGCGAGCATAAACAGAGATGGCAATGGAGTCCGGTTTTACCAGCTCTACTAAAGTCCCGATTACAACGTTGCGCTCAATATGCTAAAGCGCGCCGCAAATAACGGATAATTACACGGCGTTGTTCCTCTACGTGGCAGCTTGGATGGCGACACGACGACATGGCAGATAGAAACTATGCATTCTACAAGAGGCACGGGGTGGGCGATCTCGGACTTGTAAATGAGGAATTCACGAAGCATCTCAATAGGCTTGGCCTCCTTGCCGAGAAACAACCCAAGAATTTTGGTGCGCAGTGGATTGATGGTAATATTTGGCACGGCCACTTATTCTCTTAGGACAGACTACCCTGGTTGATGGAGAATTGGCGTCAGATCAGTGAAGGGAAACCGTTTATGCTCAAGGGGCCACAGAGCGCGGCAAATGCGCGAAAGGCGGTCGAGATGGGGGTTGACAGTATCGTAGTATCGAGCTATGGTACCTATTAAACCTCTTATGCTGGTTTTGAGACCTGGTGTTACCGGACAGGGTTATCGTCTTCCAGAGCTGACTGTTGCCACAGCTGGGCGGTAGGTCGATGAGGCGATCGTGAGTTTAGATGCGCTTGAGAAGATTGTGGGTGCTGTTGGGGATAAGACCTATGTGAATATTCTTTTCGATCCTTTATCAGCTCTTACCTCATACAACCGGAACAGCTAAGCTCGATATCCATGCTCATCATTTCCCCAGGTGATGTTTGACTCTGGTATTCCCGGCGGAGTAGATGTCTTCAAAGCACTTGCTCTCGGCGCAAAATTTGTCTTTGTCGGTCATCTATGGGTTTACGCTTTGGGTTATGGAGGTGAAGGAGTGCGACATATTATGAAAGGGCTATTAGCAGACTTCGACATTCTGATAAGTGTTGCAGGTAATCCAAACCTTCTTGAAATAAATCGGGACGCTCTAGACTCCAAGCCACGAGGCGCATATTTTCCACCAACCTAAGAAATGGCTTAAATCCTCTTTAATGGCGGTGATGTTCTTAGTATGGAACACTATTCTAAGATCGCTCATGATCGCAAGGCTTATCGTAGAACAAGACCGCTCTTATACATCATAAGAGGATTATCTTTAAAGGACTCAAATGTGCTACAACCGACTTTGCTCATTAATTATCTTTAATTACGTACTCTAAGTGCCTAGCTCTTCACAAAACCCCTTAGTATTCCGTTGGCATGGTTACCTAGAGGCATATATCTGGAGACATACAGTAGTCGTAATTAGAGGTTCACTGTTGCACATCTCTGGAATACTGGTATTCGTGGCTTAATATAATGGGACAAATTTGAAATCTAGAGGTTAACTACGGCAATCACCTGGACAAACATGGACAAACTAATCCTGCTTGGGTAAAGGTCTTATTCATAAAAGGGTTCCTAAGGTCGCTGGCTCATAAAAACCCAAAGCTAAAGACGAATAGACACAGCTCAGAGACTTTGGGGTGTTCAGGTTATCGTGATAGCAGTAACTAGAGTTCAACCCTCGTAACATGAGATTAATCCCTCTACTAGTGTGAGGGGCCAAGAAGCTGAACATTTCGGTAGTGCCTAGACATTAAAATCATGATGAGCTGCGCCGCCAAGTTGCTTTGGCTCCGGCATTTATAATGCGCTACAGTAACAAGGGGTTCATGCAAGTGCTCGGGAATATCCTCAGATCGACAGCCCCGTCCTACGCCTCCAAGGGTCCATGTGACCATTCGGAATCCTTCCGACGATAGGGCTGAAGCTATCCAACACATGTATATTTATGACCAGATGGGTCGTCGGCAATTGACGGTCGGCAAGGCGACCCAGGTAAGCGAAGGCCAAGTCGCTATATTCCCCTATGCTCATTTCGGGCATTGGATACGATGACAATTGCCGTCACCCGAAATCCTTCAGATCTTAGTAGGTTAATATTAGCCGTCTGCATGTGCTTCTCGCTTGAAACATGTACCTTGTGATAAGACGAGGTGAGTTGATTGACTCACGGCGATCATCCACACCTCTAGGTTAACCCCTATTACTCAGCGTTCACGACCAGCCGTTGAGCAACCGCACAACGATGATAACATACTCATCCGCCAAGCGGTACAGATAACCGTTCACCTGCCTAATTCCCACTTTTGATCCGATCACCAGGAGTCATTGACTCAGTGCGTAAAATATTCTTGAGACATAACGCAGTCTGAGGCATCTGCTTATAAAACTTCTTTACACGGAAATCTACCCCTTCTCTCTCGATACTAACATTAATACACTATAAATCCGAATAAGCTGTATATAGCAGTATCTTCAAGTTACAACTCTAATAACTTAGTAGAGTTGTTACAATCAAAAATCTTCTCAAATGAGGTAGGGGATTCACGTAGCAGAAAGAATTGTCAATGACTGGCCTCTGAACTCACACTGAACGTCCAGAACTCCTGATGTAAAGGAGCAAAACTCATCTATGCATATCATTTAGATGATTCCATATTGAAGGGAGAAAAAAAAAAGATTGCCATAAAAAAGAAGCACTGAAATCCGCCATGTAAGGGAGGATATTCTCGTGTCAGAAGTATAACTTCCAAAGTGAAATTGTAAAAGGATAGGCAGCGGTAACGTTGCAGATGAGTAAAATAGCTGAATAGACTCAATGTCGTATATTAAATCGGATTCTCGTAAATCAAACCGCGTACTGGGGACCTCTACATACCTATTTCCAGGCTTAATCCACTCTCAACGTTACTTGTACCATGGTGAGACACATAATGGGATAAGGCTGACATACCGGGCACTCATCTTCGAATAGAAAAGCAGACTTGTGACGATAAAAACACCAGTCAAACTAAAACTTCAACAGAGTGGATCCAGGCGTACAACACGCAGCGATCATGTTCGATGCTGTCCATCTTCTGATCTGGTGCTACGGAGAATTCGCCCCCCCCCGCCCGCTACTCAGATCCAAGCGGTGTGCAATTTTCGGCTCTCGACATCGAGGTTGGTTCCTGTCAGATACGGCTCGTCCAGTGATAAGCTTGATGCTCCGTTCCTCACGATTCTAGCGTGCCTCTCTGCAGAGAGATTTGAGACACCCTATGCAGCTTACGGTGTCTCAGATAACTGAGTGAAAGACAGCCCTTCAAAAGGCAGGTGTCAGCATAAAGAGGAGAAGAAATTCGACAATGAGGTGATCACAGCCGTTCATGATTTGAAAACAAACAGAATCTAGGCTGCATTGATGCGCTCGCCCGTGGTAATTACCAGGTTAATATACGATACGCTCACGTCGCAGGGACAGCAGTAGCCAATCGTTACTGGTGAGGAGATCTACGAAAAGATGTCGCAATATTGTGACATAATGAGGCGATTGATACCACGTCTCAGACCTGTCCCTATCTTATCTCTTAGTAAGAGACGGCACTTTTAGAGTATTGGGGTACGGGATTCCATCCCGATACTACGTAATCGCTGCGCCGCAGCGGCTCCATGTATCGGCAATACTTACGCCGTAACACAGAATGCATAGAGGGTATCTCGTATAGGTTGGCATATATGTACAATATGTCTCTGAGCGGGGAGATGCAGACAGATACCATTATCGGCACCGCTTCGACGTATGCCCAGTGCTAGGTATTCCACCCAGTAAGCAATCCAATGCAGACACTATTTCAAATGATGCCCTTTCATTCGATCCATGCTGCTGCTGCCACGGCTTGCCGTAGCATCGGATGGATGAGCTGGTGGGGCAGTAATGCATAATAATGATGGGTATGGACGCTGGGCTATGGATTATGCAAGGAAAGAGAGTTATGAAAGCGCTGATCACCTCCAGAACTCTTTGTCATTCGACAATTGGGGTAGCATCGGGAGGTATCTGAGAGGCCACGCCGGCGGCAAGTTATACTACACTGCCCTGCTGTATTGCGTCGACGACGGAGGCTCGGAGCGAAGGATTCGATATCATCCCCATCTCTAGTTTATACGGACTGGACGGCTGCGGTCTTTTTGGCTTCCCGGATTTTGAGGTGAGCTTTATAAGTGCTGCACACTACTGCGCTAAGCTTAAAGGTTTCATTCTTTATCACAACGTTACTGGCATCATCTATCTTCCAAGACTGCGAGTTGACGTTTAGAGAGAGAAAAAAAAAGCTTGTCATTCTAGCCAAAGCCATGGCACCACTTCACCTGGGCAGCCCTGTCAACTTGGCAGCAATTGGCTTTTCACTTGTATGTTCTCACCCCTTCTGCCCCTTGCCATCAGGAGACAAAAGTATCTAACCCATCCCGCTAATACGTGTCAAAGCTTGTTGTATATCTGGCTTGTCAGGCCGTTTACAACTATTTCTTTCATCCGTTGAGCAAGTATCCGGGACCTTTCCTCCATCACATTTCCTATCTTCCTCGTGCTCATAAGTTGATGCAAGGCCGGCTGGCCTTCTATGTTGCCGACCTCCACAAGGATTATGGTCCAGTTGTTCGTCTCTCCCCGAATGAGGTCGCATTCAGTAGCCCTCAGGCTTGGCGTGACATCTACGGTCACAAGAAAGTCGGCGAGCCAGAATTTCCCAAGTCAGACCTTTTCTACAAGGTCTTTACGTTCTTACCACTGGCTATCATCAATGCAGGCCGTGATGAACATGCGCTGTTGCGACGTCAGCTTTCCCACGGCTTTAGCGACCGATCAATGAAGGAACAGGAACCCATAATTGGCGGCTATGTCGACTTACTTGTTCAGCGCATTCGTGAAAATCTTGAGAAAGCACCTAATCAGCCTGTGAACATGCTTCAATGGCTGAACTGGACGGCCTTTGACATTATTGGAGACCTCGGATTCGGCGCCGCTGGAGGCTTCGGCTGCTTGGAGGGAAGTAGTTACCATCCTTGGGTCAAGATCATCACGGATAGCATGCGACAGAGCGCTTTCATGCAAGCGCTGTCAAGTGTTGGGCTGCGGGACGCTGTACAATGGGCAGCCAAGCGAGCCAGCGCTGCTGGACAGAAGCATCGTGCCATCATCCGAGAGAAAGTTGAACAACGACTGACGCTAGGCGCCCCACGTCCCGATTTCCTCGAAGGGCTAATCCGCAAAAAAGAGGAACTTGGGCTTGACCTGGGCCGTCTGCAAATGAATGCATCGCTCATCATTATAGCTGGGTCCGATACGACGTCTACTCTGCTATGCGGTACTCTTTTCTTCATCACGACAAATCCCGAGGTTTTGAAAAAGCTGGTGCACGAGGTGCGCACGACATTTAAGAGCGACGACGAGATTACCTTGACGGTAAGTACTAGGATCCCTTATCTTTCTTTTAGCGTTTCGTTTCCATCCCCCCTCCCCCTCCTAACCCGGGTGAGAGGCTCTGCGCTAACCTTGATATATATAGTAAGTTGGATTCTCCACGGGTTAATGGATTAGGTGTCCATTTCGAATCCAAAATAGTATGCTGACTAGGATGAAACCTTGCGCCGTATAGAAGCGTCAATCAACTGACTTACATGCTTGCTGTGCTAAACGAGGCTCTTCGCGAATATCCTCCGGTGACAATCGGACTTCCAAGAGTAGCGCCCCGGGGAGGTGGTGTGGTCGATGGCAACGCAGTGCCGGAGGGTGTAAGTCATCATTCCTTGTTCCCGACCACATATTATCTAACAATCGACAGACTATCGTCTCAGTGTTCCAGTGGGCCATTAACCACGACAAGCGCTTCTGGACGGACCCATTCAAGTTCGCCCCAGAACGCTTCCTTGGCGACGAACGATACAAGAATGACCAATTGGATGCCATGCAGCCGTTTGGTGTCGGGCCGAGAAATTGCATTGGCCAGAAGTAAGTCGCATGCTCGGCATGTTGGACCCATTTGTAAGGATTCGTTGCTAACGTAGAAACGCCACAGCCTTGCATACGCTGAGATGCGACTAGTCTTAGCTAAGCTGGTCTACAATTTCGACATGAGACTTGCTGATGAGGCGCGTGGCTGGCTAGATGGCCAGATGGCGTACACCTCATGGGTCAAGAGGGATCTGCCGATATACATGACACTGGCTGCGGGACAGTAATCTTAAGAAGCCACCTTCAAATACTCGCCGGTAGGACAAAGCCCAGATAGCGCAAAGCCCAGTGAGGCGTCCGGGTGAGACATACGGGGAGAGACAAATGTCGTGGAACAGAGTGTCACGTGGGGATGTCGACGTGAGGCGGCTATTAGCTGTACTCAGTCAAATCTAGTAGGCCATCATTGTAAAGTTAGATAACCAACTTTCGGAAACAATAGTGCCTTGATCTCAACTATCTTTGCCACGCGTAAATCAACAATTTGAGAGTCAAAGTTATCACGTGGAGCAGCCCTTAGGTAGTAGTTGGCACGTATGCAATGCGCCGATATCAACAGGCGCAGGCATCCTACCGTACTTGAGGCACTCCTGCAACTACGCCCATCATTGCATACTTCGTAAGCACCTAGGATGATCAATAGACAGCGGGCTGATTGATGTTAATTTGCGACGATAACGTTCGGGATATGAAAACCCTCAGTATCTGCAACGCAGATTCTCGCTCCATGGGCCGATTGGCCTTTCTCGTACGAGGTCATCACAAGCTGCCAAGTCTGATGCTCACTACGTCTTAGTAATCCCAGCTCACATTATATAATTTTCCGTCTCACTTAGGCGTCTAGATTTCTGCATGTCAGACTATCATCCTGTAGGTTTTTCTGCTATGTAGATGCCGACGTCCTATGTTCAAGACGTCGGCCTATCAAGTTCTAAATTTAATGGTGTCTCGGGCTTCTTATCATGGTAAAGTCTACTACCGGTAGAAGTGAAAGGCCATCTTGTAACCACATTCACCTTCCTTGTTGAGCGCGATGCCAATCGGTTAATTCCTCAAGCTTTTCTAGGCACCCTACCCGAGCGGCACAGCTCGCGCTCACCTTATCAGGGGGCTGCTCTCACACACGGGGATGACCGCATCAACCCCAAAGGAACTTCCAATAGGAATCTTACAGTAGTCATCTCATAATACTGGAATACATACAGTTCTTGGTACCTGTACCAATAGACAAGAGCACTAACTCACCCTTGTCTTACAGTACGGTAGTAGCAACGAAAGGGAGGGCACCCTGTATGCGAGGTTCTTTGGCGCAAGCTGTGCAAGGCATTGAAACAGCTGTTCAGAGTATTTTAAGGTCAGCGTTTCACGGTGAGATGATCGAACCGTGCCAACTATTGAAAACCCCGAGTTGGCGAGTTGTATACGCCAAGTACTACTATGTTCTGCCTCGCGCCTTGATGCAGTTCTAGTTACCTCATGAGCAGTCATCAGTGCTTACCCCTCACGGTGGATGCAGGTTAATAATCTCCATCCCATCTCTATCACAATATCAAGATCCACCAATACCTTACACGACATGTACTTACTCACGCATCCACCATGGATGTAACCCCCACAGCGCGAAATCTTACTTGTCCATGAAGAAGATGCTTGCGACGAGCAGCGCGTTTTTTGCTATGCGAGCATGTGCTAGCTCCACAGGTCTACATGACGCGATCTATCTTGAATGCCTGCCGCCCACTCGTGTTCCACTCACGTCTGCCGGTATCACATGCGATGTTCCGAATCCATATTTTGTAATACTGCGTCGCTTATGCAGGTAAGCATGTCTCTGAAGCGTGACTTGGCTCAAATACTAGAGAGTCTTATCAGAGATTGGATTGTGTAGTCCAATTTCCTATGTGTCTCGACCTATATCTTACCAGTATTTGGATTATGAACAAAGATAGACCTACGCTACGCTATTTTCACGACGCCAAAAACGCCGACAGGATCCCCAGGATGCCCAGGACCACGAGTCTTAGCTAGGGTGCGTGGCCCATTAATTTGCCGAACAGGGCAAAGGCTTCTTCCATATACGAAATGCCCCAGTCGGGCGGGCCTGGCCCCGGCTGACTAGTGTACACGAATGAAGGACCCTTGAAAAGAGGGCTGAAGTAGGCAAACGTGTGGAGTGTACGCTTCTGAGACGAGTTTGGCGCGTCTCTTATTATGTAACTAGGCAGTCCGGGTAGTCCCCAGCTCAACTCTGTTCATGGAAGAGCTAATGTTCCCTGATCCCGGAGCTAGAAGGACGCGAGGTTGCCCTTTAATCCTTACTCAGCCTGTCAACTTCATGCTTTCTAGTGGCCCTTATCGCCATTATTGTTCACACATAAAGTAAGTAGAGAGAGGTGCGCCACAAATGAACTGTGCCGCTGACGAGCATCGCACGATCTATCCTTCACCGTTTCGTGGCGCCACCCTCGCACAGCGGCCTTGTGCAGGATGATTCAGCAGTAGACAAGCATTGCAGTCTGTGCCGCAGACCTGCATCGCACCATGACACCGATAATTCCAAGAGAGTGGTCTTTATTGGCTCTGTCTAAATACGTCTATACTAGTGTTTTACAGTATCCCAGTGTTATACCGTGCCCCGTCTTCCGCCTTTTTGCACTTCACATTCATGCGCCCCCAAATTTAGAACAAGATTAGAATGCCAAGAAGCTTTCTAATTGAATCTAGTTCTAACGCCCTTCGTGTCCAGTTTTGGCAAAGGTATGACAAGGTCATGTACCTGTGCGATATCAGACTCATCCGTCTCATAGAGCTCGAAGTCAGGGCCGCCAGGGCGGAACAGCGCAGCGAGCACAAAGTTCAATTCACAGTAAACGAGGCTGTTTAATTGAATCAGTCAGGGTCACTTATGCACCAGAAGAGGCTTGCTTACTTCATGCCAAGACAGTTTCTTGAGCCCTTCGCAAAGGGCACATAGTTCTTTGTCATTAAAGGCGTAACATTCTCGAGCCAGCGCTCGGGGATGAATTCATATGGGCGCGGGTATATCTCCGGGTTGGTGTGTTGTAGATAGGCCGACATGCTGACGGGAACACCCGGGGGGATTACCCACTCCTTGAACTGGAGAGCTTGGTGCGGTGAGACCCGGGGGAGGCGATGCATCACGCCGTAGCTCAAGCTGTTATCAAATCATCAGCCCACATATTTTCTAGGCGATCTTTATGCGGGTGCATGTGCGGTCGTGGCGTGGGGAGCACTTACCGAAGCCCTTCCTTGATCAAGGCCTGTAGATATGGTAGCTTCTCCAGCTGGGCCCAAGTAGGCTTCTTCTCCGGGTAGCCAGCCATGTCATGCCTAAGCTCTTCCGTAAGGCGTTTCCTGATTGCTGGGTTGGCCATGATGTAGTAACTGATAAAATCCAAGGTCCTAGCAGTGCTGACCGTGCCTGCACCTAGCAGGACCTGAGATTCCTTCGAAAGCCGCTCCCTGGTCAGCTCAGATGCCGGCAGGTCACTGTTGACGAGATGCCGGAAAATTGTGACGGGCCCACTCAACGAGGTATCCTTGGACCCTGAAGCGGCTTTTTCCCTCTTGGCTTCATCAATGTGGCTTTCAGACATCTGCAGGACCGTAAGCATGACAATAGCGGTGGAGGAGAGAGATTAATGAATCATACGAGCCTAAACTTGTTAAACTCCTGACTTCGAGGATCTAACTTCAAAAGAATGTGCTCTGGGATAAGCTGAATAAGCCTAAGTCGATTAGCATTGAGCGCAAATCCCTTCATGAAATTGCTTACTGAATCAACCAAGGGAAGTTCAGGAACAGTGGTAGTGATTTGATCACAGTATGGAAGAGGTTGAAATAATCTGGAGCGAATTCGGGATCCTCAACCAAGTTGCGCGGGTTATCCATGCATATCCTACCGACTACGTCCCCTGCATAAGCCAGAAAAGCATGGTCGAGCCTGACTATCTTTCCGCTTCCTTTGAAACTTTCGAAGCGCTTGACAATCAGATTCTCGGTGACCTCCGCCACCATGGGCTCAAGTCTGGTGACACCAAGCCTAGAGAAGAATGGCTCCAAAGGCTTTCTTCGCTTGCGGTGGAGTTCGTGGCTCGTACTGAGGAGATGAGAACCTTCGAGGTCGAGACCATTGGCGAAGCCCAGGTAGTTGTCGGTAGGGCGTACAGAACCGGCCACATAGAGCTTGTCATAGTACTCGGGATCGCGAATGGAGAGCTCGTGTGGGTTAATTCTCACAATAGGCCCTAGAAGAGCGGGAGAGGTATTAGCAGTGTTCGGCAGACAGGTGTAATCATGACTGAGTAACCTACCGTACTTGTCATGCATCTTCTCAATTTCGAAGATGAATTTGCCCTTTTTCACAACATCATAGTATGCTTCGTACCAGCTTGTCGCAGCAGCGAGCTTGGGCCCTGGAAATCGTGCGAGTGGCGAGAGGAGGAGACGATAAGTCACCAAACCTAAGACATAGATCGCACTGAATCCTGTAATCAGGATGAGAACATCTCGATACACATCTTTGGTGAGTTCTCCTCCTTGGAGGATACCTAGGAGAGAGTCGGGAAGCAAGCGAGAAGCCATAGTGAGGGATGGCTCAGAATTCGAGATGAGACACTGTCGTGATGGCGATCTGAAAGACTCATGGAAGATACCAACAATTCATAAACTTGACAGATTTCGTATGCCTTCACTCTCTAAGTGAAGGCGGGGTTGTTTTGTATGAACGGGTTATGTAACAGTATTATGGGATCGCTTAAACTAATTTTGGAGGGGCTAGATGAGATTCCTTCGTGTAAGTGTTCCTCTTCCCCATCAAGGACGCGACGCAACAAAAAAAGAAACATGCGACAAATCCAAATTCCTTATCACTGCTTACTGTCTCAGCGTGTAACCCTGCTATTGACTTTGTCGTTTTTGTCGGTCCGAGGGCTAGAACTACATAGTAGACTATAGTGCTATGCACAAGGGTGGCAGCTTTCTCTGACTGTGGCCATAATTCCGATACAGAGCCTCCTAGTAACATCAGTCAGCATGCACTGGTCGTCTAAGCCTTGGTAGTAATGCAGGAACTGTGCCTTCCCGGCAATCAGATATGTGGAACATGTGTGGATAGAGTACACTATCTTTGGCATTGTAGGAAGACCCTGTTTACAAGGGGGCTATTTTGGGGACGATCACTTCACTTGCGATACCGCATAAAAGACCGTCTCATGGCCTGATACTCACAGATATATGACCATCTTCAACCTGACTTAGATCTCACTCCGCCATCTTTCACCTATATCCTTCCATACTTTTCTCCTATCCTCCATACTCCTTCTTTCACAACCCAGAATACGTTTTTATCTCATTTAGTAAGATGCCGTATTCGTATTCTACGGTCGTCGACCCATCAACGTACGAGACCGAGGGTCTCTGCGATGGCATCGATCTCCGGAAACATATCGCTGCCGACTTAGAGGAGATCGGTACTCTGAGGGCTCAAGAGGACTGGCGCCGCTTGGTCGGACCGGTAGCAAAGCCCTATAAGGGTGGTCTGAACCCAGCCTACAGTTTCATGACCGTGTCGGTACCCGAATGTATCCCAGAAAGACTCGAGATCATCAGCTACGCCAACGAGTTTGCTTTCCTCCACGATGGTGAGTCTTGTGACAGCCCACTTTGATAAGTGCAAACATTAATGAAAATAGATGTCATCGAGGTTGCTAGCAAGGATGTCCGTGACGCCTCAAACGATGAGATGTTACAAGCCTTCGAAGAAGGTGCTCAGACTGGCAAGATTGAAGAAAATGGCGCTTCTGGCAAACGGAAAATTGCCGCTCAGATTCTCAAAGAGATGATGGAGATTGACCCTGACCGGGCAATGGTTGCCATTAAGAGTTGGGCAACTTTCGTAGAATACGCAAGTGGAAGACAGCATCACGTTCACTTCAACACATTAGAAGAGTACATTCCTTACCGATGCCTGGATGTCGGTTACATGTAAGTGTTCTAGGCTATGGCCGTCACAATGATCCGTGTATGTCCTAATCTTTTTTTTTCTTAAGGTTCTGGCACGGTCTTGTCACATTCGGATGTTCCCTCACCATCCCTGACGAGGAGGCTGCTGAGACAAGAGAGCTCCTTACTTCTGCTTTGATTGCTGCATCTCTGGGCAACGATTTGTACTCGTATGAGAAGGAGTACGAGGACACCATGAAGGCTGGTCTTCCCGATGTCGTCAACGCAGTCTGGGTCATTATGGGAGAGCACGGATGTTCCGAGGCCGAGGCTAAGGAAATCTGCAAGGAGCGAATCCGCATCGAGAATGCCAAGTACGTCAAGGTGGTAGAAGAGACGGCAAAGCGGACAGATCTTTGCGACGATGTTAAAAGGTACATCGACGTTATGCAGTACTCACTCTCCGGAAACCTAGTATGGAGTATTCAATGCCCTCGATACAACAAGGGCTCTACCTTCAGCGAATTGCAGCTGTTGCGAGCTAAGCACGGAGTTGCCAAGTACCCTGCATTGTGGCCACCAAAGGACGGCGTTCAGGGCGTCAATGCCACCCCCAGCAGTGACTCTGCTGTTGACCTTACTACCAACGGCGAAGTCGAGGACAAGGAAGAAGATGAGAATATGTACTGGGGCATTAACGGTGTCGGTATTCGTGTCGGAAACGGTGTTGATGCGCATGGTGTGGGCACTTATGAAACCGCTGCGACAAACGGCGCTGCTACCAACGGAGAGAAGAAGTCAGCACATAACCCACAGCCGAGCGCAGACTCATTGGTACTCGACAACGTAGTTGCTCTCGCCCTCGATAAGAACCTCCCAGAATTGGGCGAAGGAGTTGTTCTCCAGCCCTGGAAGTATCTTATGTCTCTTCCTTCCAAGGGATTCCGTGACCAAGCCATCGACTCACTCAACACTTGGCTTAAGGTCCCCGCGAAAACAGCTACAAAAATCAAGGAGGTCGTGAAGATGCTCCACAACGCTTCCCTCATGTAAGTTGTCACATTTCCACTGGGACTCTTCTCCCTCAAGTACTGCATTGCATAATTCTAACAGCAATTTAGGTTGGATGATCTGGAAGACAGCTCACCCCTCCGCCGTGGAAGACCCTCCACACATGACATCTATGGCTCTGCTCAAACTGTCAACAGCGCGACCTTCTTATACATCCAGGCTACACAGCTGGCCTCTGAACTAGAGAACCAGGAATGCTTCAAGGTATTCACAGAGGAGATGCGCCGGCTCTACGTGGGTCAGAGCTACGATCTATACTGGACACACAACGCCCTGTGCCCCTCAATAGCAGAGTACCTCCGAATGGTCGACGACAAGACTGGAGGTCTATTCCGCATGCTAACTCGCATGATGGTCGCCGAGAGCCCTGTCAGCAAGAACCTGGCAGGAGTTGATCTCGACCTATTGAGCTGCCTTATTGGCCGATTCTTCCAGATCCGCGACGACTACCAGAACCTGGCTTCAGCCGACTATGCGAAGAAGAAGGGCTTCGCCGAGGACCTGGACGAGGGCAAGTACTCGTTCGCTCTCATCCACTGCATCCAGGTCTTGGAGTCAAACCCCAAGTTCGCCGGCGATGCCATGCAACTGCGGGCGCTCCTAGTTAAGAGGAGATTCGAGGGCAAGCTCGGCCCCGAGGCTAAGCGCGAGATCTTGACAATCATGAAGAAGACCAAGAGTCTGGAGTATACTCTCGGCGTCATTAGGAAGCTGCACAGCGAGCTGGACAAGGAGGTCGTCAACCTAGAGAAGGCATTCGGTGGCGAGAACTTCCAGCTGCGGTTGCTGATGGAGATGTTGAAGTTGTAAATTTTCGATAGAAGTGTTTTACTTATTGGTATTATAGCTAGATTGTTTTGACGAACTCCATGTATACAGGGCCAAATTTTGGGAAGATTCATAGTCAGTTATTGCATTTAGATTTCTTACCTTACTACTATTTTGCAAATGATGGAGCGTGAATAAGTGAGAGAAGCTTGCCTTGAGTAACTATTGCGTAACAACTGGTCAGCAACGGAAAGGTGAATAACCCTACATCTAAACACTATCTTCAGCTTGATTTCTAACTACTATCCTATTCTAAAATGCCGCATCTATTGCTCCCGACCATGGTAGAACCGCCAATCTCAGATCCATAGCGCTAGAAACCACCAAGTGCGGGTGCTAAGCCCTGTCTAACGGATTTTCCCCAGCCTCCACTAGATGTTGTATGCCAAGCCAGCTGAACTCTAGTGTCCTGTACAAAGATTTGAATGCATACGCCGAGAGCACACTTGTTCCGTATATTTCATTCCAAATGTTGGTGACGATAATCACCAGATCCAAATGCTCGCCGTGAACCAATAGTTGGTGTGCGGTGGCGGCGGCTTGGATAGAGGTTCGGTTAGGCTAATTGGTGGGAAGGCAATGCCGCCCAGGGGTCGACATCAGCTTGTTTCGGGCACAGAGATGTCAAGAAATTGTGTTATTCTCTGAAACAACAAATCCTATTGTAATCCTATCTAAAGGATGTCATATGTTGTATGAATGCTCTCTCGTCAGCACGGCTGCTGAAGGAGCTAAGTAGAGCTTGCCCAGTTTGTAGCCCCTGCGCCGGTCTGGCAGATGATTCGCATTGCCCCCGATAGCGATGCTTTCTTCATATTTTACTGCCCGGCTTGTTGCTGCAAACAGAAGCAAGAGCGGTACGAGTATTAGCAGCCGACTCATCAGATTCCTGCGCTCACCTAGGGATTTGTGTACCATTATTGACACTTTCGTGTCGCTGTATTCCGAGATTGGGGGAGCATCAAGTTGACAATACAGGCAAGTATCCCACCACTACGTGCTCCCATCCGACTTATTTTAGTCACATAGGCAGCGCAAGCCCATATGATTGAAGGTTCCACGTCGGGCTTTGGAGTAGTATGCAGTCTGCTCATGTAGTTAGGGCAAGTTTGTCCACCCCTTATAGAATATAGAGCTTTTTGTCGGAACTCGAGATAGATACAGAGAAATCTCTGACCTCCACAGGTTTATCGTTCGATGTTACAAGCATACGATAGACGAATTCTAGAGATTATGTATGATTTAATTATCGGGATTGGATATTCATGTTTGATCACGAGCTAGGGCACAACTGCCTGTTTCAACCATTGCGCCGTTCTCGGCCAGCAGCTCCAGCCAGCCCCAGAAGAAATCCGTAGACGTAGCGGTGGTGTTCAAAATGCTATTGACCTTGTTAGGACATATGTCGATGTGTAGGAGTATCAAATTCAATGGCCGAAACTAACAGCGGCGCTTGAACATAGAAACCTGCTCGAGACCTCCGTGTCGCATGCTAATGTTATGGTAAATGGTGAGCTGCGTGGATTATTGGTACAAATGGAGAACGAGAAGCGCGTGAGTCTTGTATGCAAGAACCGAGATTGTCAACATCGCCTACTTAGATACAGTGCGCATATAACCCCGAGAAGTAGTCGAGCATAACAAACACCGAGTACGGAATGTTGTGCTGCCCTTGAAGTTTCCTCTTCGTCGCTGCTGGGCCTCAGTTTCCACCATCGGCATGTTAATGTAGCTTAGCACCAATAAATTCAACAGTTTGTACATCAGGACTCAGTATGTGACACTAGAATCCCTCCTGGAACAGTAGGCATTCCAGAAGGTGAAGGAAAACTTAATTTTTCATTAATTGTGACGCTCACTTTAGATTTACCAAGGCTTCATGAAGGGCTTGATACGAGGAAAGGGCGAGAGATGCGGGCCAGCACCTGTTTGGCACTCGCCTCACACAGAGCCTTTGTACAAGTATGCAGAATTCCTGGCAGGTGCAAAAACGAAAACAAAATAAGAGGATCGATCAATGTGTAGATGTTGACAAGTTCTTGGGCTAGCATTTAGTATAAATACTTCAAGAACCTCGTCCCTTCTGTTCGTTCTTGTCTACATCTTAGCAACCAAAACTCAAAGCTCACATTGCCAATACCAAAGCTTTCCCTCACTCGACATTCATCTTATCTTCCCTATCGCCGAGATATTTTCATCAACATCGGCCAAGATGCACGGTAACCTTGTCATCATCTCCCTACTACTTGCTCGCTTTGCGACCAGCTCACCGACCTCGGTCAACACTCGAGGATTCACTCCCGGCAGATGCAATCTCCACGTCACTCAGTGGTACAAGAACAAGAACGAAGTCGGAAATGCCTATCAGTTTGACGTCTGTATTACCGACACCAACGGTACTACCGTTGGTCGCGTAATTAGACTGCCTATCGAAGACTTTCAGTCTTCTGCCATAACAAGCGAATTGCCATATACCGTCATCATCGGAACTGGTGTCGTGGACACCGACCCAGTTCAATTCGCCTATGCAGGGTATGGGTTCTCCACGTCTCGTGGGTGCAGCAGTGTCCCTGGGGCTGAAAACCGCACTATAGAGTGTGGCTTCAACTGCTGAGCAGCTGAAGGCACGAAGTGTTGACGGGAGCTTCGTATATGGAGTCTATGGTGGTATAGAGCACTATGGTGATTGGGGTTGTTCTGGCTGAGACATGTTTGTCAGGGAGGATTTCATAACTACTACTTTAGGAGCAACCAGATTGGGTTTTGCTCAGGTAGATAGAGAAGAAACTCGGAATTTTTGGAACCTAATAATTATGAATGGGCTATCCTTGCTCTACAGTTGTTTCCACTAGTATGCTGGTGAGAGTGCTATTATCGGAGCTATTTGCAAAAAGTGATCTAGCTATCAATAACTGTCTTGTCCCCTATCTTCCTAGACCCCCCCAAACATTGTCAAACAATATTCCGTTTTGCTCTTTTGCATGCAAGTATAGGCCTACTGCTTTAGGTGGTCTCGCGACCTCGGTATCGCAATCGGAGGACCATATGCGACTATTGGAGGCCCATTCACTTGTGTAGACTAGAGGTCTAGGTGAGTGCCTGGCCTAATTACGTGTAACTTCCTATGTAGGTACGTCACTTAGAAATATAGGACTTGATAGTCATGATAGATTATTTTACCTGTGATTAAATTTGATTCCAAACCCTGAGTTATCATTCAAGTCTGCTTTTCTGAGCATTCCTGCATTCATTTCTGTACTTACACTACAATTATATTGTAGGCCTTGTTCTTTAAGGGTATAACTAAGTCTAGCTGAGATTGCTAGTCGCCTCCGTGGCGTTCCGAGCAATCGAATCCGCTGTCTGTAGCTCATTAATCTGTTTATCCAACTCGGCTCTCTTGGCAATGGTGGTCTCATCCTCGCGGGTAAGACGCTCCACCTCATCCTCCCCGAGCGAGTATACCCAATCCCTCGATAATCCTTTCAACGGACCTTTCTCCGGGTTAGTTCCTGAAACTAGGTTCTCCACAATGATGTGGGTGACATGTCGGGTGTAGGCCTCGATAGAAATCTGGCGACAAGGGTTAGTGATATTGAGCTCAAGATAGTAGAAGACATTCGACCTCTGGCTTGCTTGCGTGCTTACCTGGTAGTAGACTTTCAGTATGTCATGAACAGCATCGACCATGTTGTCTTCCATGGTGTAATGAAGACGATCGTAAATTGCGGTTGCATCTGAATCCGGAGATACGGAAGCTAGAGAACGCAAGAGGCGGATAGTTTGCCATGCCTTGAGCCTCTCGTAATATTTCGGATTCTCAGTTTGCAGTAGGTGAGAACTAACTCGATCAGAATATTTCTCCAGTTCGCGCAGTGTCGCTTGGCCTGACTTTTCATAGAATTCTTGCAAGACGTTTAACAATCCGTTGTGAAGCCGAGGGTTTCCGGAAATGGGGTCCGCTGGGCACACAAGCTCCAGTATTCCCTTTGCAGCAACGGCCACGTGGTTTGCAACTGTGAAGATATGTTGATGGGCGTACTTGTGCCAGTTTTGGGTCTGTTTCCTATATAATGTGGGGATCACTTGCGGATTAATCAGGCCAAACAGCTGTGTGCCTTCAAAGGCGCGTAGCTCTCTTCGAATTTCCTCTCGCAAATCTTTGCCAATCTCATCCTTGGCGGGAATCTTAGTAGGAGTACGACCGCTTGGAAAAGATTGGTGTTTTTGAGGGGTAGACGGAGGTCTAGAATGTCCCTGAGAGAAGAATAGGTTATCAGGAAATTCGTCCTTCATCCTAAGTACTTCCGCCAATGGATCCATATCTGGATCCTCAAACTAATTGAACACGCTGGGGTCAGTAATTTTTAGATAGGGAAGGGATTGAGCTGATCTGTCGGGAGTGTGCAGGAGCAATGGGAAAACGAAAGGGGAGATCAATGACAGAACTAACCTGGTAGGTATGGCCACGTTCTAGCATCAACTTGGCGAACTCAACGTTAGAAACCTTGACTATGTTACGTGCTCTCAGCTGCTCGTCTAACGACCCAGGGCTTTCAAGTGCATGAGCTGCATGAGTCTCGTATCTTTCGATGATCTCACGTAAATATTTGAGACGGTCGGTGTGTGTTGGTCGTGCATCCCCGAGCGCCGCCCGTGACTTTTGAGCATTAGCGAGTAGTTCCCTGTAAATCTTGTATTAGAAACTTGGACCAAGAAACCGATTGGGTCATGATTTGGCACCGTAGGAGAGCACTTGTTGAGCAATATATATATGTAAACCAGATGCGATACTTACTGAATCCGGGCCCTGATGTCGGGAAAGTTCCCACGAATCCCTTGAGATAGGAGGTAAGAGAGGTGTTTTCTTAACATGGATGTCCCTCTTCGCCCAGAATCAATCTCATCCCAGGGTGCTGTCTCGAACAGCTGCTTCTCGGCGTGGGCGAGGTCGAATGAGCGGTCCTCTTTACTGGAACGGTTACGCACGACGAACCACGTATCACATATAGGTTTAGTGGTATGTTCTTCTCGACCTGTCGCAATGTTGACGATTTTTCTAGACGTCTTTGTGAACTTATCAGTTTAAGTTGCTCATGGCATATAACTTGACTTACTTCTTCGTCATCGCGCAACATGTCGCATTTCGTTAGCACTCCAACACAACGCTCCTTGCTGACATGCAAAGAGGCTAAGTGAACAATTCCTTGGTTTGCCACGTCTGTTACTGCATCTGCGACACATCTAAGAGTCGTAAGCGATGAAGACCCTCAATATTACTTGACGGGCACACTTACATGACAAGGTTCTCCGGTTTCTTCATGTATTCAATAATCATGCTTTGGATCCCGTGCATCTCCCCTTCGTTCACAGTATTCGGGTTCACGAAAAGACCAGGTATATCGACTATGCTGAAATAAGATCGCGCGGGTCCGGAGAGCTCAACCCGGAGAACTTGAGTAGCAAAGTTCTTCTTATCGGGTCCTTTGCCACTCCTAATCCCCATGTGATTAGCTGAAACCTGTAATAATCGTGAGTATTTTGCCAGCCATACAGACATTGATAGGGCTTACCTCATTCATCACGGTCTCGAACTCATCGGCGGTGAGGGTTTCACCCATGTGCACGTAGTCCTCATAATCATTGTTTGGGGGATATACAAAGCCTTCCACCTTGACTTCTGGTTCAACGATAGTGATTTTGAATTGATTGGGTGTGCCAGGCGCTGTTCGCTTTGACACGATACGAGTGGCAAATCGAGTACAGCAACCAGTGCCCACAGGGAAAGGGATATCGGTCAAGCTTCGTAGCAAAGAGGATTTTCCCGTTGATTGACCTCCAACAATAACTAGCTACACACCTAAGAATTAGATCGAAAATATGGCGAAGGTGAAAGGCGAGTGGCCATACTTGTGGTATCGCGACATGGCGACTCGCGCCACAATGCTGCAATTGGTCAACAGCATCGAAGAGTATCCTGCTACTCTCATTGTCAAACGGGTTTTCAGAGATGGAATCCTCGACGACCAATTCAGCCTTCGACCCATTCTCCTGCTCGCTCAGCGACGAAGGAGGGGTCGATAACGGAGATGTATCGTCTGCAAAAGAAGACATAGCGAAACAAAGCAGGAGGGTAATTAATGGGGTAGTAAATTGGAATCGATGGTGGCTAACCAGTAGCAGAGGTGTAATTTGTGAAAAGACATGCGGCACAGCTTCAGAAGAGGGATCAAACTTAGAATAAATACTAACTGTCTACTCACACAAGGTAATGAGCGGACTCAATATTTCACTCGAGTATGATTTACCTTAGACGCCTTACACCATATACCATGTTCTATTTCCGACCGTTACAGTGATCCTAGATGTATGATAGACCAATCCACTGCGATGACGAGCTGTGCCTCTTACCAACAATTGTTGTCGTGCATACGCGAATGCATCACCCCTGCAAGGCTGGGTTGTAGTGTGTGCCAACGGAGTGTGGATCGCACATTTTACCCTTGCAGAGTCAAATGACAAGGCATACTGGCCCTAGCCTAATTCACTACGAAGTCCCAGGTACTGCCCAGGTTTCTCATGACCTCGTAACAGTACAGAGTAAGATAACAATCATGATGGCGACTCATAGTGATCAGCAGTTATGCGATACCCGGTGTATTTCCATGCTGATCCTGTTGAACTAGGTCACCAAATGGGTTACTTGTTGGCCCAAAATGATAGCCCTTCAAATCTAAAATGAGACGTATAAACGGCATTCTTGGACTGAACTCCCACAAGAACCATGGAGTCCTGGGCCTTCCATTAAAAGCGCGCGGCTACACTACAGTAGAGTAATTGGAAATGAAGTTGAGCCAATGAAACTTCGAACATGACCTCAAATGGCCAGGATAATTGCGGCTGAGCCAAGCAGAGGACCTCAACCTCAAACACAAGCCTGGGGTTACAATTTAGGTTGCCTCGTACAGCCTTCGTTTGGTTTTCAGGTAAGCCCGATCTGTCTACTAAAGACGTATACTAGTATCCAAGTACATTCGGATACAGCCGACTTCCAGCCCCCCTGAATGCGAGCCGGGATTTACTTGTCCAGTAACTAACTGTGACCTGTTATATCTTCTTATCTTAATCTCATGGAGGTATGGCTACGATTGAGTCACTTGTGTTTATGAAGGTCGATGAGGTTCACCGTCTCACAATGAAAGAACAATTAGCTTACTAAGGAGTCAAGAGGGTTTAGTAATCAATACGCTCGATCTGGGTTTGACTTATAATTTGCCTAATTGTGCCCAATTTTAATACTGGACAGTATTCCACTTCCCCCTATCTGCCACCGAGAAGCTCAGTGTTACACGCGTACAAAGCTGCACAAGCTGTACTAGCTGAATATGCAGTTCGCCTTGCATTTCGGCCATACGAAAGGCCATTAAAGGCTGCATGATCATTCAGAGACATGTAGGTAATGTTGGAAAGTGAGATTATACAGACTTCGCCTCTTAAAACAGACCCTAGAGACCTAGGTGGTCTAGGCTAGCAGACCAGTTATATATAGAGTCGAGTTAAGCTACCAACAGCTGAGAAGGAGTTAGTTGGTTAAGGACTCATGCAGCCCTAGTTGATCATTGTAATCTGAATAGCTTCAAGTTACAAGCCCGCTCATCTGCCCTTGTTATACTCAGAAATTTACCGGTCCAACAACATCAGGAACTTCGTGCACGTGCACCAATATCTGACTCCATCCTAATCGAGATTCCATATCAATATCGTCTATGTCCAGCTCGATCTCGTACAGGCCGTGGGGTTTACGAGCGGCTGCTACTGCCTTCTTGTGTTTCGGTAGAGCATTCTGCTCCCACCATAAGACTTCATCGAGCGTGACAGCCTGTTCGTCAACTTTCGACCTCTTGAGGAACAAATCTCCCGCGTACTCGTTGGCCATCTCGCGAAAGGTAAAGGTCATTAAAGGAAGCTTCTCGATGCGTGTGTCGATATTTGTGCCGGTGAACACCAGCTCATTTCTCTGACTCGATAAACTCATCATTTCATCATCGCTATCTTCGCCCTCATCTTCATTTGGTTTTGGTTGCTCCAGGCTGTGCGTGACGTGACAAGTCTCGTACGTGATCAAGTCGCACGTCACGATATAATGCGGAAACTTCGGCCGCTCAACCGGCGCCCACTGTTTCTGATTTCGTACTTTTGCTTCGAGCTCCCTAAGCACAACCATATCTTGCTCTATCCAGAAGAGATAGTGCTCCCCATTAGTCAATTGGAGGTCCACCTTCAACAGCCGTTGGGGACCCTCTAGGGCTGAGGACCGGCTGGCAATCGCATCGAGGCCACCCACGGTCTCTGGGCTTGTGTATCTATGTAACTCGAGATTGGCCTTCTCACGGTCGGCAAAGCTCTTGATCGTCATTGTTCTTTTCTTCTTGTCTTCGTCGTCTAGGATGAGGTCGGCGTTGTCGATACACTTGACTATGTACGCCCACTTATATTCTGGAACGACTAGTGCTCGAGGGCGTTGTCTCCTTTGAAGCTGTTGGATGATTTTTGTTTCGGAATCTCCTGGAGGCGTCGTCAGTCTCAAGGATTCGGCTTCAGTCTGACGATAACTGTCCTCTTCGGAGCGACTGTTTAGTAATAATGACTTGCTATCACACCTAGGTGCAGCTATACAAGTACCGTGGGACTTCGCACGTCTAACGGCGTCGTTTTGACGAATGCGACTCTTGTGTACGAGCTGATTTACCCCATGACAGCTGCGATCTTTTGGTGTTGATCTAACTAATGGACGGGTGTCATTGACTTGTTGCTTGCCTGTTTGTCGTGATCGGTGTTTTTGGACCCTGGAACAAGTGGTGTGCTGTTTCAGTTTCTGTGGCTTGTGCTTAAGGATCCCAAGATGATTTCTTGGTTCAATATCGATTGACTCCCAGTCACCCCGAGTGATGATTCTGCGTGGCGCTTCTTTTGCATAGCAGAGGCTTCGGCTTTTGCGGAGTAATGTAATCAAGTCTTCATCATTATCCGACAAATCCATGATGATCTCAGTTCCGGGGACCCTGCGACCTGTCTACTCGTTACAATCTAAAGTTATTGCAATTTAGATGTTGGTGGAACCCACAAGAAGATGTGAGGATAAGGTGAGTTTGATTGTTGTCATGATACCATATATAGCATATGCAGATGGCCAGGATCCCGACCTGATAACGTTTCTACCTTTTGCGTAGTGTGGTGGTTTATTTCTGCGTATTTGTTCCGTTATAATTGTTTTGATGCATTACAACTTCAAGTCGTGGAATAGACTTTAGAGAGTTAGTTTGCAAATATGAATATCTCGAGGCAGGTACGTTTGAGGGCGCTAAGAACGAGGCGAAGTGTCCGCAGGATTTGAGTATGTATACCTGCTAAGCATAAAGCCTCAAGTATTTGTCTCCCTGCCCAGGTAATTGAAGTTAATTGAGAAAGTAGTACCTTCTGGGTGTGGCTGCGGTGTAAACGCGGCTGGAATGGAAGTTCGCAACGTTGAATATCGGAGGCTTGTTATAAATAAATAGAGATCTTGATTGCTGACAGTGGATAGGTCTGGGGAGCTGCTCCATGTCCTGTGCGGCACGAGGGGTGCAGACTCACTGTTCAAGTTCATATAAAGACGCTTCCCACCTTATTCAAAGGTAGTTGAGCTGACTAGAAAAACTTGCTTGGTTGCGACTTTTGCAACTATGAAGATGGGAGAGAGGGTCAAGGTGTGTTCAACGTCTTCCGAGAGGTATTGGATTTAGGGAATGATAGCTGGGACGACCATCTACCCGGGTCGGTATCACTCACCAGATTCTTGGTAGCATTCAATGATCACGGTGAACGAGGATTGAAGCAGTTACATGAGCTAACTGCAGATATCGATCTTGTTTGTAGTAGCTATGAATCCGCTGGGTCTCCTGTTCCTTAGTTCATGGATTTAATCCTTGTAGGATTGAGAAGACAAGAAACCCCTGCTTTCCTAATGTTCCTAATGGATTTATGTAATCCTATCTCTACAGCACGAACCTCACCAGTTTCTTGTTATTGCAAAAAACAAGAATTAAGCCTATATTTCATCTCAAGCTACATCTACTTTGCTTTAGGCCGGGCTTTGAAGGATCTCAAAGGGTCTATCTTCCGGCCACCACTACGTTTCCCTTTGCCTTTGAAGATCCGTCCTTTCCTATTCTTTCCATCTGCCTTCTTCATAGGTACGAACCCAACGTCATTTGCGGTTAGGGTTTTCTTTCCTTCTGGAAGGAGGTAGTCAGGAACATCTTTCAGATGGGGTTGGGTACGGGCAGAGCGAAGTTGCCCGTCATGTCGTAGAGCATGTAACTCTGCCGGATTCTCCTCGAAGCGTCGCTGAAGTTTATCACTCTTTAAAAGTTCTTGACGAATCTCTCGCATTCGTGCTTCTCTCACGGCAACCTTGGTTACTGCACGGATGGCATCGTTGACACGATATCGGAAACCCTCTAATGTCTTCCAGTCAAAGTGCCAGGGTTTTAATTCTTTACCACTCGCAACTTGCTGCTTCTTGATCTTCGATAATGTCTTCTCATCGTTCTCCGCAGACGGTGTGCTTGTTGGAATATGCTTGCGAAACTTCTCAGAGGGTACAACCATAGTTAAGGAGGTCCCAGTTTGTCCTGCCCGCGCTGTTCTACCTATACGATGGGCATAGCTGCGGGCGGTTGTTGGGCAATCGAAGTTTACCACGATAGCCACATTCCTAAAGTCAATGCCTCTCGATACACCATAGTCCTTATCCCGTCGTGAAGATTTTCGCTTCTTCTTGGGTGGTGCGGTCGGGGTAGTTTTGCTGTCCAGTTGATCGGCTGAAGTTTGGTCATCGAGGGCAGGGTTTGTTGCAGTGTCATCATTTTCAGCTACTGGGTCAGCCTCATCTCCCAGTACCTCCATCTCATCCGACGATATCAATATGTCAAATAAACCCTGGTTGAACTGTTGCACAGTGTGGACCCGCGACGCAATAGGAAGCTGGGAATTTAATACGCTTTAGTGTCTTGAGTTAGCAAGTCGTCTTACAGATTTTTGTAGTGCTGAGATATCTCAAGAAAAGATAAGGCTATGACTGCCTCGGGGGTACATAAAGAAAAGGTCCTGAGAGTACTTACGCTGATCGAATGCCAAATTGTTCGAGATATAGCTTCAGCCGATATGATCTGTCTACATCGTCGGCAACGAAAATTAAGCATTTACCGCGGATGAGCTTGAGCTTGAGTAGGACGTATATCAGAAGAAATTTGTCGTCTTCGCCACATTCAACGAAATATTGCGTGATACCCTCCCCTTCAGCATCGGGCTCATTTAAATCCAGTACAACTGGGTTTTTGCAAAACCGGTTCTTCACATGATCGACATCACTGCTGAGCGTAGCAGAGGTTAAAACAGTCTGCACGCCCTTGGGTATTGAGGCGGATAGTGTAGTGAGGTCCTCGTCATAACCGTATGATGAGATAAGATCTGATTCGTCGATAACAAGTACCTTTAGATTAGAAAGCCACGGAGAAAGTTTGATGCTTGAGCAGGCTCGTGATGGTGTGGCTACAACAATATGAGGTGTGGAGGCAAGCATTGACCGAACTACCTCATCAGGGACTTGCTCAGAGAGCTTGATCGCTCGGACATCTTTTTGACAGTATGCAGTAAACGTTTCGATGGTGCGCAAGACTTGATCGGCTAGCTCACGAGTAGGAACGAGCACCAGAGCCGACGTCGAAGACTGAGAATTCCCCTTGCTTCTGAGTATGCTTTCTATAACCGGTAATAGATAGCACAGCGTTTTACCCGAGCCGGTCTTTGCGCGAAGCACCAAGGACTTGCCATCTAGGATTTGGGGAATTGCTAAAGCTTGCGGCTTGGTCGGTTTATGGAAGCTTTGGCCTGCAATGGCAGTCAAGAGGCGCGAATCGAGCTCATAATCGGTAAAAGAGGTGTCTTTTGATGATGATTTGGTATCGGTGTTTGGCAAGGCAATCGGAGGCTTGTCTTCTCGCAAGTCGTCAATCTTGCGCTTCATTGTATCTTGGCAACTTGGCTTTGTAGGGTAATCCAAAAGCTCGAGGATTCTAATAGACGTAGGCTGAAAGCGTAGATGTGTGCTCGAATCTTTGGTAGACAGAGGTCGGTATGGTCGAATTATCGAGATCCTAATGTTGCGTGAAAGGTCCCGCGATTGCGACCCTCAGAAAATAAGTTGCTGCAAGGATCTTATCGCGCGTTATCTTAGCGGCCCCACAAGTTCACTTCCAGTCATTCCTTCCTACCTAAAAAGAGCTACCTAGGTAGATTTAGTTCGCCAAGATATGGCCCAAGTGGTTTTGACTACCAAAGCTCTGCCACTTCAGAAGCCAAAAGTGCCATCAAATAATTAGTGGAAGGAAAAGTGAAAGGAGAATATTGATCTATATGACCGACTAAATCATCTCGCCAGTGCATACAACTCTATCTCTTCGTTGTTTGGCTGACTGATCGCCTCGGTTCTACTTACGGCTTCGCTGACAGCTTGTGAGTGGTGTATCCTACTTCGTAAAAGATACCACTCTATGAATAGCTGGGTGTGAATTCGTGATACCGGTAACTTATTAGAAAAGTTATGTAGATGATATTAGGCGAACCTATTGTATATACACATACCACTTGTGTGCACGACATGCGGCGGTTAACCTTGCCTTACTGAACATATAACTTCAAGCTTAGAGGTAATAGCATGTACCAGTAACGGATGTGGCAGCGTGCGAACTGGCCATACACGTAGTCCGTTGAAGACGTGCATCGCAATATGAATCTTGCTACGTATTCTGAGTTTACCATACAGACAGCGTGATAAAAAGCGGTGTACGCGTAATAAAGCTTGCCCCCTTTTCGAGGATGTTGAAGAGTAGAAACTGTGGTTCACAATCGGGTTGAGTACTGTACCATCCCCGCCGCCCAGTGAACACTGAGTGAATCAACTTAATGCTCTGGTCTCTCCCAGCGCCTAAACCGGCCAAACTTGAGAATAACAGTCAGTTGACACCCAATTGATAGTAACTTGATATCACTGAAACAGAAACTGTGTACCGGACGCTTATTTTCTGTTTGAAAACTCTTCAATACTGTAAGTACCGCTAACTGTTGGCCAGTAATCTAAGGTTAGGTGTCGAACCCGCCGGCTTTTGGTACGGTACGGAGCAACGCGGATCTACCACGTACCTAGGTACCTACAGCATTACCTAAACCATGCCATTCCATACTGTCAAAGAAGCATGATATTTCCAGACTTTTCTTCTTGGCACAAATTTCTATGAAAAATGCCGTATAGCGAATCAGCTAGGTATGGGTGTTCATAGTTATGCAGTAGTGCTTTTGACTAGAAATCTGTGAAACTTCCACATTCTCTTGAGGTGGAGTGAACAACTTATCCAAGCAAGTCAGATCGGTGAGGATGTGCAGCGTTTGATGATAGGCTAGTCGAGCTGGGTAGGTCAATGAGGCTGACTCGTATTGGCATTGGAATACGGCTGCCGATAAATATTTGGTTGCCTAATCTACTATGAGTCCTGAAATCTTTCAGCTGTCCATACCGAGGCTATTAACCTTGCTACTCTTTGAATTCTCAAGCACAAGTCCGGTTTCCATCACGATCTAGATCTGGCATGGTCGCGGCACAATGAAGATTGCAATCATCGGCGCCGGCATCTCAGGCCTCTCTCAGTACCTGTGGCTGCGCAAAGTCGGGCTGCTGGAAGACCACTCCGTCACCATTTACGAAGCTCGAGACACTCAAGATCGCAATGGTTCGGCTGCAACGAATCTTGAGACATTCAATGCATCTGTCATCGGTGCTAGCATTGGGCTTTCTTCAACGGGACTACACGTCTTAAAGCGCTTAGACCAGGAATTGCATGATGAGATTGTGAGAGCTGGGCACGTCATCAGAAGTTGGCGCATGTCAAACGCGCGAGGATGGACATTAGCTAAAGTGCCAACTGGTGGAGGGAATGAGATGATGGTTATGGTCGGTCGAGAAGCTTGTTGCCAGATCCTCAAAGACCACGTCCCCGATGAAGCGATTGTGAGGCGTAAGGTGATAGACGTGAAATTGGCCGAGGGCAGCAATAAGCCGAGACTAGTGTTCCAAGACCTAACAGAGGAAACTTTCGATTTTGTGATTGCATGCGATGGTATTTGGTCCCGTGCCCGACGAGCGATGTTCGGTGGGCAGGATCGCGATCAATATGAGTTTTCCCCTGTGTATGAGGGCCTTGTGGGAGTCGGAGGATTCGTCCCCAGTTCGAAGTTGAAAGATACTCCAGACGGAGAGATGAATGTTGTGCTGGGCGGAAATGGGTTCTTTGGCTACGGCTACACTACTGGACACGCTGAGGATTCCGCTAAAGCTGGTGATATGGCGACCTGGTGGTCAACGTATACTTTGAACCAGTGCCCCAAGGATTGGCGACGCATTGATACCGAAGATGTGAAGAGGGAGCTCCAGGTTTGTTTCCCATATTCAGTATACTAGATATCGGGGAGGATAAATCCATTGCCGAGCTACAGATTCGTGCTCTGTGATTTCCCCGAAAGAGTTAACCTGTTGCGAACCGCGAATACTGACATGGGATTTTGAACAGAAGCGACACCTTGGATGGCAAAACACGGTTATTCAAGAAATCGTTCGAGACGTGGAGGTAGAATCGCTCTACCCAACCTTCATAACACCCTTGTTACCAACGTGGGAGAAAGGAGGTTGCGTGCTTGTCGGCGACGCGGCGCATGCGCTTCAACCATCCTCTGGCCAGGGCGCTAGCATGGCATTAGAAGATTGCGAGACTCTAGCGCTTCTCCTTCGTCACTACGTACGGAAAGATCCTGAGGGTGGTATTGTCAAAGCCAGTAGAGCATATTCGGGCCTACGTCGTCCCCGTCTAGATATGGTATTCAAGAAAGCCCAGCAACTTGCTGGGATGAAGCAAGACATGAATATCATTCAGGAGATGGTGATGTACTTCTTCGTCTGGCTCTTTTCGCGTCTGAAATTTACGGAAGCTTATGAGCGCAGACTAAATGCGTACGATGTTCCAACGGAGGTATTGAAGGCAGTCGCACAAGAGGGTTGATTGAGGAGTTCATTGCCTCTTCAACCCAGAGTGTTACGGCTGGCTGCCCGGCGAAGGTTGGACTCTGCTTTGATAAGACGACAAGCGGATCATCGCCTAGCTTCACTTGAACTACGGAGATTGTTGGGAACGACAAGAAAAAAGGCTAGCGGAGTAACAAGGCATTGACAAGTGACTTTTTTTTTCTCTCTCTTCTCATTTCCTACGCTGTTTTCCGGGGGCGCTGAGGGAGGGGCGGGGGGTCGCGAGCCTCTCAACTCATAGCGCGGTGATGCGAATCTCAACTTATGCACTCAGTATAACACGACTTCTTTTATGAAAGGGTTTGAAGCATGCACTATGAAATGTAATGTTCAGTCGCTCTAGCTGTATCTCCTTGAGCATGACATATGTTCTTCCACCTCTTTTATGGCTCTCGCTCATCTACCAGTATGTAGATAGAGGAAATAAGGCGTGTTAAACCTCCCATGTAAAGGCTTAATTACATCAGTATAAGAGCCTGCCTACCTAATATTTCGGTAACAGCGTGTGTAGGTGTAGCAGGGTTGAGTTAGGGAACATAGAATAGCACGGAATAGCACGAAGGAAGGTAGATGTAGATCTCGAGAATTTGAAATTGGTGAACATTCCATTTTTCTTCACTCTATTCTCAGGCGTGCCAATTATTCTTATCTTGATCACAATGAGCTACATTTGTACCATGGGCAATGTTGCATCGCGAGTCGGCATATGACTAGACTGAAGCATCTGGACAATTAGAAACAATTGGATAATACAGATTAATTATAGCGCGGGCCGATCTACAGTACCCAATTACCATGTTTCTTGTAGTACGAATTAGGTATACAAAAATGACTCTTCTAGGCACTTAGTGCAACGTGATCTAGATACAGCGGTAGTACTCCGTTAGACAACCTTGGGAGCTATAGATAGCAATTATCAGTATTAGCAATGTGGGGAGACCTGGAGCTAGATCAAAGTAACATGATGGATATTTCATAGACTTATATCCTTGGTAATATACGGTAAGTCTCAACAGGCATAACGTTTTTACCCCACATGAAATAACGAACCGTACCTGGGCTCAAATCTGAACGGCTTACTTACTGAACGTGTAGGTGTAGATACACGAAGGTACTGTTCATGAGCGTTGTCCGTAGATACAGACCTACACCGAAAGAAGAAGAGAGATGCTCGGATTTATCTTGTATGGGTAGATAGACAACAAATAGGCCCTGTTATCGCTAAAGCTTACCTACATCTCATGTAATGTATGCTGCTAGATGCTGTAGACTGCATGCAATGCAGTAGGATGGCAGCGGTAGTAAGAACCATAATCAAGATTTCCGATATTAATCAGACAAACCAGATAAAAAAACACACGAGAAATGCCCCGCCGAAACAGTTTCATCATGGTATTACCAGGACATGACTGCACTAGACTACACCGAAGTGGAATGGTATGTGGATGGGAGTTATGCGCCGATGCAGAGGCCCGCCAACAGATTGAGCCCTTGCAACGGTCATTGGCTGGCGGGGTCGAAAGGAACGGGAACGAGGGGCATTTCAGTGCATTCAGCGCATTCAGTGGTCTATGCGTGAGATGGTTGACAGGGCAACCGCCACTTTCCCGCACAGGCCCTGTAACTGTCCTGCAACTGGCCCTGGGCTTGCCTCTAGACTTGCCTGGGGCGCTGCCCGGGGGGCCCAGCGACAGGCGCTATCAATACCTAGCGGCGGGAGCTTGGGGGCAGCTTGGGGGAGACTGCACGCCAGGAAAGGTTCAGGGAAGGTTCAGTGGGGCAGACCTAGCGTCCCTGCTCTTGTTTACATCCAACTCCTGCCCAAATAGAGGCGGCTGCAGCTCCCGTCGACAAACAACACACACCAACAACACATTCCACATTCCTCTTCTTCCACACCCACCACCAGCACACACACAACATCACAGCTGCAACCGCACTGACGCTGACGCTGATGCTGACGCAAAAGCCCTCTCTGCCACTTCACCATTGCATTATTCTTCTTGCCACTGCTGCGCATTGCAAGACTTTTCCTTGAAATATATTCAACCTAGAACCCTGTGCGCGCAACGCAACGCACTGAGACCTTTGTGACCGTTGTTATCGCTTGCTTGCTTGATTGTTGCCGTTTCGCCCGTGAGCTCGTGAGCTCTGCCTAGCAGCCAGCAGCACAGTCTCGCGACACCACAAACAAACGCGCGCAAAGCTGGTCGCATCGCTTATACCGACCGATTGTACATCTTTCATTTGCATGCTTCTTCTGAAGAATATGAGCCCGCAGGAACTTTCGTGATCGCCAGAAACCGGGAACCATATCCTTATTAAATATGGCTTCAGAGCAACCTGTACGAATCTTCCCTGTCTCAGACACTAGCTTTCAGAGGAATGTGCCCGTTACTAACCGAGCCCTCGTCACAGGTTACGGAGCCATTGCGCATCTCCAAAAGCACTCCAAACCATTCTCCAGCGAAAGGTGGGCTCAGCCGTCCACTGTCTGAGATTTCGGCAACAGAGAAGCGACGAAACTCGCCAAGCTGGACATCGCCATCCAAGGTATGCCCCTGCCCTGGCGTTGCTGTGGCTGACTCGCTTGCTGACAACGTTATAACAGCAAAAAATGACACTGAGCACCGACTCATCCCCATTCCAGTCATCTCCTCTGGAAGCAACGACATCACCACGCCTCTTTTGGCAAAGTCGAAATGCCAATCGACTCGGCGAAAATGATCTCTATAGCGGCCGTTCAGGCTCCCCATCTCCCACTAAGCGCTCATCCATCGAGCGCCTTGAGAAGGCTTCCCGTGTCAAGAACAGTACCATGTTCGCGCGGGAGCAAAAGCAAGAATACGATCCTGCCAGAATCCCAGCTTTTGAGCGTCCTCTTGCTAAGGTCCAGGGAAATGCATTTTTTGGTACAGGCCACGCCGGTCTTCGCTCAAACCACGGGCGCACCCAGAGCCAGACCGATTTATCATTACGCAGTCCGACCAGGTCTGTCGCGAGTCCTACTGCGTCTCAGAACCGGCCTCCTACCCCCAGCAAAGACCAACCGTCTCCCACCAAATCCTCACTTTCAGTATCGCGTTTCAAGAGCAGCTATGACTCACAGGCTGATGATGTCTTCTCTGACCACTCCATAGAGGAAACATCTATGGTCGAAGGGAGATACCTACACCGACACGCAAAGTCTGTTACGTTTGATGCAGCACCACCCCAGATCAACGAGTATGAGATGGCGACGCCAGACCTCTCATCGATCGGAACCAATTCCCGAGAAGGCAGCTTTGAATCTGAGGAAGATGATGACATATACGAGCCCTATCATGGCGAAGATGGGGGTTTGCCAGACGACAGTTTCGATGCTACTCTGGAAGATACGGATAAGACCCCAGTAGTAGGCCCCGATGATTGGCGACGTGATTTTGACTCTCGATTTGATAGCAGTCCCATGCCCGAGGGGACCCTAACTCAACCTGCCTTGGCTCGTCCGCAACAGGGGCGTACTAACTCGTCTACGTCAAGTGGCGAGCACCGGCCGCTACCCCCTCTTCCTGGAATGGGCGATGCTCGCATCAATTCCGCATCCTCAAATGGGCCCTCTGCCGCTGGCGAGAGGGTGCTCAGCGGCCCACGCAACCTACCATCTCCCCCACTGGCTGCTACGGAAATTCAGAATATTGGTAACTCCAATATGTCGTTAGAGGAACGCCTGAAGCTCATGATGCTATCCGATGAAACTAGCCCAAAACAAGCAGATCGACCGGCCAAGACTTTCGCAGAACAGCAACGAGAGCGACGCATGCGAAGAGCAGGTGCTCGCGATAGGTTCGCCAGCCCAACCCCCGAGCGTGAAGCGCCGCAGCCGGAAGCAGACAAAGAAACAGACGAGGCAGATGACGCAGTAGGCGATATCTCCACTCTATCGATGGATTATGAACTTCCCAGCATCTCGCGACAGTCGATTTTGCGCCGTGTTAACGGCAACCAGCAATTAGATCGCGAGTCAGACTACAACTTTGACTCGCCAGCTCCCGACTCTAGCCCTGCACGCAGCGCTCCTTACGATCCCGATGTACCTATCGCTAGCATCGAGGACTCGGTATTGGATGACGTGTCCGAAGTAGGTGAAGACAGTGTCGTCATCAAGCGGGAGAAAGACGAGGGTGAGAGGGACGATGCACATGATGCATATCTGCAACCACGTGATGATGATGAATATGATGATGCTTATTCAGATAGAAGCAAGTCAGAAGAGAACGATTCCGAGAGCCATTATTCTGACGAGTCGCCCAACAACCAATCATCACATACAGTGGAAGAGTCAACCAATACCCCTCGGGCTTCTAGTCCTGCCTTTGAAAGTGAAATCACCAATTTCAGCGCAACTCTACCACAAGTCAACAGTCCCACTAGGACCTCGGATTTCTCACGTAGTTTTCAATCCTACATGCTGCCTAAGCCAAAGGAAACAGACCAGACAACACATATTCAGAGCCAGAATGAGCCAGAAAAACAAGACGACAAGAATAGGCCCCAGACACCGCTACACTTGCACCCAATTTCGAAGCCAGAATACGACGGGTCTGGTTGGGGTGAGCCTGATGAGGAAGAGGAACCTGGTACGCCAGAGTCGGTTATTCATCATCCTATATCCGACGAGGAGTCATATCTTGACGACGAAGACGATGAAGATGACATAGAAGAAGAGGACGAGCCAATTGAATCTCCTTCGATCCCTGAACGCATGGCAACGATCAGATCGTCCGGCTCAAAGCTCAAGACACGTCCTTCAGCGACTCCATCCGACATCGAAGCAATGCGTGAGGCTCGCAGACAAGTCAGCCGTGAGATTACGCAAGACACGACGCCTCTTGTTCCGCCTATTCCAGATCGCCATCGCAACCGAATGTCTAGGGAGTTTGATGTTGAGCAGCGTAACAGTGCTACCGGCGATGATTTCCTAGAGCGGCACCCTAGCTTTAAAAATAGGAGCTTAACATTAGATCTAGACCTCGGCCTCAGCCTCGATCGCGACTTTGACAGAGTTATTGAGGCACAAAAGGTGGAGTCCCAACAAGATACCCTCAGTAGACAGTTCGCAGTTGCAAGTAGCAGCTATACTGGACAAGCGTGCAGTGCGAGCCAAGATGACGATACTATGTACCGCGCATCCTTTGATAAGACCTCAAATGCTAACGTTACAAATCGGAAACAGCGCGGATATCTAATGCGACAAAACACAAAACTGGTTACAGCTAGTGATAAAGAGAACGAAGATCTCCGAACTGGCACTCGCTCTGCTGGCAACTCTCCAGTTAAACCGCAACTTCAGCGCCCACAGTCATGGACAGTTGAACCCTGGAACGGCAAGCAAAAACGAAGTCTCCGCAAACGACATGGACCTGGTTTTACCGGTCCAGTTCCGCCGCTGCCTGGCCAAGAAACTAACGCCACGGCAATGAATTCTGTGCCGGAGGAAGAGGCTGAAGCAGCCACTGAGGATTCCGGTGAACGAGGACGATTATTCGTTAAAGTGATGGGCGTCAAAGACCTCGATCTGCCTTTACCTAGAAGTGAGTCTCCTCCATGCTCAGATCCCTCAAATGATACTAACCCCGGTGTAGATGAGAGGACGTGGTTCAGTTTGACCTTGGACAATGGAGTACATTGTGTCACAACCGCTTGGCTTGAATTAGCCCGCAACGCACCAATTGGTCAGGAGTTCGAGCTTGTCGTTCCAAACGACCTAGAGTTCCAGCTTACTCTTAACGTGAAGTTGGAGAAACCAAAGGAGCCGAAGCATATACCTGCCTCACCGATTAAGATGTCGAAGCCCAAAACGTCTACTTTCTCTCGTGTTTTTGCTAGCCCCAAGAAACGCAAAGAGATGGAAGCTCGTCAACGCGCAGAGGAGGAAGCATACGCTCAGGCCCAGCGGGTGGCTGCCAGCAAGCTAAGCCTTGCACCAACAGCATGGGACCTCCTATCTCCTCTCGCTGCGGAGGATGGTAGCTTCGCACGATCATACGTTTGTCTCAAAGAACACGAGGCACGATGCTATGGTCGACCTTACATGGTAGAAATTGCTGCCTTTAATGAATGGGCTACTGAAGATGCAGGATTTGCAAGCAGCGTCAAGAGCAAACGGTCTGGTATTCCAACCAATGGCGTTGTACGACGTGCTCCTTATAAGGTTGGCAAACTTGAAGTACAACTCCTTTTTGTGCCACACCCCAAAGGCTGCACTGATGACGATATGCCCAAGAGCATGAACTCCTGCATTCGAGAGCTAAAGGCCGCCGAGGAGAGGCTGAGTCGCAACTGGGAGGGTCATCTCAGCCAGCAAGGAGGAGATTGTCCTGTAAGTACATATGAGATCTCAAAAAAGGATAGAACTAATTTTACTCCCAGTACTGGCGTCGGCGTTATTTCAAACTCGTGGGTACTAAGCTCACAGCATATCATGAGACAACAAGGCAACCGCGTGCTACTATCAATTTGTCGAATGCCAAGCGTCTCATAGATGACCGACGGCAATTGACCAACCCTGAAACAACGGGCCGCAATGGCAAGCGCCGTCGCTCAGCATTTGCTGAAGAGGAAGAAGGCTACATGTTTGTCGAGGAGGGTTTCCGTATCCGCTTCAACAACGGCGAAGTAATCGACTTCTACGCCGACACGCCCGAAGACAAGGAAGGCTGGATGAAGGTCCTCGGAGACGTCATCGGCCGCGGCGGCACCGACGAAGATGATGGGATGGGCGTCAACTCACGCCGCAAGTGGTGCGAGCTTATCCTTAAGCGGGAGGAGTCGCTACGCAAGCGTGCTGAAGGCAGGCGGGTCCACTCACGAACCAAAAGTATGATCATGTAAGGCTGTGCCTTGATTCGCTTCTATTCATGATTGATGATCATGACCCTTCTTACACAAAACATATGACAAACGAAGACACGATGCGCCATGCCTAGATTCAAATGCAGATGGAATCACGCGTCGTCACTTTGACCGGAGTCCTTCTATATATATATATATGGCGTTCTAATGATGTACTCGGAATGTCTTTTGATTTCCGCAAAAGGTTCGTGAGGGGGCCCTGCCTTCGCAAGATGGAGTTGCAAGGGCGCTGGTTTGTTGCATTTTGATGGAATTGGGTACGAGAGAGGGGATACGGGCGCGATGGAGAGATTGATTACTTGTACCTTAATCGCATCCTTGCATGATTCACGGGATGATTTTTTTTCGGCTCGCTTTGTCTCATACTACTACTGCCACTAGGCTTTTTTTCTTCTTCTTCTTGTGTTGAATTGTAGGATTTATAATTACGATACACTTGACTTATTTGACTTTGCCTGTGCATGTCGGACTTAGGTGAAGGGTAGCGTAGAGAATGTGTTTTCGACGACTAGGTAGTATCAGTAATCGGAAATGAGAAATCACTCTTCAGAACAGGATGGAAATCTAGATGGAAAGACTGAATTATTTATCATCACATCTTTTTTTCTCCCCAATAAATAGAGAAGATTTCTTCCATCCATCAGTCTGTCTATGTTCATCTCATATGCAAGCAGCACGGAACCAACCAATGTATCTTGAGCTCAAAGCTTGCTTGCTTCTTGTTTCATCCTCATTCTCTGTCAGGATAAAACGTCGCGCCATCCATCCCATTAATCTACTCGTTAATTACAGTGATTGATTGAATTACTCACGCTCACGCATGGGTCGACCGGAACAGGGGGGAAAAAATCAAAGCGCGAAAAAACCCAAATGCCTAGAGCTAGCTGGGTCCTAGCCTACACTCCCAACGCCGCCGAATTTCTTTTTTCCATAGGTAGCAAGACGGATTCCTTAACGATTATCGGATATCTTCGTATTTAGTACCCCACCAACCAAGCAGGAAAGGAGACAGTCCGAATTTTCCTTCCTCATAGCATCAGAAGTCTTCTTGTTTCTTTTATTTCGTCTTTGGCTTCTTCGCCTTGGGTTTCTCTTCTTCCTCTTCATCGTCGTCATCGGCCATGTCTTCGTCTTCGTCGTCGACGCCGCTCTCGTCACTGCCAGAGCCATCTGACTCGTGTGCAGAGTCGTATTCCTCTGCGACGTCGCTCTCGCTCTCGGCCCTGAAATCCTCGTCGACGGACTCTTCATCCTCGTCAGCAGATCCACGGTCGGCCCCAGCGCCAACAACCTCCTCTTCAGAATCATCCATGGCTTCTTCGCGGAGCGCAGCGGCCAGCAGGTTCGCCTCCTCATCAACCTCATTCTTAACGCGCAGGCCCTTAAGTTTGAAGAAGCCTTCTAGCGCCTTCAGGTCCTCTCTATTGATGTTGCTAAATTGATGTGATGGCCCGCTCTTCATGTGAACTTGGATGTCGAAGGTTGAGAGAGCCGATACCGCGCCACTAACGCGAGAGAAGGTAATGGATGCTGTTTGATCATACGAGATGTAGGTAGCCGGCTTGGGTACAAACATGAACGCCTTCTCTAAACAATATAAGAAGCCTTCGGCCGCCTTGATCGAACATTTGATGCCATATTGTTGTCGGTGTGTCATGAAGTCCTTGGCTGGCGAGGTAATTTTCTTATTGGCAAGGCCCTTGAAGATATAGGTAATAACCTGGTGGAGAGGCTGCTCGTAATGAGCATCTAGTTTTCCATTATACTTTTGACTGAGCTCCTCATCAGTGAGGTTTAGGTCGATGGTGACCTCCTCATCCTTCTTTGCTTGCATGACAACAAATGGATATCTTGTTTGTCCTTGGCGAAGAGGAGGGTCTAGACCGATACAAAGCATGAAATGTAATTCATCAGGCTTAGGAAGTACCATAAACTTCTTAATAGCATCGTATTGAATCTTATAGTCGTACGTCTTACCACGAAGGCGGAATGAAGAGTCGTACATATCGATATCGAATCGTCCACTAGACATGGTCAGCCGAGAGCTCATAAGGATTAAGGAAACGGGGGGTGGCTTACCGTGGTGTCAAGTGCAGGACCTCGAGGAAAGTAGCAATGGCATCGCCAGCCGTCTCTCCAATCTCAGCCTTGTCCATCAGTGTTTCATAAAATAATGTAGCAGCGTTCTTCTCTTCTTGCTCAGCATCACTGCCTGCTTCTTCACCTTCGGTCTCCTTGCGGGTGGTGGTGCCTGGAATGTAGAATCGCATCTCAACTAATTGATCCTTTCCTGCGCCCGACTTCTTCCCCCGCCCTCTCGCGCCACCAAGGTGGCCATTCGTTCCCGTGTCGTCTTCATTTGAGGGCGTGAACTCGACGGAGACTTCGTTGCGACCGGCCAAATTTGTATTAGATATTTCGGTGTACGGAATCTCGAACGAGGGTTTGTTCTGGACGTTGAAGACAAGCTCGGCTTTACTGAATTCGGTCTTTCCCCAATTCCACCCTCTCAGTGCATGTTCCTTCGATTCGAGATTGATGCTGTACCAGAGCTTGAAAAGCTTGCTGAGCCGTTCGAAGTCTTCTTGCTGAAAACCATCGAGCAGGACAAGTTCGGATGATCGCTTTAGAATCTTGACTTCGAAGCCTTTCGCGGCGCGACTCCACTGAGCGGACACGATGTCGCCACGGTCGAGTGTGAAGGTATTGCCACCAGAGGAAGGTTTCCAACCCAAGCCATTCTCGGCGAATCTGCACTTCCCCGACTCCTTCGATAAGTCTAGATAGATGTTGTCGAATTGCTCGCTGTAAAAAGCCAGGTTAGTCATGGGTCTTGGAAGACCTTCTCTTGACATCACTTACATAGCTGCCATTATGGATATGCCTGTTGGTGGGATAGCAACTCTCTCTCTCTCTAAAAAAAATGGATGGTGATGGCAGCGAGGCTGGAAGAAAGGTTGATACCTGCTTGCGCTGGGCAATGGCGCCGCCTAGGAAAAGTGGTGCCTAAACAGGCAAAGCGGCAATTTCCTGGTCGCGTCCAAACACGCGCAGGAACGTCTTGTACCTAGGTATCCCCAGATGGTGCGCCTTCGATGCTGGCTTCGGTGCCTGCGGGGCGAGTTACTACGTACTACTGTACATGTAGAGGTAGGTACGCATGTACTAGGTAGGTATCTTACGTAATATGGACTTTAGCACCAAGCTCTCCTGTATGGAAACGTCAGGTTTAAACCTGTGATCATGATGCGGCGCTGATAGTTAAACATTAAGAAATGAGGACGAGAAGAACGAGCTAGAGATTTGTACCTGATAAGTGTTTTGTTGAATCTGAAATCATATAGGTACTTCGATACCTAGGACCCCGGATACACCTACTCACACAAGGACATAAACCGGGCTGCTGGGGAAGGAGCTCTTTGTAGGTATATATTCCAAGTTCCACCACTCACTCAGTGAATTGGCTATCAGAGCGAGACTTTTTAATGCCTTATCTCGATGAGCCCTTTACTAGGAGACTTTTGCCATGAAGTGGGCGGCTTATTAAATATTTATCAGATAGGCAACTACCTACTTAGTACTAGACGTGCATTTAGGTACCCACGAATGTGGGCAGATGAGTTTCAAGTAAACTGCATCAGTACTCATCAAAGCAGCAATTCTCTTTTGAGTTCTCCTAATCGAACATGTCACCCCTGTTGGCTTCTCAAAGTGTGTCTCAAATGGGCATGTTTATCCACATCACTTCCCGGCTCAGGTGTCATTCGGGTGGTGAAATAGATTGCTGTATATTAGACTAAGGTGGCTAAATGAACGACGATCCAGTTTCTCTCAGCGAATCTTGGATACTGAGATTCCCCGCGCTGTAGAGGGAGGTCTATATAATTGATGAATATTTCCCACGGCAATAATCCTGTTCATCTCACCTTTTGTCTCTCATCACCATCAAAATGCAGTTGCTACTTTCCCTCGTCGCCGCCGTGTTGGCACCTATCAGCCTTGCCGCTCCAGCCGGAGATATCTCCCTCCGTAATGAACCGATCTTCAAGAGGGAGAACCTATGCAACTTGAGCGCGCCACCAGCGCTTTGCCAACCCAACCCAAACATCACCGTTGAGGAGACGGCGCAGAGAGCTTACCAGTTCTATCGCGCGTTCGTAGTCGATGGCGACCCAAGGAAGATGTTCTCTTTGATAGACTCGTCGTATATAGTAAGTGGCTATTCTGAAGCAAGATCCTAAGTGGTGAAGAATTTGTATAAGAGGCATGGCAATTGCTAACCAGTGACCCTGTCAACAGCAACATCACCCAGGCTAGTGAGTATTATCTCCATATTTGGTTGATACTTCTCTAGACATCCCACAGATATTTCCACGTCCCGCTTTTGTAGTAGAAGCCAGACGGTAGCATGTTGAGGGCTTCTCGTACATCAACAGATGACGCTCCATATTGTAGTACCTGACTCACCACCACTTTGAATAGCGCGAGCGGTCCCAATGTGATCTGGCCTCTGTTCTGCGGTGGGAACAAGATAGGCACTGAGCAGAACACGGCCTGGTGTTTCGATGCCAGCACGAACATGTCTTATGCGCGATACTCAACCACGGATAGATGGCGCTGGGTTGGAGGCTGCGTACATGAACACGTAAGTGTCCTGGTCCCTGAAATTGAGCCGACCCTCCTAACCATTGTTTCAGTGGGATGTGGGTGAATCCATTCCAACTGGCAAGTGTTACAAACTGAACTCGACAACGACCACATCCTAGAAGAACTCGTGATCTTCATGGTGGGTATAAACCGAATATGTGGGTGTCTGTTCATAGCTGTCGTTTAAGGTATAATTGAATGAATTATGTACGAGTCGGTCAACAATAGTGCTTCCATATTGTTCGAAACTCAGACCATCAATCATATTGAGTATGAGAAATTGCTCTGTTTTGTCTCACTGAATTAGTTGTTAAGAAATGACTTAAACCTTGCGCATCAATGCTAGCTGTTTCTTAAAATCGAGTTCTAATAGTACTATATCCTTCCAAATTGTCAGCATTTGCTATTCACCTAGACAAGTAACCCTATACTTCGAGAGTGCAAGAACAAAAAAGATCGATTGTCGAGGCGGCGATAAAACATCGAACACGAGCATTCTTTGCGTCCAAGACATGTTCTCTATTCTTAGTATGCGCTGCAATCCCGGCAGGACTGATTCGAGGGTAGCGGATTGATGAATCGAGTTGAATGCACACCACCCTTCCTCATGGGTATTTGACAGCTTAGGTATATTATATATTAATGAATCCAGCCATTCATATTTCTCACTCTCATTCTCTTCTTCTTTTTTATTTTGCTCTCTCTTTTCCTCTTTTCCAAGCCTAGTATCAGAGACTCATAGCGAATCTGCCGAGGTCATTCAGGGGGCTATTAGAAAAGGGCCCACCTTGGCGCAGACAGCATTGGAAGTCATACATAAGATCGGACAAAGTCATTAGACGCGACGGGCCGCTGTTCACCGCTGCAAGGTGATACAAAATGCCGCTAAAATATGTAGTTAGAATTTAGATATATGGGTAGAAAGTAATACCACAACACAAGATTCACGCACAGGTTGCTGAATGTGTAACAGAGATTACCTAGGGAGAGATCTTGCAGCGCGAGATGGATGCGGTATGATACTATGTTGGTTGATTGTATACCCCTCTACTATCCAAATCTTGATATATACATATCTGTGCTTCATAAAAGCATTTATCTTACCGTTCGAGTGAGTGTAGTACTGTACTGGAATGCTATGTACCCAGGTAGCCCTAGCAACGGGCAACAGCTGACCACTGGCTGACCACTGGCTGAGCGTTCAGAGCATTGAAGCGTAGGTAGTGGGGCCCCTGGCCGATACCTACTTACCTACCTCTTTCCGCCGCTGGGTTCAGGGGCTACCATGCATGAACACCCCACTTCGATTCGCTGCGCCTTGGTCTTTGGCTGATCCTTCAGTCCATAGGCCACTGCTCTGGTCACTGCACTGACGACAGCCGTGCAGGCCAACCAAGCTCCTTTCATTTCACATCTCACGCACAAGACAAACTTCTGGTTTGCGCCCTTTCGCGACCAGCTCGCTCTCTGCCTTTCGACCCGCGCGATCCTCCCCGTATAGAATTACTGTCTTCTCATAGCTCGTGATTGTCTTTCAAACATGGCCGGTCGCTTCGTTCGATCGTCCAAATACCGTATGCTGCTGCCTTGTCCGATCCCACCATTTTGTCTGACCGTCGAATCCAGGACATGTTTTCGGTAAATCCACGCGGAAGGAGTTCTGCTATGACAATTTACGCATTAGCAGGAATGCTTGGGACACCAATTTGATCAAGGTCGGTTTGAACTGCTGTACCTCGTCCAGCGCCGTCTACCCCCGCGGCAACCGGCGCAACCAGTCTTTGCTGACAACCTGATGTCTTGTGACAGGCCAACCCAGAGTACCTTGCAGTCAATTGGGAAGCTAGCGGAGGAGGCGCCTTTGCCGTTATACCTCTAAATGAGAAGGGAAAGATTCCCGATGTTATTCCCCTATTCCGAGGCCATACAGCAGCTGTCCTCGATACCGACTGGTGCGCACGCGACACCACCTCAGTTCATGTTGTAGCTGCGCTTGTATCTAATATTGCTCAAGGAACCCCTTCAATGACCGCGTGGTAGCATCTGCTTCCGATGACGCCAAAGTTATGTTGTGGCAGGTCCCTCAGGGATTCAGCCTATTTACCGACGCCGAAGAGCCCACCGACGTTGCCCCCATTGCCAAATTGACGGGTCACTCCCGAAAGGTCGGACAAGTTCTATTCAATCCTGCCGCCGAGAATATCCTTGCCTCAGCCTCCGGAGATCTCACAATTAAATTTTGGGATATTGGTACCGGATCTGCTGTGCACACTGTCAAACACCCTGATATTGTGCAGAGCTTGACTTGGAACGCCGATGGAACTTTGTTGGCGACAACGTCTAGGGACAAAAAGCTTCGGGTATGGGATGTTCGCCAAGAGAGGCCCGCTCATGAGAGCCCGGGACATGAGGGGGCCAAGAATAGTCGAGCGGTCTGGCTCGGTGAGCATAACCGGTTCGCCACAACTGGATTCTCCAAGATGAGCGACAGGCAGCTTGCTCTGTGGGAACCAGGCAACCCCAACCCCATTGGTGGTTTCACAGTACTAGACAGTATCTCCGGTGTTTGCATGCCTTTCTGGGGTACGATTTCCTCCCCCCAACTGCCATCCAAGATGGTGCTAACCTGTTTTCCTTTTTAAAGATGATAGCTGTAACTGCCTTTACCTTGCTGGAAAGGGGTAAGTCTCTCTACGAACGAATGCATCTTTGTATAATTCTGACTCCCTTCTAGTGATGGCAACATACGATATTTCGAATATGAGAACGACAAATTTGAGTTCTTATCGGAATACAAGTCTCCAGATCCCCAACGTGGAATTGCATTCTTGCCTAAGCGTGGTGTGAATGTGAGTTGCGAGCTGATTCAAAAGAGACACGGTTTTCATATCTAACCATTCACAGGTTCATGAAAACGAGATAATGAGGGCCTTCAAAACCGTGAACGACACGTATATCGAGCCTATCTCTTTCACTGTTCCTCGGCGTGCTGAGACTTTCCAATCGGACATTTATCCACCGTGTGTTGGTATGAAACCTGCTGTCAGCGCGCAAGAATGGGTATCAGGACAAAGCGGCGTCCCGTCTAAAATCGACTTTGAGAGCATTTACGAGGGAAACGCGCCCGTCGAGGTACCCTCCGATTATAAACCACCTGCTCCTATCCCGACCCCGGCTCCGGTTTCAGCCCCAGCACCTCAAAAAGCGCCGGAACCTACCCCAGCGCCAGTTACTATCCGATCCGGCTCCATTAAGGATCAGCAGAGCTCTATGGCAGCGCTAGCTTCCAAGTATGAAGACAAGACAGAAGACGTAGAGGAACCCTCAAGCTTTGATGAGTTTTCCAAACCACAACAGCGAAGTTCTCGTTTTGAACCCAACACCCCATCCCCAACGAAAACTGCCTCTGCACCTCTTCCCAAGCCCGCTTCACCTGTCAAGCTCTCAACTTCAGACTCAACACCAACGACTTCAGCTCCAGCCCCTGCGGAATCTTCTGCTAGCTCAGGGCCGGTACTAGACCAGATCAAAGAGCTGCTAGAGACGCAAACCAAAATGCTGAGCGCACAAAGCCAGCATATCGAACGCTTGACGGCCGAAGTTGATTCGTTGAAGAAGCGAGTGGGAACTGGATCTACAGACCAAAGTGAGCGCATTCGACAATTAGAGCTAGAGTTAGAAGAGTTGAGATCATAGGGGAAATGTAGGTTGCCATAGGATGAAGCGAGGTAGGATAGGGGGGCAACGTATGATTGGAGACTCTGGTTACTTGAATGACGATTAAAATGAAGCGTGTACGTACATTTGATTCGGTTGGTACTTGCTCACAGAATGCTAGGCCATTGAGGTACGGTACATCTGACAAAACAGCTCATCTGAGGCGTTTTCATCTAAAAATACATTTATGTCTGGACGCGATTATGAAGCTTGCTCCGCATTCCACTTCACACAGTCGTCAAATTTGACACCAGTCCCACCGAAACAGTCCAATGCACTTCCGATGGTCAGATCTACCCTACCATTGCTTAATTTCTTGACGAGCTCGAGGTCGTCCAAGTTCCGCCCACCACCTGCATAAGTGACAGGGATGGTACACCAGGTAGCCAGCTTGTGAACTAGCTTCTCATCGATACCCTTCTGCAGCCCTTCATTGTCGGCAGCATGAATAAGAAACTCAGTGCAGTAAGGCTCGAGGCTCTTGATCGATTCTTTTACCCGCAATTATCAGCAAGCCGTTCATAGGCATAGGCGTAGCATCGAATCGTCTGAAACCCACCTTCAGTTACCTCCATGTCGGTTATAGTCTGCCACTTATTCATGGCCACGAACCATGTATCATCGCCTTTGCGCCTGCAGCTGAGGTCGATGACGAGCTTATTCTTATCGCCACCCAAAGCCGCTAACACGGCGTCGAGCCGTTCCTGGCTGAATTTTCCATCTGGGAAAAGGAACGATGTGATGATAACCTACTAATTGACCCAGTTTAGCTGCTTTAGGACTATCTCACCGACCGCGACCTTTCGATACTGGCGTATGAAGCCGACCGAGGAGGTACTGTTGGATTTACTAACCTTACTTGCGCCCCGTTCAATCCATTGCGCGGCGTTCTTATCATTGATGCCGCCTCCAACTTGTAGATGTCCTGGCCACGCCGCTAGCGCTTCTCGCGCAGCCTCGTCGTTTTTGGGGCCAAGCATTATGACGTGTGCTCCTTCAAGTGCATTGTCACGGTATAGCCTTGCATAGTAACCCGCAGGATGCTTTGACACATAATTCGTCTTGAGCTCGAAGGTTGAGCTATCCAGAGTGCCTCCCACTATCTGCTTCACCTGCCCCGCGTGGAGATCTATGCATGGCCGGAAGCGCGTCATTTTTGCTTTACGACGTCTCTAGCTATAGCACATAGATATGCAAAAATGGTGATGTCTTCATCTTAAGCTATGGTTCTTAGCGGGGTGGACCGAACTTGCAGGAGTAAGGCTACAGCGGGGTGATAGTGGCTAGTAGTAAGTACCTACCGTGTACTTACTTACTTAGTTAGCTATACCTAGGTAATTTTAGCGTTTGATTGGCTCACCTTTTTAATTGCTGCAAGGCTGCTCTCTGTCTCCATATTAATTTTTGAGACCCGACGACTCCAACATCAGAACAGACACTGGTGAGGTAACCATTCTCTCCGGGCGCAGAATCCAATAAATATCCAATGGCTACAGTTTTGGGAAAGCGCAAATCGCGCATACAAAAGTCAGACCCTTCAGTCAACCCAGACGAAGTTCAAGCGAAACTTGCTCGATGTTTTGCTGCCCAATTTCCGTCATTACTGCCCCCTGCGAAACCGATACCAGCATCGGAACCTGAGATAGAAGATGATGGATCGGATGGTAATTCGTGGGATGGCTTCTCCGAGGACGGAGCGGAGGACGACTCCTCAACACCCTCCACCGTCGTCGAGGTCGTATCACATGCCGACACATATTCAGCCACCACAAGAACCCTCGACAAGCGCGAAAGTCGAGCCTGGCTATCGTCAAGACCGCCCCTAGCCACCGCCGCAGATTCTATCTCGTCGACAAACAAGAAATCGAAGGCTACAACAGACGAAGAAGACGCGCCATCATTATTGAAGAACGACCTTGCTCTTCAGAGGTTGCTTGCAGAAAGTCATCTCTTCTCATCCGCGGGCGCAGACTCTGGGGACGCGACTGAGCACGTAGGGCGCAACCGACACCTAGCGACGGACCTGCGACTATCTGTACTAGGCTCCAAGGCTTCGATCTACAAGCAGGAGAAGATGCCCATGTCGATGCGGAAGGGGATCCAAGCTGCTGCCGAGGGGCGAGAGACAAAGCGCCGACAAGAGGCGCGTGAGAATGGCATAGTGCTGGAACGACCGACGGCTTCGAAGAAGACGTCCAAGAGCAAGAGGAGTGGCGCCTCGAGCGCCATCGACGCCCCTGCTGTTGGTAGGATGAACAATGGCATGCTGAAGCTAAGTAAGAGGGATATTGCGGATCTTGAGGGTGGCGGACCCCGGAAAGGCGGGACGTTTACTAAGAAGCGGCGGAGATGATAAATAGGGCGCTTGAGAATAGAAAAGAGCCCTCAATTTCGTGATGAGTTGTGATGAGGATGGCTATGCATTCAATATACCCCAAATTCATGATATTCCAGGCTTTATGCATTACATTAAATCGATTTGCTACGCGATCCTAATTGCGGCTGCTGGGTCTACCTAGTGAGTAGAATACCCACAACGAGCCGTGCCGAGTATCGTACTGCTTGTATGTCACGGACTTAATATATATGTTCTTTAGACTAACCTAGTAAACTGCTCATCACCAAGTAACGAACCTATGGTGCTACTATTGCTACATATGCTCCAGGATAAATTTTCCTAACTTAATTTCTACAATGCCCTCCTCCTCGTCCGTCACGGATTGTAAGTGAGGACTTCGAGATTGCGTACTTGGTAAAGAGTATCTTGAGAAAGAAAAGTTTAGTATTCGAATGCCCTTACTTTTCGTACCTGCTTAACTTACCGCTGCTCGGCCCCGGGGACCCGGACGACCCTTCCATTTGCAAGTTGATAATACTGTAGTTGAACGGCGTTGGTAAGGGGGGCATAATCAATTGCTCGGGATAAGTGCACTGCTTCTTACAGGTACATGGGCTTTCCAAAGAAGCCACCTCCTATTTGCGTTGTGACGAGCGATCCGTCCATGTAGAACTTCACTGAGACACTAGAAAGCCAGAACACGTCAATATCCCATTGAACATATGCAGAGAAATAGCTCTTTTTAGAGTAACTTAGGTAGCAAAGTTCGGACAGTGACATACTCTCTTTGGTTGATATCCCTCACTTCGCATTTAATGGAGTGGAATTGGTCCGGGGTTGAGTAGGTGACGTCTTTCCATGACAGGATTGATGAGGTATTGAAGGTATTGAAAGACTAAAAGGCTCCATAGTCAGTATTTATCTCAATGTAAATCCATTAGAGAAATGAGGACATCAAGATTGGATAGTCTTTAGGATATTCCTCGGACGGGCTAATCTACTACTCAGCATAAAAGACGGTAGACGCAAGGGTCTGCTCACGATCTTCCCAGAGCCCTTCCATTCCGCCATATCGATCTCTGGTGGCCAGCTATCCACGGCCGTGAGCCAAAACGCAGGCCAAGTGCCTTTCGTCGTCGTCGCCCTGAACTCTCCCGTGAAGTCGTATCCGCCACCACGAGAAACGTTGAAATGCTCTTTGGCGCTAATGGCGCCTGATAAATAGTTGATCTTGATATTCTTGCCTCCGTGTACTGCGTCGCGCTGTCCAGTGACCTTCTTCGCTGTCAAAGTGAGCATCTCGTTGGAAAATTTGACTTGGTCCTTGCTCATTCTCGCTCCGCCATTACTTTATATCGACAGTCAGTGAGTAACCCTCAGTGATGCTCTATCTCTCTCGCATTCTTCCCGGGACGACAGCGACAGCTCAAGCCCTTATCTTACTTACTGATCTGTCCCCCATGGATAATTGTAGTTCCAATCCGCGTCAAAATCCGATTGAGAGTTGAAACTCGTCTTAGGGATCATGGTACGAACCGCTTCTATCCCAGCGGCGAGGACCAGGAGAATTAAACCTTGTTTTGTGAACTGCATCTTTGAGTAAGACCAGAATAACGAGATAAATTCGTCTCACTATTCGTAACTTGGATTGTCGTTCAGACTCCTAAGGTAATGTCAAGCAGCTAGCAGAGCCTACATACGAAACACCAGAAAGCATTGTTGTAAGCTTGTGTATCCGAGATAGATCGAACAAATACCGGCCTGGGGAAAACGACTTATTGGAGCAATTTTGTTATTGCGGCGGTAGTTGTGACTCCGCTGATTAATGTGGTCTACCTATAGGGGCTCGTGGGGCCAAGAGCGGAGAGGTACGCTTTGGCGTATGCTGTAATGAAACACCGGCTAATATGTCTGGCCATTTCCTTGGTAGTCTGTTTAACCTCAGCTCACATATCTATCCTAGCCAATAATCCTGATCCAGGTATATATTGAACCAAGATCGCGGCTCGGCTCCTAACAGCTCGATTAACTTATTCTATTAAATTTTCTTCGTCTTCTTCACACGTTTATTCGAGTATATGCCAATTCAAAAGTCGATACAACTCCATTTTATGTTGAGATGGTCAGATACGGATACAGGTAACGATCTTTCTCAACAGCCGCGACTGCGTAGTGAGGCAGCGAGCTATTTCTCTACACTGTATAGCTCTCAGAATAGTCAGACTCGGCCAAGGAACCCGCGAACCGTTTTTTATCCCAGTAAGACCTCAATGGGTCCAATCTTGAGCGCTGTTGACGAGGTTACGGCTTCTCTCATGAAAGAGGTATCGTTTTCACTATTGATCGGTCAATCACATGCCTAGAACCTATCGAGCGGGCTCGTCGAATATTCATGTGGTGAGCGTTTCTTAGGTGGTCTAGATGTGCAGTGAGACTAGCGAGGATTATATAGTAATAGTTTCCATCTCTGCAGCGTGCACATAATACAGAGGACTCTACGTTTAGATATTAAAACTTCTGGCTTGATGCCACCATACCAAATCTGGACGCCTTATCGCCGTCTAGCTTTTGGTACTGTTGCTATTGTAGATATGAATAATAGGTTTCGCTACTCTAATGTGCAAGGGTGTGCTGTGGCATGTCGGTGTTTGTTTGCTGGTGGACTGATTACTTAACACTTCATCCCTGAGATTGAGGGGCATTCTAAAAACTTTACCGTCTCGAGCTATCTTGCTGAGAATAGCATCACGGAGTTGTCTTGAACAAAGCTCACATATTGTAAAATATGGCTGTCAGGATCTGGTGTACTGGCTAATGACTTCTATTGTTGCGCAGAGGTCCCTCCAACCTTCTTGCGGGTAAAGCTGAAGCTATATACAGGAGGGGTCTCTTTGTTACAGCCTTGTAGGTGTCTGGTAGCCCCGTGACAATAGCTTTTACGCTACATAAGATCAGCGGTGCACAGGTAATTAGATCTGAGGGTAGCATCTCTCATATTGAGTTTTTTACGGCTTCATGAAAACAACAATCAGGTGTGCCTTGTGCTATACAAGTCTATGCCACGATATGCCGTTTGGTAGTTTCCTGCCAAAGACAATTAAAGTAGTAGGATGTGTGTTGTTCAAGGCTGGAGTGGCTATAAACCTAGAGTTACTACTGTATTTGGGGATGTCTTGAAATATCCAGTACGCCAAGTTGCAGCTTGGACGTGTATACAGAGCCATCTCCTTAATTCCACGCTAGTTAGAATACCGAATACTTAGAGCAGAGGTTCAGAATAAGGGGCTGGACCTCGTAATAGATGACAGGAAAGAAGCGTACGAGCCTGAGCAGGCGGCGACGGAATTAAAGGGAAACGAGGTGTAAAAGGAAAAAGAAGAAAAAGCCACAAAAAGAATCGAACTGGGCAACCCGGAGGCGTCAAGTCGACCGGAAAACTATGACCTGTTGTTGTTCCTGGCGACTAGTTTACCATAACCACTGTACCAAGGTACAGTATATGGGAACGTCGAGTGGAAGGTGGTTTATTGATTATTATATGGCTGACTGGCTAATTACCCCTTGTTGTTTGTGCTGCGTATTAGCGCACCTGCCGCAGCTTACAAAATATTGAACATGTAGTACAGAACTCTTTGTACCCTTGTGTATCCCACGGTCCCCCTGACTGAAGTGGAATCTCCGGTCTACAGCTGGGTGATAGTAAGAAATCTGCTAGGAAACCGCTATCTTTCTTGAATGCTTCTGATTCCAGGGTCTCATCATTTAATGGCTATGGGACATAACCTATTCACTGTTATAAGATGGATCTTAATATTTAAATGAAGTCTCTGATGGTCTTAGAATATGGTAGTAATTGGTAGCTTTGAGCTTACCATGATGGAGAGATACTTCACTTATACGTAGGCAACCACAACGAAGTGGCGCTGTAGAAGTGATTGTGCACTTTAACTTCCCGCAATGACAATAACTGTTTGAAGCATTCCGAGGCTTCTACTAAGACGATGACACGGCTGAGATCTCGCTACAATGCGATCAAGGATATCTACTGCTGGAAGGAGAACCCAAAGAATTTATCTGGGACTTGTTAGGCACATATCCGTCGGCTTGAACAACAAGTTCATGTCACCAAATACGGCAATCCGATACGAGGTCAATCTCTAAAAGTCATGTCAACTACTCAGAGCACAGGTGTCAACGTTAGAAGTTTTCTCGACGATCACCACACGTTGTTAACAACGTACTTACTCAGCAGGTGTACAATGAATTATATTATTATATGTACGTGGAGAAGAGCAGACAGTTTGTCATTTGCCCATTTGCATGTGCGCAACTCAGTTGAGATTGCGTGTACTCAGCCAGCTTAGAAGAATGAACAAAAGAGGGCCGTGCTTTGCCAGTGGTGAGGGCTGTGGCTCAGCCAGGTTGTGGGAAATGTGCTGCCATACAGCCATTGTTGATGGCCATTGAACATGATTAGGTTTAACTCGGCGACAGATAACCATTGGTGTATCTATTCATCATTGAGTTGAATTGTTAACTTGCTGGACTATGACTGGCTACCTACGTCCCAAGGTGGATTGCTGCAAATATGGTATACAGTGCATATGTACAGTGTTAAATTGAATTAGTATCAATGTACATTGTGTACCTATGTACCTATGTACCTATGTACCTATGTACTCTAAGGGTCGGGGTACTTCAAACAGTATTTAGCCCAACCACCTCAACTTTCTCCTCTCCCCCACAATTACCCAGACAACATTACGCTTCACTCAACGTCACCAGCAACGTTGGACACTGCATCTGCATCTGCATCCTCGCGTCCATCAGATCCTACAAGTCGGTCAGTCAGTTAGTCAAACCCAAGTCCTAAGGAAAGATGTCACACGAAAGTGGGCATGAATCCGCGCCGCCCACTGGAACCAGTCCGCCTGCTTAATCAAGGTCACCATTGCAACCAAGACCGTTATAAATTGCTACCGACTTCTACCCAGGCTTGAGTACGCTCTCTGGAAGAACCGGGGTCTTGGGGAAGCGCTTCTCGGTTTGCATCGTTTTCGTCTCGACCTGCGCTCTGGCGATTCACGCGCGAAAGCGGTCTATCGTCCAACGCACCTCGAGATGGCGATGTGAACGGGACGCTCGTCTGCTGGTACTGAATTTGCTCGCGACTGTGATTCTGGTAGTGGCGGCGGGCATCATGATCATTAAATGACCGCAAGCGGAGCTATAATCCTCCTTTCTCATCATTCGCTTTATCTCGTGACTTCTGTTGCGTGGGATGCTGCCTAGGTTGTCATATAGAGGTCTAGTTACAGCCTTGAGACTTTTTCCTTTCGCTGTGTCTATCCTAATCTTACTATTCCAAAAAGCTTACAGTTGCTAGACTCTGATCCGCTAACCTATATAGGGCCCTTCTTACTCACCCGATGGACGTTTCGACGGCCTCGGGTTCAGATTCAGACTCCGACTCCAACTCGAATGAAGCCATCTCCGTACAGTCTGTGAATGAAGACATTCATCTCAAGAATGTCCCCGCATTTGTAGTGTGGCGTGACTCGGATGGCAAGAGCCATTCCCTTCCCGACTTAGGCTTCTCCCTGCTCTACACTTCTTGTACAAAAAGAGCCCTGGTCCGGCTACAAGCCATCACGAGACTGAAAAAGGGCCCATCTAAACCCTATATCTACCTCTTCATCAAACCAGATCAGATATCCAAATTGGAATTTGTCAAGAGCGAAGGTGCCTCAGATCGTGATGAAATAGAGTTGCATGGACACGCGCGACAGAAGCTGAACACAAGCACACACGCGTTGCGTTTTGAGCTGCGAGATCCTGCTACCTTTGTGGTCCCAAACGAACACCCTTTTCAGTTCTTCAGAGCCGGCTCGCAAGCTGTGTGGACCTCATGGAACGCGTTTGCGAGAGATACACGTCGTTTCTTCATTCACTTTCCCATGACGACCCTTTCTAAGCCCCGATTACTATCATTCTGCCTGGCTGCGTCAACCTATGGGTACCTCACGTCACTGGACGACAATATTTCCAGTCTTTATGGGGGTAGAGGTGGCAGGGTAGTCGACGGAAATGACGCCAATGAGGATAACACCCCTCAAAATGAAGCGAGAGCTGGCTCAAGCGACGAGAACGGTGCCCCCCCAGCCTACGATGCACATACCACTGCAGGACCCGGCCTTTCTGCCACAGCGCCGCCCTTATGTTTGTCTCCAAGTAAGCAAGCATTCCTTCTGCCTTGTCTTACGTCATTCCAAAAGATGCTCTTAACTAATGCCGTTGAACTAGATCCTGATACAGAACGGTCTCTGAAGCGTCGTCGCAGGGATAGTAGTGACGTAGATGTCAGTGATACTACTCACGGAAAAGGAAACAAAGCCAACAATAGGATTTTGGAAGCCATACTTGGGCTACAACGGACTGTACACGAGGCGAATGTGGCGCATGAAGCAAGCCTCTGCAAGATGATGGCCAAAATAGAAGAGATAGAAGGGCGATTCAAGCAGCTCGAGCAAGACCAACGCGATTTGGTAGATGAGGTAAGGACACACATGGCGCCACTTTGGGACGAAATAGACACGCGGCTTCAGAGCCAGGAAGATCGCGAGCATGTGCACATCAGGGATGTTATCGAAGAGGTTGTTGACGAGAACATCAAGGACAAGATGGCCGAAGCAGTTGATGACTATTTCAAAAGTGATGGTGAGGGCCAGGATTTGATCCATAAAGTAGTTGGCGACAGGATACAAGAAGAAACAAAGGACTTTCTTCAGAATCAGTGCTTCACTGGCCACTTCACTATCAAGCCAGAGCAGCCCCCAATATAATTGACATGATACCCCTGGTTCAAAAGTAATGGGACCGACTACCGCTCCTCTTGTCCAATCGTATAGAAGGCGAACCAGCCATGATATTAAACATCGAGTGAACATTTATACCCCATTTATTGCACGCTTATTGAATATTTCTATATAGGATCTATTTTTTCTCAGGCTTTTCGACGTGGAAGACTTGGTCAGCTACTCAACAATCTCTTGAGTGATCTAAGATTTGGCATGGGATTCAACCGGACTTCTTCAAACCCTCACTATGTGGAACCAAGGTAATACACTCTGAAGCGCCTTTCAACTCACGCGAAAGGGGCTGAGATTGGTTCAATCAGCTTGTCGAGTTCTGTTCACACTTCCCTTTATCATACTTTCACAAAGGTGTGAGTCAGAATTAGCATAACTTGTGAGGCAAGGTATTTGGTCGCAATACCTGATCGAAGTCGCTATATACAGGGAACTGACTGATCTTGTATCTAGCAGTGCAAACCAACAACGAACTCCATTTCTACCCAGACCAGATACTAGACCTACGCATTGCTGTGCGAAAACTCGACCCTGTCGCAGCCGTTTGAAACCACGAGGCCTTGGCCTGGCCACACCCTAGGAGTCGAGGTGAAGGAGAAGATGAGGGCATCGCACACGGGCTCCGCGTCCAGAGTGGCGGTGTAGTACAGCCCGCAGGCTCCCGAGCCGGACATGGCGGCGCCGCATCCTTCGTTGTCGAGGCAGGCCTGGCAGCACAGGCTAGCGTCTGTTCCCCACGGGTCCTTGCGCGTGTAAATCACTGAGGTGCGGTCGGCGTACTGACCGGACTGCAGACCTTCGCCGTTGATGGCGCCGATGAGGTTCGTCGGCGCGCACTGGGCTGCGAGCGTCTTGGTCACGGTCTCCTCGGGGCAGGCCACGGTGGTGGTCGTGACGACCGCGTGGGGCGTGTACGTCGTCGCCGTCACGGTCACCGTCGTCAAGTACGTGAAGCTTGTGCCCAAGATGACGGTGCTCGTGCTCGTCGTTGTAGGTGCTGTCACGGTGGATGTGGCTGTCACGGTAGACGTCACGGTCCCGGAGGTTACTGTGGGCTTCAGGATGAAGGACCGCGTCACGCCTGTGCGACAGGACGCTTGGGTCGGGTAAGTCGACGGCAGCACTGTGTTCTGGCCGGAGACTGGCGTGTATGCGCCGCTATACACGGTCACGGTAGGCTTTGCCTCGCCAGAGCACTATGAGGCGCAGGGTTAGTCATCAGTGCCAATTTCGATCTGTGTTTCACCCAAGCTTCTTGGATACGTAAGGGGTGATGCGTGGAAGTAAATGAGATATAAAAGACTCGAAAAAACTTACTACAGTAAGGGCAAAGGTACCAGTCGCAACAGTGAGAGCGAGACCTCTGCCTGAAGTAGCTGTCGGCACCGTCACAGTGTCTATGCCCCACGTATAGTATGTGGACGTGTGATCCGTGACAGTGACTGTGGCCGCGGTCACGTACGCGACGGCCTGCACAGTCTTTGTAGTGTCCGTCACAGTCGTCGTGATGGTTGTCAGGGTCTCATCGGTGGGGATCGGCGTGGGAGCCACGCCGCCCGAGCCGAACTGGGTAGTGCACGAGATCTCGGTCGTCGAAGTGACGAAGGTTATCGTCTCGGCGGAAACGAGCCCGCCGAAAGCGGCGACAACGAGGAAAAGATCTCGCAGCATATTGCGAGGTGTTACCGGGGACGTGTAATGAGGGGCTTGTTACAGACCTTGCAAGTTGCCGTGCGAGGGGGCATTCTTGTCACGAAGGGAGTAGGATATTCGTTTATATATATATATATACATATGTACTGACATATGTCACGAAAACAAACATCGACACCCATGTTCTTCACTGGGGGGACTGTTCCATCATGATGGATCGTGGAAGCTTGTTTTCACGGTAGTGTAAAAAACCGCATTTCTTCGCCAAATTACTAATGATGACTTCAGCAAAGCTAGGGTTGGATCGTTTCCCCAACTATCATGCTATGGTAGTAGGAACAGGGTCACAAACACAAGAGGTGACAATTGCCTACCTCGTGAGAGACCGTCGTTGCAGCTCGCTCGCTCTCTGGAAAAAAACAAGCTATTCGCGGTAGCGAAGAGGGGCCTAGATTGAGTCCCGGTTCCTGTTACGGCGTGGCTAGCCTAGCGAATCCTACGGCGGTGCAGGCCCATGCATACAGGCTATAACGCTCACAACCTGCCCGAACAGGAAAATGTTGATTTACTAGATGCGTTGTAGCTTCGCCTTGATCAACTGTCGGGCTTATCAAGTTGCCCTTGGCTTATACAGTATTTATACGTAGTAGGTGAACAGGTTCCTCAAGGCTTGTTGTGTACTCCAAGGGCTAAGCGTGTACGGTAATTGAAGGGGCAGGGGTGGACATCTGAAAATGTCCCACGGATGAATTCTCCGCTGCTAAGTGACATGCATCCCTCCTAGCAAGGCTGCCAAGTAAGCTTTGTTGGGACTAATTATGTACACCTTCTCATCCTGGCCAGGAATCCAAACGCCGGCCAAAGTTACACCGACACACATCAAGCATGTTGGTTGTTGCGGTTACTCCCGCGTGATCTAAGGAATGCCCAATCGATCACTCTAATGATTAAGGACATGGCGGATGTAACAAGCTCAACGGACCTAAGCCAAGTCAATTCCTTCCGGCTTGAGTAGTCCGCATAAATCGTCAGTTAGTATAAGCTGACCTCGGCAAATTCACTCGCAGCTTTGGGCACTTTCCTGTCCTCTCTATCCCTGCTATTCTAAAAGTCTATCTTTGAAGGTAAGTAAGGGAAAGGCTTAATCGAACACAATTATTAGGTATGTGGTTTAGGTCAAGGTGTGTGGCTAGAATGGTGGAATCATAGGACTCCTTACTCAGTAGTATGTTACGGGGTGCGGAACAACGTATCCTGAGAAACTCCGAGCCGGTATTTACAAAACGGCAGAGATAGCGAGATCCCTGTATGTAGTACCGGTCTTAGGCATGCAGCCTTATGTGAAATTCAAAGCCAGTTAATTCATACGAAGAAGCTCCATTCCAAATCCAGCAACGGATGACAACTATGATAAGGACTCCAATCCGGCTCTATCATAGCTATGACTAAGCAGGCTGTGCGAGGTGGTCCTAGGCGTCAAGTTAATTACCTATCAACTCCTAGCCAAGGTTCAAGCTTAAGCGTTCTAGGCAAACGGAGAATGCAGTTGTCGAATATAGTCTTCAGTGAAGAGGGGTTATAGACCTATAGTATTTAACCAGCTTCATATGATATATCTACAGCTTAACGCTATAACATGGTCAGTTTTTATCACAAGGACACAGATTTCAACTTATGAACACTAGGTCATAGTTTAACGTGCCGCTGAATGTTCCTTTGTTCGACTAGTTTGGCTTAGGGGGCATGAATGTACATTGTGTTGTAGCGTTGTTCAGACCATGACATCTATTCTGTGACAGACTACAAGGTACACCTATTCGAAGGATGAACTAAGCAATAGGTTCACGAGAAATCAGGCAAAATTTTAAATATAATAATGATTGAGAAATTGCAGAAATCCTGCAAGACACTTTGGACTTGACTTTGTCTATCCTACCCGAACTGGCTGCGTGCTATGGTCCATGCTCAGCCCTCGTCTCTATTTAGTTTTTATTCGTTTCTTCAATAGTGACGGGCCCTGGAAGATTGGTGTATAATTTGTGACGCAAATTTCTAGTCGTCATCTGTATATCTGCTCTGCTCTCTCTATGAACCAAAACCTGAGGTCTAGTACCTGTCGAGATAAGGATGAAAGACAATGGTTCCGGATAACCCAATCCGGCATCATTTGAAAGCCAACAAGAGTTACTCTTTGTTCCACCATTTATGATTGTATCGCTCTGCCATCCCTAGTAGAGGTAGCTTTATCACTTTCTTCAGCACTGAATCAAGAGAGACTTTGCCATCTGCAGCATCACTAGTGCAAGTTACAACGGCCACAACCCAATGAAAAATTCGGTAATAGCCAGGAGCCACGTGCGGAAGCAAGCATGATTACGCTGCGAGCAATTGCACTACTAGTGCATTTACTCCTTGGGGACAGATATCCGATAGAAGTTAGAGATATCGAGACCGGAGCTTCGAATGCACTCCCAGTACAAACTGCTCCTCAAGTCGCCTTTATTACTGCTAAAGGATACACCGTGACCCAAATTGAACGACCAGTTGAGATTACACGCATAACAAAACATGCAAGTCAAATCACACAGGTCATTGAGACCACGAGCATAGAAGAACTTACCACTCAATTCACACAGGTCATTGGGACCACGAGCACAGAAGAACTTATCACTCAATCCACACAATCCTCCAAGATCACAACTACAACAAACTCTGAGAGTCAGGCTAAGCAGTCCACTGAGATTACTGCTGCAAAAGATTTACAGATCCAAGAAAACCCAGAATGGATTAGTTCAGAAGTTTTGTCGCCAGTGTGCAATTTCGATTTATTTCGGTTAACATCTCGGCTACTTGAACCGCCCTATGATATCGCTGGGGCTGCCAACCTGATCGCGGAGTGGGAGTCTATAGCAAATCAGCTGAGTGAAATCAGGCGTCTGCTGAGCTACCACTGGGACTCATTGGTGAAATTGCATGGATATCAAGAAGTGGTTCTTTTACAGGATAGCCTTGTCGCATGGGTGGAAACCCCGCTGAAATTTGGATGTTCTACTTTGCAGCATGTTCATGACACGCTACTCTCTCTGGTACATGTAAGCAAAGAGCGTAGGGGTTTGCGTAAGGCTTTGTTGAAGACCGCTCTTCAAGAATACGAAACCGAGATTCAGAGTCATATTACGAACGAATCTCCGGAGCTACCGCTTCCAGCCTGGGCTCAGCAGGCTTCAGAGTTGCGAAGTGATAACTGCCCCGACGGGAATTGCTTCATGAGAGGAACAAGTCCTATCTATCTCGTTGCGGCTGAAATTCCGTACGGGCTTCTACGCACGGTTCAGAATTTGCAAATTATTTTGAGCCCAGGCTTGTGGCAAACGATTAAACTAATTTTTAAACGAACATGGGAGAATTTGGTTTGGTGGTATTGGCAGTTCAGTCTACTTTGGACGAAAGAGCTGTTGACAACAGCTTTCTTGGTTGTTTTTCTCGCAACTGGATATAGAATGTGGTTTGGTGGTTTATACCATCTTGAGCTTCGTAAGTTAGGCGTTGATGATGAACCAAGGAAGATGGCTGTACTAGACCAGACATGATATCTACTCCGCTGGAGTCAGAAATTGCTGTTAGACGTTGGTAGAGTCAAGGAGCGGGTAAACTAGGGTCCGAAGATCGCATAATGAATCAGCAGCCACCTTCGTACTCTGTTCCTAATATTGCTTTATTGTAATCAGCGCTCATGCGAGGGACCCCATTCGGGTGTGGTGACGTGACAATATTATAGGATCCTTATCACAAAGGCGGCTTGAGTAAGCCAGTACCGTGGTAGTACGTGATGTGTTACGGTATCCTGGTAATTTCATGTCATATCTTTTATCGCCTGCAGATGTTGTCTGCCCCGAATCCTATTATCACTCCACCGCTTGTTCAGAATATCATTGGAGACTTCACGGTAATACTGTAACTCAACAAGACGCAAGTATAGCAAGCGAACACTACACCCTTACATTTGACCCACTCGACGGTAGCTCTATCATCGCACCCAACTGGACCGTTGGCACCATCATTGGCATTTGGGATGGTCCGGGCGCTTTAAACCAATCGCCAAAAAAAAGTCAAGTAGCAGCCATCCTAGGCATCTACGGCCCTCGGACTATGGCCGTAATCGCTATTCGCGTCCCCAATGTCAGTTCTTTCTGCTTCGAGGTGGGCCTCAACCCGGACGGAGGCGGTGTTGATACCCCGGCATCAGTGTTTGAGATCCTTCGTAGTGACATGACGCTCCTCTCTCCACCATTCAAGACTCGATACTTTGCTCCAGCAAACCTGCGTGCAGCCGCAGAAGACGCAAATTACATGCGGCTCGTCGCAAGCTTCATACAGCACAAGTACACATTGCGATACAGTGGCGGCCTCGTCCCAGATATCTACCATATACTAGTCAATGGCCAGGGAGTTTACATATCCCCCGTCACTCCAGCGAGTAAGGCTAAGCTCTGCCCTCAGTATGAGCTTTCGCCCATTGCTTTGGTCATAGAATGCTGCGCCGGTCAGGCGGTCGACCCTACCACTGAATCTAATATTCTTGATGATGCCATCAAACACTGCGATGAGAGAACTGGCCTGCTATGTGGAACGAAGGAAGAAGTTGAAGGAGTGGTTGAGGCAATGATCAATTTATCCTAAATATAATAGTATTGCGATTTGTTGTGTAAGCAAATACAACTTACCAACACATAAACATCCTGTTACAATAAACGTGATTTGCACAGTAAGAAGTCTACCGTTCTTGTTGTGTCATTATTATATCGCCCAATCTCTGATAACGGAAGCTTGATAAGTCGTGGGGTCAGGACGGTATGTTTCACAGAATCAATATCTGCGCATCCCCCTGCTTATTCCGACAAGGTGAACTAGCCCAGAATACCTTTCTCACAAGCACACTTCAAATCTCGGGTTGTTATATCTTCCTTCATCATACCTGCTCCCTAGCGTCGGCGCCCTTCGTTACTATAACAAGGGCAGTAGAACTGGGCTTGGAACTGAGGATTCTGATTACAATAATTAACTAGGGCTGCATTAGTCCTTAACTAACCAACTCCTTCTTAGCTATTGGTAGCTTAAGATAACTTTATATATAAATGATCTACTAGCTTAAACCGCTTAGGTCTTTAGGGTCTATTTTAAAAAGTAAAGTCTATATAATCTTACTTTTTAATATTACCTAATATTACCTATATATTTTAAAAAGTTATAAATAGCCTATAATAGTCCTTTATATAGTTAAAGTATAAAGCAAACTATATTTTTTAACCGGTTTAAAGGTTATATATATAATATAATTTCCCTCCTTTTTAAAGTTTATTCTTTAAACTATATTATTATATTAATGCTGTTATAATTTAAGGATTAATAGGTTTACCTAAGTATTAATTATTAAATTCCTTAATAATTAATTTAATAGTATTATTGAAGAAATAATTATAGGGTTTTTAAGTTTAATACTTTTTTATTAATTAACCTTTCCATTTAATTAAATATTTAATATAGCCTTTATTTTTAAATAAATCTATTACCTCCTTTATTTAATATTTTTCCAATTTAATAGGATTTAAATTATATAAACTTAAGTAGGATTAAAAGTTTTTTATCCTTTATTAATATAAAACAATTTAATAAAGAAAATATAAAAGGTATTATAGATTTATTAAAACTTAAATAATATTAATTTAATAATGGTAGGAAAAATTACTTTTTTAATTTAAAAGGGATTTAATATCTTTTTATTAAACTTTTTTAATAAATATTTAATTTTAATATTCTTTATATTTAATATTATTAATTAATCCTTTTTATAAATTAAGGTATTAATTTATTATTTATTAACTTATTCCTTTATTTATTAATAGGCCTTTTTTAAATATTCTTTAGCTTTTTTATAAATTTAAATCATTTAATAGGTATAAAATCAATTATTTAAATTATAGGGGGTATTAAAAGTAGGATTATATATAATAGAATAATAACTATAATTAATATAAAAGAGTAATATATTTATAGCTAATAATTAAATATTATTATAAGTAAATTCTACTATAAATAATAAATCTTTTTAATTGGATATTTTATAATTAATAAAAGATTAAAGGTATACTTTAATAATTTAATTAAAACATTTTATTTAATTATTAATTTATAAATAAAAGGTAATATTTATATAATTAACTATACTTATTAACTTAAAGAAGTTCTTTTATAAATAGGTAATAAATTTAAAATTATAATTAAAAATAATATTAAAAGGGATATTATAAAGTCTCTAATAAATTTTAATAAAGGTTTTAATAAAGTCTTTAATCTTCTTTTCTTTAACCTTAAAAGGTATAAAGTATACTATTTTAATAAAGGGGTTAATTATAATTTAAATTAAATTATAACTATTAAATAATAAAAGATTTATAATAAAATTTATAACTATAAACTGTTAAAGCTTATAATAAAATTCTATAAATTAAAATAAGCTATATAATATATATTTAGTAAACTTATTCCGTTAATATTTTAAATACTCTTTAATATAATCCTATATTATATTTTATAAGTTTAACTATTAAAAGTTATATATAATTAGTTTAATAATCTTATTTATACTTATATAACTTACTACTTTAATATTATACTTTAATTGGAATACTTTAAATTAAAGGTTAATAGGTACCTATAATTATCCTTTATAATATAATAATCCTTTTTTAACTTTTTTATCCTTAATTAAAAATTATACCTTTTTTTAATAATTTATATTTTCTATTACTATAAATAATACCTTTTTTATAAATTTTAATATTTATTTTAATATTAATAAATTATATAAATAGGTTAATATTAATAATATTATAATTAAAATTGGGAATAATTCTAAGTTTAAAAAGTGCTTTTATTATAAAACTATTATAATTAATTAGTTTTTACTCCCCCCTTTATTAGGGCAATATTATAGGAGCCTTAATATTTAATCCACTTTACCGTTTTATTTACCGGGGCAGTAATTAATAATAAACTAAAAGCTAGATAAATCCTTTAATTAACGTACTTATTTATAATTTAAAACCTTTATTATAATAAAGTATAAAAGATTTTAATAATTAAAGTAAATTTTAATATAATACTTTATACCTTTAAAATATTAATACTATTTTTTAAATAAATCTTTAATAGTTAAAAGCTTTTTATTATAAATTTTATAATTAATCTTATTTAGTTTTAATTTTTTTAAATGGAAGGCAACTAGGTATAATTTATTATTTTTATCTTTTTATAAAAGGATAGTAATAATTGTAAAATCCAAACCATTAATTTTTATATAGGGAATTTTATTAGGATTATAATATATAAATATTAGGGCATTTAAAAAATGTTATTTAAATCCTTTAAAAGTTTAATTTATTTTAAGGGTTTATACCTAGTCCTTTTTATTTAATTTATTATCGTTTATAATTAATAAAACAATATAGGAGAAGTTTTAAATAAAGCATTAATAAAAATTAATAAATTTAATAAAGCTTTAAAATTTAATAAGCATTTAAAATATTTTATAATTTTTAATTACTTTAGTTTTAGCTTTATTTATAAAGATTTTATTAACTTTTATAATATAGCTTAAAAATTCTACTTTTTATATTTACTGAATAAAGAGAGAAACCACTGCTGAGGCCGCTAAATTGAGCGGAAAGTGCCGCCGTTTTAGCGGGTTCTAGCAGTGCGGGAAATCTCCCGACGAAGGTCGAGACTAGGTATTATATACTTCGCTAGGCGAGGGGCAGCGCACTAACGGTGACCCATATTTCCAGGGGTTGAGACTTGGCATCTTCTGTCTTCCATCTTCTTGTTTCCTGTTATCCGCCGTGAGTTCATCCAGAACTGGCCGTTGCTGGCTAGAATGGCCTATAAATGGCTGGGACGGCCTTTGTGCCTTCCACCCTGCTCTTCTCCCCCTCTGTAGGACCGGCTTCCCAATCATGTATCGCCCAGGACAGTTACATATTCCGTCTATCACCGTTCTTGAACACCTTCTAGGCCCAAATCTTCCGGCCAGACGATGTCCCAGGCGATCGCGCCCTCGCTTATACAGATTACGACCGCACGCCGCGTCCAGGAAAACCACACTGCTTTCCTCGAACGCTTTGCTGCGCGAGAGGCACAGAGCCGAGCTGCGAAGCAAAAGTCGACGCTCTCGGTTAAACAGCATGCCTCTCATCGAGCACAGTTGAGCAAGGTTCACTTCATCAAGCCGAAATACTCCCGGGAAACCGAAATTAATGTCAGCGGGATCTTCAAGAAATGGAAAAGGTATACAAACACCCACCACTTCCCCGTTGTACAAGTGCTAATGTTTTCCGCCCACCTCACAGTTACTGTGAGGATCTGAGGGTTGGCGACTGGGAGGCAACGATTAAGAGCCTCAAGCGCGAGACGACGCAGGATTTCTTCCTTTACGTTTGCGAGAACTCTAAGATTTCATCACGGGGTAGCGGCGAAGAGTACATCCGTCAATTCCAACAACTCTATACGACAGTGACCGGCCAGTATATGGATCGGAATGATGCCAAAGAGGTATACAAGGTGCGTGGAGGCTTCACATCCTACTCTGTCAATACAGAAACCGGCTGTTTCACCCCGAGGGCTGTAGGCTCTGTTGACATTTAGTAAGTATTATCGTTGCGTCTTAAGTCCTCGCTTTGGTCATCGGCCACCAAACCTCGATGGCAAGCCGGTGCTCAACGTGGATAACTTGCTGGTAATCTTGACCTTTAATATTGCGTACGATACGAGCATCTTCCCTGGCGAACGACACCGTATCCAGCTAACCGGCTGCTACCAACTTCTTTGTTATACCGGAGCACGACCGGCCGAGCTTGTAGACGGCGAACGGAAGAAACCGAAAGATGGATCGGTTGAGCAACTCTTCGGTCGGAAAGTGGTCGAGTCTCCCTCGCCCTCTTCGGACGATGGCGAGGACAACGGCGAAGATCGGGGGCCGGCTCCCGATAAAAACTCCCAGCTGCTTGAAAGCCTTCTCTCTCAAGAGACTCTGGGGCGCGGACGGCCGAAGGCCCTCTGTTATGAGGATATTCAGATGATGGTTGTGCGGCATCCTGTTACTGGACGCTGTATTCCAGCTATGGCTATTAAGTTCGTTCATCACAAGGGAGCCGACAACAAACCCAAGCCGTAAGTTCTTGCTATATAGACTCCAAACTTTCTCAACTAAGAATTATATTCAGGACCATCTTCTACTTTTCCCCCACTAGGAAGCTTATCTTCTGTGCCGTCTCAACAATCCTCTCGCTCGCCCTACATGACAAGGCATTCGATGCCCCAAGCTTGACGAATGCGTCCGCAATATTCAGCAAGAAACCACCGCGGTCCCAGCAATGTATCCCGCTTCGATGGAAGGAATCCATGCTCAAAACCCCGCTGTTTCGTAGATACAGAGGGACATCGCTCTCTGGAGCCGAGGCCATGTTATATTCTAAGCTTAGAGACGATATCGGTCAGCAGAGTCTTGATTCAGGACACGAGAAAAGATGGACGCCTAGATTTGCTAGAAGAGGCGCCGCAAATGCTGCTAATGGTACGTTCTGCGCTCTGCGTACCCAGGTTAAAACACGGGGTCACTTACGTGGGGTTTAAAATTATGTTAACCCGATCACCCCGTAGGAGACGCACCAGACTCTGTGCGTGACCAAATGATGCGCCACGATCCTCAATTTGTGACATTTCATCGTGCTTACCTAAATGAGATCGCCAATTTCGACCTACAGAATGCTTTCTTGGAAGAAGAGAAAGAAAGTCAGCTGTTCCGACTTTTCGCACACGTTAGTCTTACGCGCGATCCCCGGGCGACCGCGGACATGGTACCTGAGGAGGTGTGGGCCAATCTCGCGCCGGACCCCGAGATTGTCGAGCTTGAAGAGGAACGAGCCCGGCTGAAGCAGGGTCACTATCGAATCGAAGGCCACAAAGAAGAGGAAAAGATCCAAAAGCTTACCAATGAGATCCGCATCAAGCGTGCACAGCGTGACAGACAGGTGGTTAAGGAATACCGTGAACATTATTTCTACCACCGTCCTACCTGGGATATCGAGAGGCAGGCACGAGGGGAAGAAGAGGAAGAGTATGTTGAGCCCGCTGTTAATGTTCCTATCCCAGAGCGAGCGAAATTGGCGAAGATTCTTTGCCACCAACCTGACGACCTAACTGAAGACGCGATCCTACAACAAAGGATTGAAGTCATCGACCTTATAGTTGCTCTCTGCGACAAGAGAGAGACCGTTAAGCGCGATCGGATCCAGCATAGAGCCAAAGCCTGCCCGCCGGTTAAAATCGAACCAGTAGAAACTAGGCTCGGTCCTGATGATTTCCCTCTTCTCATGCATGCGGCACAATGCCCGGATTGCATTGGCGACGAGCGACTTTCTCTGGAGGAGCGTGCCTTTACATACTGTCGGCCTAACGTCATGAACGATCATTTCGATAGCCAGCATCTCGTGAGGCGCGAGCAGGCTGAGCAAAGCGGGGACAAGATTCGGTGCGAGCACCCAAAGTGTCGAAGTCTTAAATTCAAACATATAGATGACTTTCGGGGCCATGTCTACAAGGTCCATGGTGTTGCTCTACGGTCGTCGGAGCAAGTAAAGCAAAGGCGGCTACGGAAAGCAAGACGGCGACAAATGATTACGGGCAAATCTTAGCGAATTGTTCGGAATACCAGCTAGGAGGCTAAGATATTTTATAGCATGCGGGCCGAACTCATACCCCAATTTGGCCTGATATGTTATTGTAGCCTAGGATAGCGTAGAGTCCACCGGCCAAGTAGCTATCAAACCTAATAATGCAAGTAGATTATATTAGTGAACCAACCGTGCCGTGACTTACAGGTCTTCTACATAATATTCGTTCATACCCAGCTTTGTACCAAGTCCGCCTAACTTCAGCATCCCTCATTCTCTACTAAACTGCTTAGCTTCATCCGCCATTAAGCTAGCGCTACACTACGCTAGAGCGGGACTGCCTCATTACTCTCTGATCATCGGCGACACGGGGTTGGGGGACAGTTATAAAAGCTCAACGAGCTCGCCTTCGAAGCAGTCCACACAGTTAAGCTCGATACCTCTAAGTTAGGTACATATAGCAACTCGCTAAGCCGTAAAATGCGCCCATGCTCGTCTCGGGTATCAAAAGAGAGCTCACATTGCGATAAGGCTGGTTTCATAAGAACTAAAGCTATATATGATGCTATTGCTCACATCAAGCCTGGTTATAGGACGTATCCAAGCCGCTAAGCTCATAACTATCCTGAGCCACAAGCAAAAGAGGGTGAAACGTAAACACACCCAGCAGCAAGCACAAACCGAGGCTAAATAAAAGATAAGATACCAAAGCCAGACGCCTTCCCCCTATTGATACAAAGGACACAATGCCTACGCTGCATAAGGGATAAAAGACTATCCTTAAAGGAAAGAACGTTTACGTACGGCTAACCTGCTATAATATATAACCACTTCGATAAAAAGCATATAAAGGAGCTATAAGGTTAAACCTTGAAATTCTATAACTATTTAAAGTACAAAGCAGAAATAAATTATTTTAAATAGTATCCTTTTTTATTTTAGTTTTAAATAGTACACCGTATAAGTAGCTTCAGTTTTTTTTTTTTTTACTTATCTTATACTTAAAGATAACACCTCTTTATAAAGGCTTAAAAACATATATATTAAAAAAGAGCTAGATTTAAAAAGATTAAAGGCAACTTAGGCTAGGGCTATAGAAGACGGTTATTAGTAATGCAGACCGGACTATAGCAATGGATTTCCTCTACCACCAGCGCAATACAACACGTAAATATAATACAACAGGTGTTTAGTTGCCTAGTCGTTTCTGCAAACACTTATAGACGGAAAAAGTAGCCGTCATAAAAACCATAATAATAATAACCAGTACTAATGCGATATATGCCATAAACGACCACCCGCCACCTTACGCAGTGTAAACATTAATTATAATGGTCGCAAAACAGTTTATAGAATATATTATTCCTAACCTATTATAAATTAACAGATGGCCTAAGAGAGGCGCCATTAATATCTACTTACAAAAACAGATGACTGAGTAGCCAAATATAGTTGATGCTGAACTTTCGCCAAAGCAATCCAAAGCCAACTATACCGATTGCTGACAAGAAACCGGAGATCGGGAAAAGCGCTCTGGTTAGGATAATCTGCTGTACATATTGGCCGTAGTGGGTCTGGTCCAGCAGACCGTACCGATTAATCGAAGTAAATGTGGCAGGAAATAAATAGAGTCCAGCAAGGAGAAGCCACAAAGAAATGGCCACCATGAAGTTATATCCTATAGGGACATTATTTAATGCAATAACCATTCTTTCGTAGGAAGTGGCCATATTGCTTGCCAATTATCTTTAATCTGCGTTAATTTAGTTGACAGGATGTACTTATACTCATCTTTGCACCACAGAAACGCCAGTTACCTGTACTCTATGCCATCGGTCCTCTTGCCTGCGCCTCCTTAAAACAAAATTTAAGTACACATATCTCACAATTCAGATTCCAGCTTTCGAATAAGTAAAGGTACGTAGATACAGCGCTTATATGCCGACCAAAATTAGATCGTACCTTGTTTAAGCGTAAGTCGGTTTCAGAACTAAACGCGCGGCTAAGCATCGTAGCCTTTTCTCTACCCTTTTTAAACACTTATAAATTGCCTTAAAGTCGTAAAAGAAGAAAGCAAGTTCTATATTTCGTTTAACTAAGACAGTTTATACAGAAGTAAACCTACCTGTTAAGATGAGGCCCAACACTATAAGATCGTCCTACTCCGTCCAAAAGTCCTGGAATAGCAGGAGAAAAGGGGCTATAAAGAAAGTTCACGAGCTATTCCAAATTTTTGGTGCCAAAGTCTCTATAATAATCGAAAAGGATGGAGAGCTATTCTCGTACCAATCCCACCTTGACCTTTCGGCGATCACTCATAGTTCGGTTAAAGCGGCAAATAAAATGACTCCCAATGACTTTACCACGGTCGCGGAGAAACTCCGGCAAGACTCGCCGTCTCTATCACGGCAAGATACATCGCAGTCTTTGTTGCAGCATGGCTCAACGTCGGGCAAATCCGGCACGACCTCGGCTTCTCACCTAGAGCCTAGCTCAACTCCTATTAATCCACCTCCACAACGACCACGGGCGCATGCTTACTTTAACATTCTGAAGGACTAAGGACACAATGTATTTATTCTGTCTATATAATTAATGGATAAAGACATTGCTGGAGCAACCTAATTTGGTCTATCGTTTCCTTTGTTTGGCTGCAAGGCTATTTTGTCCCAGATAGCGTAGAGACGAACAGGCCCCGGGCCTGACAAGGGGAATTACTCAGAAATAGTTGGTCTGTTTCAAGAACGCCGTCGATTTGTAAAGTAACCAGCGATGATGGCGAATAAATATAGACGTTTACGCGCTGCTAAAAATCCTCACCCGACCTTATAGCCCCCCACAACTCATCGCTACATAATTGGACACTTTTAGGTGTCTCGTCGCCGCTGTAATATAATCGCACTTTCTTTAGTCGAGTTCGCATAAGGAGATCTGCTAGGTAAGGGCCGGCTGGAAGACGGCATTTGATATTTATCGTCATTGTGATAGCTAAAGTCTCGTAAAATGTGTTTATAGGTGCAGCCTCTGCATAAAATAACAATGCTAAAAGTTGGTTGGCTAGAGGAATAAGTGGGGGTGTATAAATAGGGGGAAACTGAGCCTTAATGTTAATAGAAAACCCCAGCCAGAGAAGATCTAGCTTTTCGTTAACGTTAACTGAGGGAGTCTGCTGACTGGCCTTACGTCGCATGCCTGTTGGAACCAATTTTTTTATTATACGCAACTTTATACTATTGCTCTTGAAATCTTGATATTGACAATATTCGGGTAGGAAAAGTTTTGTTCCACGCGTCCGTAATTCGTTGAACCGGAAAACTAGATCTTTGTTAAAGCTGACCTCTCTGTTACCCCTATGCACATATTGCAGCTTTGGCAAATGGTGAATGCAGTCTTCTACGGTTGTACCTTCGTAGAAGATCATAATAATGAAAAATAAACCTATGCCAGTTCCACTGGCAACGTCAAAGTGGTGATATAATGGCGAGCCGAGAGTTTTTCGAAGAGATTTGAGGAATGTAGACATAGACTTAGCACTTTCTACAGGTCCTTCAAGATGCAGTATGCGGAGTCCAGCAGTAGGAGGCTTGAGATATAAAGGGCTATTCGATCTCGACCCGCAAAAGACGCAGAGATATGGCTCTTCAAGAACCCACTGTTCTGAAGTTGGATAGAGGAGAAGGAGACAGGTATCGCATAGGCGGTGGCTACACGGAAATCTGTTCGATGGCACCCCTGCCAAGCACGATAAACATAGGTTATCATTTTGGAAACAATTGACCAATATGCAAAGGTTTTTAAGGATGGCCCTATGCTGGCTATATTAAGATGTCGGAGTTTGGAGAGGATCGACCTGAGAAGAAAGGGTAACAAATTGTTGTTCCACGTTCTTTAAGATGCCCGCAATTTTGTGTTTCGGTAGGACATCTTCGAAGAGTGGTTGATAGAACTCCCGAAATATAGCTTGTGGGGAAAACCCTAGCTTGTTAGTCCGGAAAACCACACGATGTTTAGGATTACGTATAGAGTGATTCTAGGGAATCTAGTATTAATGTAGCGGCAATTAGTTGACAAGCAGGTTGGCATAAGTCCGCACGTTTTGCTACTTGCGCGAGGACTTGGTCAACTTGAGAGCCTAGCTGTGCAGGTATTGGCCTAGCGAACCACGATGCCCGTAGAATATTAAATAGCTCCTCGAATCCTTATGAAAATTAGGCGCAGGCTGCTTGACATAGGACCTTTAGTTATGAACCCCTATTGGGTAATTGGAATTCCTGCTGAGGTATTCGCTGCGTCAGAAAGGTTTTCTGTCGAATAAGGTCTTCTAGAGTTAGTTTATCTTATGGAGCGGGCAGTGTTCTGATTCCGGCAAAATGGTTCCGCCACGCCCGTTCTGCAAAGCTAAAGCTATATTCCCGACAAACATTGTAGTCAGCTAGAACTGTAAGGGTGAGGTTTTTTTCAAGCTCTTTTAGAAAGGCACCATCACTTCTTGGCTCGGTAAAAATAACAATTAATGGCCGGTAGCTAGATAACCAGCTCCTAGGGCGGATCCAGCTTATTAACTCGGAAAGAATATTATATACGCCGCCATGTTCTTTTGCTGAAAAACAAATTAAGGCACTTAACGGAGGCAAGATTTATGAATAGAAGTTGCTAACGACCTTTATCAAAGGCACTCTCCTAGCGCCTCTGATAAGATGACAACATATATTACCGGGAATAGGCCCTGCTTTAACCTTGGCTAGGTGTTTTTTGAAATGCAAGTGGCAGTCGATTAAAACAGACGATTACATTCGCGCCATATAGATTGCATGGTTTGGGTAGCGGGGCTCTTAGGCTTGATCCCTCCCTCTTATAAATAAGATAATCTCTACATGTTCTTAAGGGAATTTGTCGAATATGCAATATGCGTCCAAAGACTCCTCTAAAAAGGGGCTCTCAAGACCAGCTGCCCCTTCACGAATGTCTAACCAGATGTTGGTGGACGATATACTTGGCATGACGAACCCTGTACTAAATGGTGACAAGGGCCCTTTCAATACTTAAAAGCAGAATTCTTAGCAATCTTTCGACAAACAAGAATAGGTTTCCCTTTAAGTGCATTCACTTCCACTACATCTTTTTCTCGCGAACCAATATCTGGTTTTTAATAGCTGCTAGCTGCCACCTAGAAAGCTGCCAACAACCTACAGTACAAAGCTGCCAGTTGCTACCTATAAAGCTGCTAGCAACCCCCAAAAAGCTGCCAGCTGCCACTTAAAAAGCTGCTAGCAACCTAGAAAGCTGCCGACAACCTAGAAAGCTGCTAGCTGCCACCTAGAAAGCTGCCAACAACCTAGAAAGCTGCCAGCTGCCACTTAAAAAGCTGCTAGCAACCTAGAAAGCTGCTAGCAGCCACTTAGAAAGCTGCCGACAACCTATAAAGCTGCTAGCTGCCACCTAGAAAGCTGCCAACAACCTAGAAAGCTGCCAGCTGCCACTTAAAAAGCTGCTAGCAACCTAGAAAGCTGCCGACAACCTAAAAAGCTGCTAGCTGCCACCTAGAAAGCTGCCAGCAACCTAAAAAGCTGCCAGCAACCTAAAAAGCTGCCAGCTGCCACCTAAAAAGTTGCTAGCTGCCACTTAAAAGCTGCCGACGACCTATAAAGCTACTAGCTGCTACTTAGAAAGCTGCGAACAACCTATAAAGCTGCTAGCTACCACTTAAAAAGCTGCCAACATAACTAAAGGCTGCCTAATAGCCTGTATTAAACCCAGTATTAGCTATAGGTAGCAGCTTTTATCAACTATTGGCAGCTTTAGCACGCTAAGCTAATTAGTCGCAGCCTATCACCACTCTTAACAGGGATCCTATATAATAGGCTAATACGCTTTTATAAATTGTTAATTCTTTGTTAACTTTTCTCATTAAAAGAAAATCACCCAATACTTTACGCACAATAAATAAGCATATTTATAATAAATAGGAAAGAAGAGAATAAAGCCTTTTATTATTATTTCCTTTTATCCTTTTACAAAATGGCGTCGGAGATTGAGGAGGTACGCAAGTAAGCACTTTTTACAATGTAGCTCGATAATAACCAAACAATAGGTATTTTCACATGCAAGAGCCACACTTGAGCCGGCGTTAGAAGCTATGTTCCATGCTTCGCCTAGCCAAGCAAGTACCGTCACCGCGGAAGTGAACAAATTACTAGACTATATTAGGTCTTCTATTATGATCAATTTAGCGGCTGTCTCAGATGATAACCCTACTAGGGCCCTGCAGGCGAACATTTCGAATTTGATTGAGGCCTTGCAAAAAGATCTATCTATCGGCCCTCAATTCGCATCATCTCATAGCTCAGCCTCGCCGTCGGAGTCTTTATTTGTACCCGAGTTAGATAAGATGTTTGTTGACCCCGAACTTTCCAACTTAGACCTTGAGCAAGACATGGGGGAGTCAAGCATAACGTTCCAGAAGCCGGTTACATCTTTGCGGCCAGCCAGCTCGGTATCGTTTCCAATAGTCAGCGATATCAATAAAGATATAGAGATTAATACTGAAAATGATAGCCAAGGTAAAAAGGACGATGATAATGATGAAGTAAATAAAGATGAAAACGAAGATAGGAATGATAAACATAAGAATGAGTAGGAGGGTAGTAAATATAAGGGCGATAAGCATAAGGGTAACCGTAAGGAGGATAATAAAGATAGTGGTAATCCATTGGAAAAGGAGGGATTAACTAGCCAACATCCCACAAACTTTATTCTTACTTTAACTGATTCGATCGTAAACTGGGAGCGTATAAAAGCGCTCAAAAAGATCTGGGTTAAAAATACCCCTAATTCCCATCGTCGAAACTGCCGCGATATTGCTAAAGCACTACATACTATTAACAAAAGTAAAGGAATTATCGTTAGTCAGGATTTAAATCAAAGGTAGGCATTACGGGACTTAGTTACGCACCGTGAGGAAATTATGGAAAGCATGGCCAGCAAGAAACTAAAATCTAAAGCGAACCAGTATAACCGTTATAACAGCCTAGTACTCGATGAATTAATACACCTAAGTTATCCGCATATGACGAGAGGACCTACACTAAAAGACTTATCTTAAGAATACAAGAATAAACATCAGCAGCTTAAGTCCCGCCTCCGCGTAGGCAGGACTTAGCACGCTTTCAATAGGGTATTTGGCTTTGGAGCATTTGCGTTGGTCCCGGTGGGGTTTGGGGCTAATTTTAGTACCACGAGGTCAGTATGCAACTCCTTATACTAACCCCTCGCAATGTAGCTAATGTTATTGGTCAGAGTAGAGCAACTTCCACGTTCGGATCTGGCAGCACTAATTAAAAAGCTGCAAAAACGGGAACAGGAGGTCACCCAGCTTAATGCTACAGCTGCTCGAATATTAAATGGCCTAGGAAACGACAACATGTATTAGGCCATAGGCTATAGGTAACACGCTTATTTACTTTTATTTACGGCAGCCAAGTTGACTACGAGTAGATTATCGAGTGTTAGGTGCAGGTGTAAATTATGCCCAATCAGTCACGCAAGCCTCGTTACGAAGCGTCGCTCGTGATGGTGGTGGTGGTGTGTGGGGAAGCTGTGAACTGCCCAATTGCTCTTTGTGTTGCCCGCATTGTAGTTCGTGAATACCGCTCGCTTCCAACTCCAATATGGACCGCTATCTTACTAATTCCATATTTGTCGATACTTCGGCGTTGTCCGTCTCACTGCTACCCTTGTCCACCCCCCTGTTCGAGTAACGTATCCCCCGACCACATAGCCACACAATGCCTGATCCAAGTAAGACGCCAACAAGCAAGGCACCTATAACCCCGCCTACGACTGTAGGAACCGACACCGCCCCGAGAGCTGGCTCATATCTAGTGGTGGAATTGATGACAATAGAGATTGTGCTAGTTGCCACTGAGACGGTCAAGGGTCCATCTGTAGAGATATCCCATAATGTAGTAGCAGATGTGATGTTTGGACATCCTGACTCCGTGCAGGGATTGACATGACAACAGCCTTGGAATGTATTGAAAGAGCAAACATACCACGAAGTGCCCGCAGGACAGTCCTAATTGCTGCGTAGTTGCAAGTGCATAGTATCGATCTCCCCATCACCCGGTAGTATGCCGTTGAACCAAAGAAGCGACTCTAGTCTCATTAAGTAGCACATGGCAAGCGGAGCGCTCTGGCACAGTCACAGGTGGTGCGCTGTTGCGGGGCCGAGCCCACCAACAATTCCTTTGGTTCATCCAATCAGATCGGAGCAAATCCATAGATGCTACATGCTTGTAACGCCAGGGCATTCATTGTATATATTAAGAAAGAGCGTCGCGGCTAGATGCTGTTTAAGATCTATCAATTGCGAAAACGAAGTTCACGCAATTGAAGAAACGCCCGGGCGAACCCTCCGTTCTCCTTTTTCCTTTTTTTATCCTTCAAAAGATACCAAATCCACATGATGGGAAAGCTAATCAAAAATCACCTCGCACAGGTAATCGGGCTGACGGCAGCATCTTATAAGTACAGGATGCCCGGGCGCGGCGTATCTCCTAACGGAAATAGACCACGCCGCAGCATCTATCTAAGCCTTTATCTAGCCCAAGATATTGTGGGATTTCCTTACAAATTCGTTGGACCGGGCGGTCAAGTCAGTCCCAATACTACAAGTAATGAACCTTCTTGTCGCTCTTCTCCTCCTAGCTTTAGAATGGCCTCTTCCTAGTCTTCCCAGATGGACGCTATACCGCAGTTGCGAATTACGTATTATCACTTTCATGACTGCAGCTTTCCTCGCTTTCTTTTTCTACCAAGCCACAAACGCGGCCATTTATTACGTTATCGGCACCGCTCTTTATATCTAGGAATATAGTAAAAGTGAAGTATGTTTATATTTATTCTACTCATTTATATATTATACGAATATACTAACGAAGGGAGAAGAATATTTATCCCTAACGGTGGGAAGCGTGGTGATAAGGGCCTACTATAAAGGGAGATCACTCCTTGCAGCATATAGTAGTAGCATAGCTTAACTCCTTAAATCTGATATGGTTCTCTAAATCAATGCGTTGCCTTACAATGCCCCTAATATTGTCCATGAAGATTCTGCTGCCGCACGCTACCCCATTGTCAGCAAGGGGCCTACCGGCAAGTAATGTTATAACTTACTAATTACAATTGTGCCGCCTAGTGTACGCCTGGACTATTTATCCAGTGCCTTAAATATTTCGATCATAAAGTCCCCATCAAACGCAGACCATCCATCCCGCCTGGGAAGCTTCGATTCTTTAGTTCCTGGGGGGTAGCAGAACCAGACTTGTAAACGCATGTTTCCTTTTTCCAGGCTTCTTAGCAATTCTAGATAATCTATAACCATATCATCAAAGGTCTCGTTTTCAAGCTTCCAGTACAGATTAACCTTACGCACTTTATCATTATAAAGCTGGAATAAATTTTTATAAAAGCTAGTTTCGGTAGTGGCATCCCTATTCGGGATCCCTTTAACCCAGACATCGTGGTCTTTCCTCTCCAAAAGGGAGAGGGCTAGAGGAAGCAAGCCTGCGATACCATGGCCCTGGGCCATTAATAAGATTGTCTCGAACCGACCAAGGTCTAGCCCCTCAGAAAATGGACCTTACAAGGAGCCACGGAAAGACTTATCTTCCATATCCCTCTGCCGCATGTTACTTAATTTTTTCGACACAGCTGATTCTGGTATAAAAAATACAACCTCACGCAGATCCCTCTAGCCTAGAGTCCACCAAATAATTAGGATAGCCGTTCCACTAAAACGATATCGCAGCGAGATTCCGGCGAAGCGAATATAAAGATAACCTGGGCGCCCCTCGATAGGTCGTCGGGTACGCACCGTAACTCGAAGAAGACCGCCCCGGGATTCCACTTTGCTGACCTTGGCCCGATTTAATGCCATGCTAACCAGTCGTTCAAGTTGAATTATGAGCCACAGTGCGAGCGAGAGTATCAGGAGAATCCATGCTAAAGTAGGGAAAGGCTCGGAGATATCAACCAAGTGCCAGGATATAGATGCGATTATAAGGACTGGTAGTAGTCGATGGAGCCGCACTAGTATAGCGCCGATCCTCGAAACCGAGCTAATGATCATCGTAAGGCTTGCTAAGAAGCACGCGGCTACTAAGCTCCCTGATAACACATGGCTGTTGGCATGGTTTCTAAGAAGTGAAATCCCATAGGTAGCAGACTGAACTGTTGCTACAGCTGCAGCCCATTGGTATACCGAGCCGAGATGTCGGCGAGATGGCAAGAAGCAGCGTGTCACAATGCTTGTACTTCCTCCCCAGAAAGCAACAACAATATTGATAAGGGCCAATCTACTGGCTGACCTGGACAAGGATAGGCCGGTTATTTCTGGGACCATTAAAACAGTATTAATGCCTATATACCCAAGAATAAAGAAAGCTTCAAGGGGACTTGTCCACAAGAATAGGATCTACAAGTATACAGCAAACTTCAAAGCCCCACTATAAATATAGTTTAATGATTTCTGCCATCCAAGCAAGAGCAAGGCAGCTATTAAAATAAAGACACCATAAATTAAATATAGTTGTAACATAGTGTTCTACAGCCCTTCGACAAAGTTTAATTGTCGTAGATGTTGCTAAATTATAAGTAGCTTTACAAGCCAAAATCTGCTTTTAGATATTTAAATTCCTTAAAACAGAATCTTAATGCCGAAAACTGGAAAACTGAAAATTGAGCACTGTATTTAAAGCCGCTTAATTTTAGGAGTCAGAGTTTTATTAAGCATCAAATTCATCTCAAAATGAGTCGTGCTGACCAAGAAGCCGCCGAGCAGGCTCGGAACTTAGTTGGCGAACGCTCCCTTGGGAGAACTCGCTCTAGCCTCAGCCATAAAACTCCAAAAGAAACCCGGCGAGACCAAGAAGTTGCGAAAGAGTCTCGGTCCGACCCTAGCGGTAAAAATGCTCCAACCCCTACGAGCCCAACAACAACCCGACGGCAACGAACTCGGCAAGACCAAGAAGTTGCGGAAGAGTCTCTGTCCGACCCTAGCGGTGAAAACGCTCCAACCCCTACGAGCCCAACAGCAACCCGACGGCGAAGAACTCGGTCTGGCCCCAGCCATAAAAATACAACAACCCTGAATAGCCAAAAAGTTGCCGAAGAGAATCGGGAAGTTGGTAATAAGCATCCCGCCAGGCAGCAAGCCCCAAAAATTCATAGGACTTGGAATTGGACTGGCATAGATAATAAAAATAATTCAGCTCCTACTAATTCGGGAACTCAGCGTGGGGATGGGAATAGTGACGATATTTCCCCGCCACCTTCCACATTACTTAAGCAAGTTCAGGCCGCTCTAGCCAATTCGACTCATAGGGATCAATCAGTTCTGGACGATAAGCAAGAATTAGGTGAAATACCAATTGTTATAAACAACAGCGACATACGTATACGCAGCCATACAACTACGGATATTAAAGGAACTTCAACCGATGATAGGCATGCCAAAACTTCCTCGTTCCATGGTAACTATTATGATAGCCCCGAGAGTGACGTTGGTCATGGTTGGGACGCCGGTGACGATTATGTTACTCGGATACGCTCTAACGGCCCAGGAATGATTCAGGCACTAGACGACTTCGCCGCGGATGACGGACCCGCTACTCTCGTTTCGGCGCCTGGGGTAGTTTGCCGGAACGGTAGATATTATATCCCAAACTTCAGATGCCCACAATCTAATGTGCGGACAACAGCGAGGATCGAAGGACAGCGCGGTAACAGGGTTATCATAAGCTTAACGCCGTCTTCAATTGAACTCGGGCGTCCTGCTTATACCGTGAATAAGTCCCAGTTGGGTATAGGTCGCTTTGATTACCCGGATATAAATATGGTTCAGCTTGACGTCCTAAGAACCGAATATAGAACGTATGGAATTCCTGCGATTGTATTTGTTGCCCCAACTACTATACTAAACCCAACCGAGGACCAATTAACTTCTACAAGCAATCCTCAGAGGTGGCCTATTACTTACCTCAAATTGAAATTCCACGACGATTCAACTGCATGGGCTACACGGACCGTTTGGATCAGTAACGTGGGGCCGGCGTCTTTCGCCATTGATGAGCACTTTGCGAAGGTAAGACAGGACCCACCAATAATACCGCGTCCTCCCGCAGAGAGGGCCAGGCTCCAAGAGGATGGCAACAGATGGAGAGCAAGCCAAAGCCCTGCGCCACAGGGGCCCGTGGCGACCGGTCAAAGAGACCGTAGCAGGAGGCAAGAAGCACCCACGCGCCCCCCCCGGACCCGCAACTCGCGTAGAGCACAGAACCAGGCACTTCCAGACCAAGCCCGACAGCCATTATCTAGGAACGCAACTCAGAATCAGCGCGAAACAGGGAGTGGGAGTGGCCCCGCGGGACAACAAGATCCACCAGCCCCGAACCAACCTCCCCAGGGCGCAACAGCGAGCGGGAGTGGTGTCTCTGGACTAAATCCACCGGAGCATGTTCGTTTACTAACCACCCCCCTGACGTATTGAAGCTAACTAACATTGTAGACAGTGGCTAATCAAGTATAACGACCCTACTATCCGTCAGCTAGGCACCACCTGCCGCAATTGTATCGCCCCATATCCTACCGCCACACTCCGGTGTGGCTGTCGCTATCACCTTGGATGCCTTGAATTTCACAGGACCCCCAGAAAGCGTGTAGCAAAATGCCACGTTCACTCTACGCAATGTTGGTCGTTTTTCTACTTTTCTTATAGTGATGTATATCGTTTTGTTATGATTGATGCAACCGACTTTCTAAGTAACGGAATTCCATGGGCACGCGGACCATGGACCGATCCATTTTGTGCCATACCGGAGGACGAGGAACTTTCTTGCTCAATATGTGCGGAAAGGTCAGGGATGGAGAATATGAATATACGCTTTGTAGCTACGCCTTGCACCCATTACTTCCACGCAGGGTGCCTGGGCGAATGGTTTAAGCACCAAGACCCCATGAGACGGGGTCGAACAACTTGCCCGATGTGTCGACGACAAGTCGATAAGGTCTGGACAACAGCAAGGTGGTGGCATAAGGACGAGTGGCTTATGCCCACCAATTCCTCTAATGTGGTGACAAATGTACGATTTGTTGGTTGGGTGATGCCGGAAGAAGGGGATGAAGAACTTTAACCGCATGAGAAGTCAGCCGGGGGGGGGGGGGGGGGGGGGGGGGGGGGGGGGGGGGGGGGGGGGGGGGGGGGGGGGGGGGGCGGGGGGGGGCGGGGGGGGGGGGGGGGGGGCGCGG